CAGATGCCATTACTATGTCGTGTAAAGACAGCTTGACAGTTATACAATTATTTTCTTTAAAATGTTCAAGTAATCAAAAATATCCCTTTGATGATATATAAAAAGAAAATAGTAAAACAAAAGCAGCAATGTATAAGGTGCTAGAGAAAACTTTCACGTTAGCTTCTCACACGATCTTCGCGCAAACTCAGATTGAGGCCAATCGGAGCTACCCTTCCAATATGAGCAGACTACACTCAATTGTAGTCTCTAAATGAAAGGCCGTTTGGGTTAATATCCAACGATGAACGGGTTAAAATTGCGCTTGATCTAAGACTTCTGTCTGTGTGACAGGTTTAAGCGGAAATAAAAGAAAATATATGAACTTCTTGATTAATCCATTATTTTTCTCACACCAATAGATTGACCGAAAAAAATCACTATAATAATGCGCTTATGAATGAATTAAACTTAAATTAAATGAATTAAACTTATATACATATATTTATTTACAATTAAATAAAAAGTCAACGATGTAATTTATAAGAAGCGGACAGCTTTAACGTCGGTACCTTTTAAAAAGGTAAGAAAGCATTATTACTTTCCCAAAATATTATGTTCTGGTTTTGTTTTGTGGTGTTAAAAAATCCACCAGCCGCAGAACTCTGTGATGAAGCGTTAACTGAAATGTGACGTCATACTATGTATCTTCATGGACTCCGTGTTTCGGTTTTTGTAATTCACATATTATTGCTAGTTAATTTTGCCAAAATAAAATATGTTTACAATTAATTTAAAACAAATAATAATACACAGTTATTGTTACCGTATAAGTTATAATTTCTAACATGTTTCATAATTTATTGTTTTATCTGTCATATATTCAATTAGCGCTCCGCCCTTGACGCAAGACGAATCTTATAATAGGGGGAGGTTAATCAAAAGATAGTACCATAGGTCGATCCTATAACCATAGTAAAACTAAAAAAGTACGTCGACTCGAGCCCTGAGGAAGCGATAAAAGCCCAAATTCGTAGGGCTGTCGTTTATAGTTTATTTGTCAGAAATGCATAGTCAAGCTACGCGGAGTATACGAGGACAAGGTTTAGCCACGACTTTTCGGTGCCTAAGTATGAAGTCAACGTACTCTTTATTTTTACTATGCTATTTACACTATGGTGCTCTGTCACGTTTAGATCTTTTTATGTTCGATAGTAAAATTTAAGGCGAACGCTGTAATACACCAGTCGACTGCATCAACAAGCTTTTAAAGAACAAAAAAATTGAACCGCCTTCAAATTTCAAAAGTTAGAAAAAATATATGTTCTTAAAAACGGATGGAGGTTGTCTAGAAATGGTCGAATTCAGTGAAGGGAAATTTTAGGTGTTTTTTTCACTTTTTGAAGTGTGAATTGAACTCGATTCTTCTTTTTGAAAAAATAAAGAAAATGTTTATTGATACCTTGACACTTCCGTGTTTTTTAATATATTAGTATTTGTATTTTTTTAACTTACAGATTATTTTAAAAAGCATCATTATTTTAACTTTATTCTAAATGATTTTTAAAATCATTTGAAATACTATTTATTTAAATATTTTTAATCGGGTAGATTTTATAAAAGCTATATCAACTGCAGCTATCTTATTTTTTCTAGACCACAAGTAGCTGGATTATTGAACTTCTGTGCAAGGGATTTATTTATGTTCACAGGGTTCTTCCACCGGAGACGGTCTGACCTATGCTACTCAGTTTTCTACCTGTGGAGTCTTCGTGCTTCACTAGTGCTGCTGACCGGAGCTGACGTCGGGCGTACTCCGTTACCGGCCTGTGACCGGCCCGTGACACTCTGACCTCGCGAACTCGACATTAAATCTTTTTCAACTTTAAAGATAAGTCCTCCCAAAAGAAGTCACAAGGACCATAGCGAGCGAATCTGAATACTTACCCCTTAAATAAAAAAAAAAGAATAAAGATTGTTAAAACAAGTTTTTTCGGTTTTGTTCCCTTTTACCTGAAGCCTGGTGGATGCTTCTAACCCCCCCGCCCCCCCTATCTACTGCTTCAATGATAAGAAAATAGATTTCAATAAATCTTAATAAAACTAAAATAATTCAAGTCAATTCGACTTCTTTAGAAGATTTTCGATTATTTTTTGCTTTTTTAAAAATTTTTGAAGACGATTTTATTTGTTTCAAATATACTTATATTTTTTAACCCATATTAAATTTATAGTTAGTTGCACAAACGTCCATTAAAGTTTAATAATTCATTGTTTTAAAGCGACATTACCCATACAAATTTGACATTTATTAGAGCTTAAAGGCGTCATTGTACCTTAATATACGTTTGTATACCATTAGAGTATTATATTAACTGCAGTCGAGGTAAAGTTCTAGTAAATTTATATACTGACGATCGTTAGAATTATACCCATGACATTACCAATATATAATACGAATTAAAACAATAAAATTAAAAATTAAAGCTTTATTTATTATGTTAAGACATATTAGAATTAAAATAAATGCGATATTTTCTTCATGCGTATGTAATTCTCCATTTTCATAACATTTTTAATAACATGTCTAAAAAGAGAGTATATATGAGAGACAACAATGAGTATACTGGCCGTAACATACTCCCCGCCTTGCGAAGTTGGTTCAATAGTGATTATCAATCAATCACTCAGTGGAAGGGGACATATTTTGGAGAATGCACGGCGTATTGTGCTGGTAGAAGTTTTGATGCTGGCCACTCTTGCGATACCATCTTGACCTGGGAAAACTTTTACAATCCGACCCAGACTCCACTTCAATGGTGGCTGATTATCATCCTTTATTAAGACAAGGGTATTCTCCTTTAAAACATCATTTCCCTTTTGCCACTTAACTCGTGCTTGTAGTTCGGAAATATATTCTTTCGACCACAGCGTTCAAAAGGTCTGACGTATTAGCTCCACTCATTGATAACGGTCCAACCGGGACATTGGACGGGTGCCGTGAGTGGACGGCCAACCAAAAAATGACCAGGGCTTAGTGGTAAAAAATCGAGCGGATCCATAGGTCGCTGGTTCAAATCCGGCTCGAAGGACCAAATTATGTTAAGACATAATAGAATTAAAAGAAATGCGATATTTTCTTCATGCGTATGTAATTCTCCATTTCCATAACATTTTATAACATATGTCTAAAAAGAGAGTATATATACAATGACAACAATGAGTATACTGGCCGCAACATATTATTATTAAAAACATATCATATATCCATAAATAGTCGATTAACCCATTGAAAATGGCGACCGTCGATTTGTTCTCAGGAAATAAATACCGGTGGCTCTGTAAATAATTAAAAAAAAAAGATTACATCATTTCAAGAAAACAAAATTAAGTCATACTATCCACTAATGCCCTATCCATTTATAACTGCATAGTGTCATATATAATTTTAAATAATATTAAACTCTAACCTATCCTGTATTCTATATATGTATTATAAAATTGTGTAAGTATATCTTCCTTCTCCTAATAACTAAGCCTTCTGATCCTATCCCATAAAAAATCCGTTCCAACTTCTATTTCCTTTCGTTTCCTTTTCCCAAACTTTGACAATGGCTAAGCACAAACAGTGCAAGCCAAATAAAAAAAAAATTAAGTCAGAGAGAATTCAGTAGGTGGATCTTCATCATCATCATCATCAGCCCTTTTACGTCCCCACTGCAGGGGCTCAGACCTTCCTTATGGATGGTTAAGGAGGATGGGCCATGACCCTCCACGCTGGCCCAATGCGGATTGGAGGGTATTAACGACTGCAAATGCAGCCGGGACCAACGGCTTAACGTGCCTTCCGAAGCACGGAGTAGCTCGAGATAATAATTTTTCGGTCATCCATCCCGTGACCGACCCTTGCGAAAGTTGCTTAACAATAACGATCGTGGGCTGCGGCGCTTATCCACTACGCCACCGAGCTACTCACGTTGATCTTAGTGCTTACTAATAGACATCGTAAACATTTTGGTACATTTTGTGGTACTATGAATGTTTACTTGATAACTGTATTTCAATAGAATCTAAACTACTTTCACTTTGCTATTGTAATATCCACCTGAAGTCCAATATTAATATATAAATGCACCATTGATGAGTAAGGAAAATATTTCTCTAATAATATTGAAATTTAGCTTATTAATAAACAAGGTTTAGCGTTGGAGTAAATGTACGCTGAGACTGCACTTAGTATTAGTCAAAATTCATATTATTAAACAGAGACTTGGCAAAGGTTAACCTAGTACGAGGTTCTATGTGAGTAATATTTGCTCCTAGAATGTAGTAGGTTTGCTTATTCTCTGTATAATATGAATTTGGACTAATACTAAAATTGCTATTTTAGTGTAAATTTACTCTGACGCTAAACCTTGTTTATATATAGCAGGGTAGGTGTATAGTACAATGGCAAAATGCACGTAAAAACCAATTGTATTGTAATGAAAGTATTAAATAAAACACAAGTTCCCGAAATCAAACTAGATGTCGCTACGGTACTTCCTTGATTCCATCATGACAACACTTCCGGTTTTCTTTCATGTATAAAAGTAAATTAATTTTCAAAACTCAATAAACAATTGACATTCTATTTGTACTTTTTCGTATTTGTATTGATATCTAAGTTTCGAACTTTGCAAATTTCAGTTTTATTTATATGTTAGTTAAAAGGAACGGAAATGGTTTTGGTCCATTCGTTTCCTGCAAAAATCAGCTTTTAGTAGAGTCGCCATCTAGTGAGGTGCTTTTTATGTCTTTCTTTTTTTTTTCTTAAAATAATTCCTCATTATAAGAAGACATGAAAGAGAAAATATTTTTAGGTACTTTTGTATACTTTTTTTTTCTATTGAGAACATTTTCATATTCACGTTTTGTTTTGAAAAAACTCTCAGGAATACGATGTAATTGTACTTTTATAATTTGGACGTTATTTCTTTCTACAAATTCAGTTAAAAGTTATTTATTTTTCGTGTAATTCCTTACCCAGTTTTGGGCTGAAGACCTCCCATATTTAATCTGCCAGGTAGATTGCATGAGCCAATAGAAGCTTCGGGTTGAGACCTGCACTCCCATCCCGTAAAACCACCGGTTCTCACCGATTCGGCCATGTATTCGTAAGACCTATAAGGTAAAAGAATATAAATAAACAACAACAGAAATATTTCTAAATAACAAACAGGTTTTGTGACCTTAAAATTAAATCGAAACTTTCAATTCCCGCGAAAACGCTGTCCTCCATATTCATGACGTCATTCGAATATGTACAGATTAAATGATGTCAGTCAATCAAGAATAGTGCCATCTAACGAATTTAAAACAAAATAAACATAATACCTAAGGTAAAAGCAGTGCCATATATGAATCTGCTTTATAATAAATAGACTGCTGTTTGCTTTCGACTTTCACAAGTGCTCTGTAAAAGCCTAAACTGAATAAATAAATTTTGATTTGATTTGATTTGAACAAATATCAATCATCATCATCATCATCATTTCAGCCGAGAGACGCCCACTGCTGGGCATAGGCCTCCCCCAAAGATCTCCAAAACGATCGGTCCTGCGCTTCCCGCATCCAGCGGCTTCCCGCGACCTTCACCAGATCGTCGGTCCACCTTGTGGGGGGCCTGCCAACACTGCGTCTCCCGGTACGCGGACGCCACTCCAGGACCTTACCGCCCCAACGGCCGTCAGTCCTGCGAGCGATGTGCCCTGCCCACTGCCACTTGAGGTTTGCAATTCTGTGGGCTATGTCGGTGACTTTAGTTCTTCTGCGGATCTCATCATTTCTAATTCGATCTCGCAAAGAAACCCCGAGCATAGCCCTTTCCATTGCCCTCTGAGCGACCTTGAGCTTCCTTATGAGGCCCATCGTAAGCGGCCACGTCTCAGCACCGTAAGTCATCACTGGCAACACGCACGAATTAAAGACTTTTGTCTTGAGACACTGCGGTAGATGTTCCGAGAATACACTGCGTAGCTTCCCGAACGCTGCCCAGCCGAGTTGGATCCGTCGACTTACCTCTCTCTGGAAGTTGGACTTACCTAATCGGACTATTTGTCCCAGGTAAAGGTACTCGTCGACAGCTTCCAGTGTAGAGCCTCCAACATTCACTGGAGTGGGTACGACATGGGAGTTTGACATTATTTTTGTCTTCTCCATGTTCATTTTAAGACCCACTTGCTGGGAAACTCTACAGAGGTCTTCGAGCATTGTGCCTAGATCTTCCATGGTCTCAGCCATGACTACGATATCATCAGCGAAACGAAGGTGCGTCATGTACTCGCCGTTTATATTGATGCCAAGTCCTCTCCAGTCCAAAAGCTTAAACACGTCCTCCAGTGCGGCAGTGAACAGTTTCGGCGATATAACGTCGCCCTGTCTCACTCCACGCTGAAGTCGTATTGCTTTCGAGTTTTGGTCCTGGAGCCGAACTGACATGGTGGCATTTTCGTACAGTGACTGCAGCACTTGGATGTATCGATAGTCTATTTGGCACCTCTGGAGTGACCTAAGCACGGCCCAGGTCTCGACGGAGTCGAAGGCTTTCTCATAGTCCACAAACGCCAAGCATAGTGGCAGATTATACTCTTCGGTCTTCTGTATAACCTGTCGCAGCGTATGAATGTGGTCTATGGTACTGTAACCTTTTCGGAAACCGGCTTGTTCAGGAGGCTGGAAGTCGTCAAATCTACGTGCGAGACGATTCGTGATGACTCTCGAAAACAGCTTGTACACATGACTCAGAAGCGTGATGGGTCTGTAATTCCTCAATTGGGCCCTGTCGCCCTTTTTGAAGAAAAGCACCACCACGCCCCTGTGCCATGCTTCTGGCGTCTTGCCCTCGAGTATGGCGGAATTAAATAGCTTCTGAAGCGCTTTCCGGACTGGTAGTCCACCCGCTTTCAGAAGTTCCGCTGTGATTCCATCATACCCCGGCGCCTTGTTGTTCTTGAGCTGTTTGAGAGCCACACTAATCTCGTATAGACTGACGTCCGGGATGTCTTCGGTATAATGTCGGGTTAATTTGGCTCTAGGGTCTGTAGCCTCAATGACAGGTTTCTGTGATGTTGTGTATAACTGTCCATAGAAGCGTTCGATCTCCGCCACAAGCTCAGGACGGGATGTAACGACTCTGCCGTCCTCTGTCTTTAGCTTCGTCAGCAAGCTTTGTCCGAGAGACAGATCTCTAGCGAACACTTTGGAGCCTTTATTCCGCTCAATCGCCTCCTTAATACATTGAGTATTAAATTGGCGTATGTCGCGTGTGAGAGACTTCGAGATCTGTCTATTGAGTTGCCGACGAGCATCCTCAGAAGATTGCAGAACCATTTCACGCCTTTCTTCCATTAGCTTGCTTGTCTGCTCCGAGATCTTGCTTCTTTTTTGAGTACGGCGAGGTTTGAGGAATTTTGAACCCACCGTAAGGACAGCTTCTACGACCCTGTCATTGTATTCGTCCACATCCGAGCAGCTCTCCAGGCAATCGAAGCGGTTTTGAAGTTCGAGCTGAAAGTGTTCGGGGTCCCGGATCTGGGTGGCTTCAGGACGGAGCGTAGACTTCACCAGTCGATACCGTTCAGCTTTTACATTTAGATTCAATGCGCCTCTTACCATACGGTGATCGCTTCCCGTATTAAACGAATTGATCACTGAGACGTCATTGAATATCCGAGTCTTAGTCGACATGATGAAGTCGATCTCGCTTTTTGTCACACCATCCGGACTCTTCCAGGTCCACTTTCGATGCAACCGTTTTTTGAAGAAGGAGTTCATCATATAGAGTCCTTCCCTCTCCATGTAGTCGGCTAGCATTTGACCACGGTGATTCCGGATCCCAGATCCAAAATGCCCCACCTTCAACTCCTCATCGCCACGCTTGCCTAGCCTTGCGTTGAAGTCTCCCATGACAACAGTGTAGTGGGTCGTGGAACCATGTATTGCCCGGGAAATGTCCTCATACATGGCTTCCACTTCCTCGTCGGGGTGCGTCGAGGTCGGGGCGTAAACCTGTATGACCTTCAGCGAATACCGTTCGGTGATTCTGAGTATAAGGTACGCCACCCTATTCGATACACTTCCGATCTGTACAATATTGTTCACGAGAGACTTGTGGACGATAAACCCGACGCCACCTTGGGACAGATCTTCGCCCTCCCGGAAATAGAGCAGGTTACCGGATTTAAGGATCATCGTGTCCTCGCCCTCTCTTCGGACTTCGGATAATCCTACAATACTCCAACGAATCCTGCCCAATTCCTTCTCTAGTTCCAGCAGCTTCTCCTCGGTCCGCAGTGTGCGTGCGTTGTAGGTTGCCAGGGCCAAGGTCGTTTGACGGGGGATCTTTGCCGCCCGGGGATTCTTCGCACCCCTGGTGCCTTCGCCGAGTTGGCGTCCGTCCGCGCCAGCACGGCTTACGGCACCGCCGGGCACTCGGGGCCTTTCGTTTGGTTCAATTTTTATCTCTGAGGGGTTTTGGGCCGTCTCCCACCACGCTGGCCCAATGCGGGTTGGTGGGGAGCGCCAGAGCCTCGTTGGTTAGTCGGCAGGGTGTACCGCGTGCAGGTGAGGTTGGCTTGGGATCCGTTAGATGTTGTTCGGACCCCCTTACACCCAAACAAATATCAAAGATGGAGAAAATTTTCTAGCGATGTGATGTCACACTATAGCGACTTGCATTTCAAATTACGTGATAAACAGACGAAAAATATATATAAAAATATACCCTTTCATTTAGACATTAGAAAGATATTCACGAATTTCACGCTACAACTTTTGACATGTGACAGAGATTGCGATAGCGACATTTTTTTTAAATAATTAATTAATTGACGATATTGTTAATCTAACGTTCATTGGAATTGTCTAAGGGTTAGTTACACCATACTTTAATAATAACAAACATGTTATAATACTGGTTAAGCAAATAATAATGAGTTGTCATTTGGATAGCCAAGCTATAGTATTGGATGACGTCATAACTTCAACTGTATTCTATAATCGCCTTAGTTTCACTGCTTAAAGTTATGTTTTAATACTATGCCAAGAAAAAGGATTGTGGAATGCATTCCATAGTCAATTTTAATGCCGGCGTGACACATATTGTCAAAATTGACATAAACCTTAACTGCAATCTTTAGACGCAACTATTGAGTTTACGTTGCTAAGTTTTTATTATATGTCCTCATCATTCCAAAGCGATTTTTATAAAGAAATAAATATACAGCATTAACAATAATTACTGTTAAAAGGAGAAATATCGACTACAACTGCCAGCACTAACTGTCGATTTTACTACGGGCAACCCTATCTGTCAGTTAGCAGTTTCGCGCCAATAAACTGGCGGATTGTCAATTCTTGTAAAAACTATTGGAATCGGCTTGGAGATTATAAATATTATATATCGATTGAATAGTAAAATGTGTCTTTCATTACAGAAGCTATAATTTTTACAAATCTCGTTAATTAATTAATCATAAGAACGTTAAATAACAAATAAAATGTAAATTTTGACTAACCTTTGGTGATCACATACGATGTTTAGAGTGCAGCCAGGCATAACGTTGCCTCCATTAGGATAGAAGTCAGTGTGACCTAGGGGATCCCTCCAACCATTGACTCCAGCACTCGTGTGGATAATCTCCACGTAGTCGGCATCGTTGGGGCCCACCAACTCGTCTATCTCCCACCTGGAGGCAGGGTCGAGACCTGGAAACAAAATAGATCTTCTACATTTATTGCAACACATGTGTACCATATACAAATACACAATACAGGAAGTTTATGTAGAAGATAGGATTCCTAACTAAGTAGACCGTTCTATGGAACTCTTGCTTTTCACCTCTCTAATTTGTAAGTGACATTTTAAAGAAAAAAAAATAGATATAAAAAAAGGGTTTCCTTTCCAGAAACTTTGTTGTATGGGAGCCCCTCTTAAAATTTTGTTTCATTTTAATATTTATTTTTAAAGTAAATATTTATATAAATACATATTCTGTGAATATTTCAAGCGTAATCTGTTGTCCTTATCAATATCGAGAAAAAAACACCAAAACAAAATCACGTTTGTTGTATGGGAGCCCCCTAAAACATTTATTGCCACGCAGGCCTATTGTGGATTGGTGGGTGTTAATAGTAGACAGCAGGGATAGTGGCTTGACGTGTCTTCCGTAGCATAGAGAAGTTCGACCTAAAAAGTTTGGTCACCCACACTATTACAGGACATTGCGAATGTTGCTTAACATGAGTATCGTAGAATGCTCTAACTGAATATGAAAGTCTTTGTGATAACAGAAAAGAAATGTTACAAAAATTTTGAGTCTATTTCTGCAGAGACAAATACATTTTAATTAAATATTTATTTTCTGTTAAAAATAAATAAAAATATCCACTACTGGCACAATATTTGAGCAAATAAATGTTTAGATTTGATTTGATTGGGAGGCAAAATCTAAGCCAAATAAGACTTGACGTTTTTAAGTCCTGTGGGGTAATTATCTAATTTCAATTCCTCTCATAATCCCCTTCAAAGCCCGTTTATGAACTGGTGTAACTTTTGAAGAAGCAATCGCTTTAGAATCGCAGATGGTTTTAATGTTTAAGAAACATTTTAAAACTTCCCGTTGAAAAAGTGTTAGGATTCAACTCTTTCATTTGATATTTCTTAATAGCTTTCGAAGATATTTGCGACTAATACTTGCGTTCGTGAATATTGACGTTTCGTTCGTCAAATGTGAATACGAAAGGAATTGCGACAGATAGGTATTAAATTAGAAAATGAGGTTCAAATAGGCATTTTCGCTAACTCAATTCACAATCTAAAGCCATAATCACTGAAAAAAGTAAGCAATTCTAATCTCACAAATTCACTTATTATTTTCTATCAATGGTTCGTAACTTTGGATCGTCAATATCGGCGATCTCCACTGAACTCCATTGACCATTGACACTTGATTTTGTATCAATAAACTGTTATTTCGTATACCACAAAAGTCAACTTAAGTGAGTGGTTTTATCTAAATAAAAAAAAAAATATATATAGCAACTTTCTAGGGATTAGGTATTTTAAAAAATGAATTACAGACCCCAAACTGCTCGATGACCGCTTGCCCATCGAGCTCAGTGAACAATTTACTTCGGCTGTCATCACAAGTTGCCAGAGTTACAGAATAAGGGTGCTGGCCACTTTTTTGCTGGACGCACGATACTGACCGGTTACGTACGCGACGTTTCCAGTAACGTGTCTGGCGACGATGCCGGCTGTGTGGCCGCCGACGCTGAACCCGAGGATATGGTACTGGGAAGCGGACGCGCCCGTCATCGAGTTCAACCAGTCAATGAAGCGAGCGATGGAGCGGCCTGGTGGAAACAATTCACTGACATCAAGCCATTCAAGGGTACACACTCCCTGGAAAATTTTGAAGAACCCCGTGTCATTTTCATACAAAAATGTCTCACAAATTCGAAATGGAGCTTTTAATTGGTTTTTTTTTTATTCGTAACACACAAATAAAGCATTCACCAACTTCGATAAACAATACAAGTGTTGATCGAAGTTCTCCAAGCAAACCTTTAAGTTTTCCCAAAAAAATAATGGATCAACTTTTAAATTATTCTGAATAATATATATTCTTTAGATAGAGTTAATGAAAGGTGAAGTGAATGTATTTGAAGTAGAAAATTACGTTAAGTTCCGCTAAATCTGCCGTGTGTATTTATTCTAGACTGACAAAACTGATACATATCACGAAAGTGGAAGGATGCAGAAGCTGATGAATGCCACGACACAGCTTTCATGATCAAATGCTTTTAGAAAGTGATGTCAGAAATAATAACCGGAAGTATGTATGAAAAGAGTAATGAAAGTAGAAGAGGCGTTCGGCTTACATACATCTTTCGCCTCGCTCTACTTTATGTTGTTCGGTCCTCTCTACGGCGTGAAGATATCGATATTCATTCTATTTATTAATTTAGTTGCACAGTAAACGAAAGGAGCTTTTATGTTATCATGAATCATGTATTTTATATATGAGAATGGGCCATGATGTGAGCCAGCACGGATTAGTGGATCTGACTGCAGATGCTACAGGTACTAACGGCTTAACGTGCACAGTGTACTAGGAAAGGCTTTGTACTTCAACATAGTGAAAAATCAAACTTTCAGTAGCTCAATTTTTGTCACGAGCACTCCCTCTATTTTAAAAAAACTTCAATTTTAACTTTCGTCTAACACTACAACTAATAAGAATAAACTACCCGATTGTATTCCGTTTAGGCCCCAGTGAGCTCCACGACTCCAATCCACAACGATTACGTTGACGTCCTCACCATCCAAGAATGCTGCAACGAAATAGAATCGTTACTATATCTACCTGCATCGCGCTAATAAATTTTCTACGGCAACTTAACATATATACAACTTTCAACATTTGATAATTCAAAGTAGAACTGTCTGATCCTACTCGTTGAAACTTGTATATTCTAATTCTAAGAAGGACGAAAATGGACGTCTGCAAAATGTTATGTAAGTTGTGAACGTCAAAAGTAAATGATTTCTTTGGACTTCATCCTGACTTTTTATATGGCCAAAATCGTACCATTATCTTAAAATGCCAAAAATTAGCTCATAATTTTAAGATGCCTAAAATATGGTCATAATCTTAAAATGGCCGAAAGCGGGTGATAATCTCAAAATGGCTAAAATAAAAGTCATCTATACTCACCAGGAACTAAAGCTCTATTGGAACCAGCAGTTCCTGAACCGAGGAAGCCGTGTATCAGGACAATAACCCGCTTGCTCGCGTCGAAGTTGCTCTCCGATAAAGATTGGACGTGATCCATCACGATTGGCTGACTCACCGTGGGGTTGGCTCTAAAAATTAAATTATAACAATATTTTAGGGTTCCATATCTAAAGGACATTACAAAAAGCATCCACTGTCCGTCTGTAAGTCTGTCACCAGGCTCTAAATCTCATGAACCGTGTTATACAGTTGAAAAGCCGGTTTTCAGTGTCGCCAATTTTGCCATTGTGACGTTTTCATACGCTTGATTTGGTATACTAGCGGCAATCAGCTCAATATTGGCGGTTATTGAAGGAACTAATTGGCATTGAGTAGGTATGAGTATGTTTTAAGAGTACGAGCTAAGATTTGATGAAACTTGAAATCATCATTGGATTGAAATGACGAAAAATTTACAAAAAACCATTAGTTCCGGAAATCTAACTAGATGTCGCCACGGTACGTTTTTGATTTTTCTATGACAACCTTTCCGGTTTTCTTTCATGTTTAATAATAAATTAGTTTGCAAAACTCAATAAACAACTCATATTCTTTTTGTACTTTTTCGTATTTGTATTGATATCTAAGGTTCCTTATTTTTCAAATTTCAGTTTTTTAATATGTTAGTTAAAAGGAACGGAAATGACTATCTTTGGGCCAATCATTTCCTGCAAAAATCAACTTTTGCTATAGTCGCCATCTACCGGAGGTGTTTTTTTAGTGCTTTCTTTTTTTTAAATACTTTCTCATTGAGATCATCATTGGATTGGAATTGACATTGAGATTGTATTCAAGAGTAAAAATGCAGGAATCGAACCCCGGACTGAGAGAAAGAGATACAGTAAATAATTTAATATTTAATACACCACCACCACCAGCCCTTTTACGTCCCCACTGCAGGGGCTCAGGCCTTCCTTATGGATGGTTAAGGAGGATGGGCCATGACCCTCCACGCTGGCCCAATGCGGATTGGAGGGTATTAACGACTGCAAATGCAGCCGGGACCAACGGCTTAACGTGCCTTCCGAAGCACGGAGTAGCTCGAGATAATAATTTTTTGGTCACCCATCCCGTGACCGACCCTTGCGAAGGTTGCTTAACGACTACGATCGCTTATTCTATACTAATATTATAATAAGGAAAGTTTCATTGTGTTGTTTTATTTGCTAGCGTCAAATAGGCTCAGAAACTACTGGTCCGATTTAAATTTTTTTCACCTACGGCAAGCTATATCATATGCGAACGAAATCGCGGGAAAGCAGCTAGTAACAAACAAACAATGCTCTTACTTATTGGTCGACAAGCAGATTTTATCTTCCGAGATATGGTTTCCAGATCGCTAAATACTTTTTTTTTAATTAGAAAATAAGGCTGGTCACACTACACTGTCGAGAATTTTGTAATTTTAAACGTAAAAACCAAGTTTTTCTCATTATTTACCATATTTTTTCTTAAATTCTAATGAAATATTAATAAAATCGAATGCAAAATCAGTTAAAATATTTTGAGTGACTTTCGTAATGAATATGATTCAGCAAGCCGGGCACTCTTTCTTTTGGTCGGACACGCAATCAAAAAATCGATGTCTGGCTTTATTTGAACGCCTGGCAACCCTGTCTTCTGAGATACGAGACAGAATTCTGATGATAATTACCTGGTGAATAGATGATACTGGTTATCTGTGTCCGGGTTGTATCGCGCATTCCTGGCGATATCACTGACTTTCACCCAGGAGTCCACCAGGTGTAAGGAGCCGTCTTCCGCTTCAGCGTAGTTATATCTCGGACCGTCTGGGACCAGCTTCCTGATCACGGGGTCTTCGACTGGCAATGCTGGAAATATATATATTTTTCAATGACCTCGTAATTGTGGAGTTTTAATATCAACTGGCTATTTGACAGTCAAACTAATGAATTACAATGAAAAACTTATATGTATACAATAATTGTATTATATTAGGTTTTAAAATAAATTGTAAGTAGGTATATTTTGTTTCTTGCAAAATTAACTTGCCATTTATAATCTGTGGATCATAAAAACAGAAACACTGGTTGCCATAGGCATCGTGTGACGTCACATTTCAATAACTTAAACGTCAAGGTTTTTATACGAGTGCAAACAGTACTTGTGCTTATTGAAATATAACATCACATCAAATTACAACAATTAAAATTAATGAATAGAAATATGTTTTCATTAATATCATTTTCCTTTATTTAATAACATATTTTGGAGAAACTCAAATCCGATGTGGTTTAATATACTTAGTTGAAAGTTTTAAAATGCACTTCTCCCAAAACAAGTATAGTTTCTTTGTTGATAAAAGCGTATTCTCGATTTTAAAAGTTTTTTTTAATTTGTTAACCGCCTCGTTATAACGAATCGATTTTTGGAAGCAGTTTTAACTGTCAAAATATCAATATTGTAAATGTTTTTGAAATAACAGATTATTTTGTTTTTTTTTTTTAAGATCCCTTTCAAAGACTAAAGTCAGTACGTTATTAGAAATAAAATATTATAAAAAGGAATGGTTTATTTGTTTCCATTGAACAGGCTGCGAAACCACAAATGTTGTAAGCTAAACAGTATATAATTTACGCGAGCGATGTCGCGGAAAAAAGTTAAATATAAAAGAGAATGTACTGTAAATTTCGCTAGCAAGGTATTTGAAGAGTTTAAAATTATACAGATAGGTAGGTACTTTATCATTTAAAATTCTATGAAGGATTTTATCATAAACACGCGCCATTAAATGATTATCAGATGTTAATTAGGTACATTACGACATTAGAGTGGTAAGTGTAAGTTTTACGCTAGTGAGCGCGTAAAGAATTTGTATGTAGATTTGTACTTCTTGGTAGTTACCGCCCCTAGAGCTTTACCGAATTCCATACTAATATCTTAACGCGCTCACGATCGACAGTGAATTTATTTTAATTTATAGATCCATCCTAGACAATTTCTCAATCAGAAAAATAAATTTGATAGTTGTTTAAAGATGATTCCCCTTGAATAACTACTCGTAAAATTTAAAAAAGAAAAGTTTGTGTGTGTAATGTTTTATAATTATCAAGGTATATTTATCAAGATAACTATCCCGTTTTACCCTTTGGGTACGGCACGCTAAAAATGATTTTGCATTCCGCATATACCGAGATCCCGCAGGATTGAAAATTCTTAGTCCCGTTAATACCGAGATTGGATGCAGGCTGAGCTATTAATAATTATAGTTATAGAGAATACAATTTTATTTTGTCTTTTGTGTCTGGGTAAGGAGTAATAGTTAATTAGGAAGTATTTAAAAAAAAACCATTAGTTCCCGAAATCAAACTAGATGTCGCTACGGTACTTTCTTGATTTCTCCATGACAACCCTTCCGGTTTTCTTTCATGTATAAAAGTAAATTAATTTTCAAAACTCAATAAACAACTCATATTCTATTTGTACTTTTTCGTATTTGTATTGATATCTTAGTTTCAATCTTTGCAAATTTCAGTATTTTAATATGTTAGTAAAAGGAACGGAAATGACTATCTTTGGTCTATGCGTTTCCTGCAAAAATCAACTTTTGCTAGAGTCGCCATCTAGTGAGGTGCTTTTTAGTGCTTTCTTTTTTTTCTTTAAATACTTCTTCATTGCAATGCAGTTGTATAACTAGCGCGGCTATTATCATACATCATCATAGACCTTAAACGACCTGCGACCTGAAGCACGCAATAGCTCGGGATGATAGATAGGTCGCCCATCCTATAACCGGCCTTTGCGAAAGTTGTTTAACTTCCTAACTAACGTGCAAACTCTCCAACACAATGTGTTTTTGTTAAACTTCTAGTTCCAATAAATAAATATTATTTATTTTATATATTTACCTTGCACATACGCCGTAAGAACACAGAGAACCAGAAAACGCGCCATTTTGTTTGATCAAAATATTTTTCTAATATCTATTTAACTAATGCTTATATAGTATTAATTATCTTTTATCGTATTAAATACATTTATCTTATAATTATATTTCGATGATGTTTCATGTCGTATGATTAATAATTTCGATTGACCAACTATCATTTCAAATCAAAGATTCATTATCTTTCACTTAATTGATTTGGGAAAAATTAATTCCTATAATCAAACTATACTCCATTCATTATAACATTAGAAAAAAGAGGATCTCAGAAGCAGCAGTGCAGAACATTTTATTTACAAGATATATTTAAAAAATATTTATAATAGTTTTGTTGAAATTTTCAACTTTAGGTAGTCTGAAAGAGTTGAGCAATTTTACATTTTCTCGGGGTTGAGATGAGACTAGCATTTTCTAAATTCATCTTTTACTCAGAGCCAACATGGAAATAAAACTATCTATCTGTTGTTTTGATTGATTCTAATTGTAAGTGTATATACTAGAATATAATTGAGTTATATCTAGCCCCAGAAAATAAAGGTAAACAAAATAAAAATTTATTCAGATATTATTAGACTATTTAAGACATTGGAAAACTACTTCCTGAAATGTCATAGGTATTTGTTGTAGGCCACTCGGGTCTGCACCGGAATCGCAATTTAACAAAACTTTACAACAAAAAGGCTAGTAGCATTCACAATGAATGACAATCCCAGATTACGTATTTTGACTATTATCACATTATTATGAATAAATCATAATCTGACAAAATTAAAAAGCTGTACTGCCGAAACTTTTGAAGGGATTAGGCAACGTTTTAAATTTGGTAGAGTTATAGTGACATGAGAATCGTGCCGAAACTATCTATTATAACCCTGCTTCTTCAGGTTCTTTAAGATGAACACTTTTTATTGTCATAGTTAATAAATGTTTTAAGTCAGTCAAATAATCATATTTTTTTTATATTTCTTTTTAATATATAGCTTAAAAGACAACGGTTAAGCATAGCAGCTGGTATTTAAGTGCATATGTAGCAAATAAGCCGTGAGTAACATGATTGTTGATATTTTGTCACAAAGTATACCATAAAAAGAACTTTATCTTCATTCTGTCTAATCCTATAATGAATGGAGTTATAGATGTCGTTACGGCACTTTTTCTACTACTTTACCTAATTTAGTAAATTATTTTTTTAAATTGAGTAAATTTTTTCTTTTTTTTTAATACTTCCTCATTGCGAGTTAGACTCGCGCGCGTAAGGTACTGGTGACGAGCAAAAATGTAGTTTGTTGTACGGGAGCACCTTAAATATTTGTTTTATTCTACTTTTTAGTATTTGTTGTTGAAGCGGCAACAGAAACACATCTCTGCGAAAATTTCAACTGTCTATCACGGTTCATGGGATATAGCCTGGTTATAGACAGCGAAGTCTTAGTAATAGGGTTCCCGTTTTACCCTTTGGGTACGATAAAAATTATCTTCATCGCCAGCCTTTTAATATCCCCACTGATGGGGCTCAGGCCTTCACTGTGAGAATCTAATAGGGAGAATGGACCATGACTCACCACGCATGCCCAGAATGTATTGGTAGGTATTAACGACTGTAGATGCAGCCGGGGCCAAGGGCTTAACGTGCCTTCCGAAGCCGGGAGTTTGAGATAGTAAATTTTTGGTCACCCATCCCATGGCAGGCCATTGCGGAAATTGCTTAACAATTGTGTCGCATACTGATCGCTCTAACCACTGCACCATCGAGCTCCTCAGTTGCTCACAGTAATCTTTGGTCACCCATCCTATAAACGGCCATTGCGAAAGTTGCTTAACAACCGTATCGCAGACCGAGCGCTCTAACCACTGCACCATTGAACTCCTCAATACCTCACAATAAAACTACAGCATTTAAAATTGATTTAATTATTTATTAAATTAACAAGTCTATTACACTTTAATAAACTGGAAAATCTTTATCGACGTTCCTTGCCCACGCGTGAAGTCCCCCGGTGAGGTCAGCTACCTTCCCTCTATGTGAATCTTCTATAGCGTCTAGAACCTTCTTCGCGGCAATCTGAGAATCATTACCCCGCCGACAGATGAATACGACTGTAAAATAAAAAAAATCTATTAGAGAAGTGTTTACAAAAAAGAAAGCACTAAAAAAGCACCTCCACTAGATGGCGACTCTAGCAAAGTTGATTTTTGCAGGAAACGAATGGACCAAAGACAGTCATTTCCGTTCCTTTTAACTAACATATTAAAAAACTTAAATTTGCTAAGTTCGAAACTTAGATATCAATACAAATACGAAAAAGTACAAATAGAATATGAGTTGTTTATTGAGTTTTGAAAACTAATTTACTTTTATACATGAAAGAAAACCAGAAGGGTTGTCGTGGAGAAATCAAGAAAGTACAGTAGCGACATCTAGTTTGATTTCTGGAACTAATGTTTAAACACGTATTTTTTCATTTCTTCAGGTTTCTATGAATTACGACAATGTCCATATAAATATATTATATATCGAGTTGTACGCTTTTTACACTAGATAGTTGTGACGTGACGAGCCCCCACTCCTCAGCTTTAATACCTCTAATCTAATCAAAAATATAAAAAATTGTAACTTATACTTGAATTAAAGGTGTTTTTTACATATATAAAAGGTGCTTTATAATAGATTGAAATTAATTATTAATAACTTATTCTTCATATAAAAAAGGATATTAAACTACTCAGATCAGGCGACTCAAAAGATTCCAGAAGTTGGTGTGAAAATGCACTCCGAAAAAAGTTTCGTAATAGCTGAAAGTTAGTTTCATCATCATCAGTCCTTTATTTTGTCCCCACTGCAGGGGCTCAGGCCTTCCTTATGGATGGTTAAGGAGGATGGGCCATGACCCTCCACGCTGGCCCAATGCGGATTGGAGGGTATTAACGACTGCAAATTCAGCCGGGACCAACTGCTTAACGTGCCTTCCGAAGCACGAAGTACCTCGAGATAATAATTTTTGGTCACCCATCCCGTGACCGACCCTTGCGAAAGTTGCTTAACGACAACGATGCTGCCGCGGCGCTTATCCACTACGCCACCGAGCTACTCCTTTAATGGAACAAATATATAAAGCAATCGCTATAAGTGTTTAGCGGCACCAGGTGTACCAGCATCTGACCCCCCCACTGGGTACTGAGTACCCTCAGTAGTAATGTATACTCTTAGTACTACAACATACTGAAAAATCAAGCTTTCAAAAACAATTATGTCACGAGCTCTCCGTCTATTCATACAAACCTCGATGAGTACACATTCTTATCCTTTCGAGTAGCTCCTCAAATTTTTCATCTCTCAAACTGTCTATAGGCCAATTGACAGCGCCATCTATTCTGCACATGTCGAACTCCGGCTCGCTTCTCACGTCCACCAACAGATGGCGCTCTTCGTGGTTCGAGTCTGTGCGCAGCTTCAGACTTTCGGATAATTGCGAAGCGGATATTCGGTTAGCTGGTGGTAGAATGTGAAGGTCTAGATCCTAGACAGCAATATTAAATGTGATTATCACCTGCCTATTTCTATAAGGACTTCCCTATAAATATAATTAAATAGGGAATAAAATTGAATAGGGAAGGGCCAAAGCCTATTAAAAATGATATTACAATAAAAAAGGTAGATAGGTTATGTCAAAACGCCATTTTCTGTCATGGCGTCGCTATGACGTCATGCCCCTCTTAAACTAATTTCGTTCTATATATACATAAGGTTTAATGCTCTAAGTACTGCTCTGCGATTTTGTAAAAGTCCAGACCCGAATTCGAATTCACTCATGTGTCTGAATTTACGTTTTTAGTCTAGAAATCCTATTGATTCCATTTTTTGTATAAAAATACTAAACAAAATTGATTGATTAAACGTGTCATAGATATTTTAATCCTATATCATTTCGAAACTCACTTCACTTATTTCACAAAACATTATTACCAATTGAAGTTTGAGCTGATGCCGCTTTTCGAAGTGGACACATGAGTGAATTCGAATTCAGGTACAGATTTTTACAGAATCGCCCTGTTGATATGTGTAGAGGGGCGTGACGTCACGCGCTGTTTGCGGTCACGTGACAATGATTATAAAATATTTGTTTTCTCATAATTAATTTCAGGAATATTATAAATACAATAAGCATACAAGTGTGATTACCGATAATAGTATATTATACACTACCAGAAAAATTATAACAGTATGTATTTGTTGACCTCCGTAGCCGGTTTCAAGGTGTCTCCATCTCTGAGGTCCCGGGTTCGATTGCCGATCGGATCAATGTAGAAAATGAACTTTTCTCTATTGTTTCGGGTGTGGGTTTTGTGGTACCTTCGTTGTCTCAGATACTCCATAATACAGGGGCTTTAGCTACTCATCTTCGTGATGTTGTTTAATATATATATATATATATTTTTTCGTTTACATAATACAATAATACGATGTCCCTCGGTGGAAGTACCTAACTTAACATGTCAAGTCCAACACTTCACGTGCGTAAGTGACGAGTTAAGATGGTACTACAAGAGCTTAAACAAGACAGTATATATTGAACTGTATCTGTCTCGCTCGATCTTTTTTTGATGCAATTGATCGAGACATTAAGTTATTTTTTCAGATTATAAATGAAAATCAATTGAAAATGTGTACTTGACGAATAAATGTGATCCTCAGGCCCTCGGGAGTCAAACTTGTGGATTTTTTGTTAAATTTTGCAGTACAGAGGGCAGCATATTTTGAATAATAATCGGATATAAACGCACAAAGCCAACACTGCCAACTCTTTCGTCAGATTGCGTTTATATGCGTTAATTAGCTTTGTTACCTATAAACCTTATTTATTGTAATATAATTGACTTATAGCCCATCACGAAGGCTCAATATGGATTGGTGAGTTTAAACGACTGCAGAAGTAGCCAGGAGCAGGGCTTGGAAACCGGTTAATTTTTTGAACCGGTTCGACGTAAGTACATTCACAACTTTACATAAAAGGTTCAGCTCCAGCTTTGAACAGGTTTTTAAGCTGGTTCACTAGAAATACGGTTTTCTTTATTAACCGGTTTAAATATGACTCCAAACGATGATCTCACAAACTTCAGCGCGGTTTTTAAGCGCCTTTACTCCTATCTATAACATCCGTACACAGGTATGATAAATTTCGTCGCTTAAAAATGATATAATTCGCATTCAAAGCGTAAGAACATTGCTTTTTACGAACCAAGCGAATTAACCGGTTTTTATTCCATCCGAATTTCACTCCGCATTCAGTTCCGATCCGGAACGGAATATTATAAAAGAACAGGTTTTACCTAAATAAAAACGGTTTATTCTGAACCGGTTTCAAGCCCTGGCCAGGAGCATTAGCTTAACGTAATTTCCGAAGCACGGAGTGAGATAAGTAATGGAAATTTGATCACCCATCTCATACTGACATTAATTTGCAAGATGTAAAAAAAAATAAGGTCAAAAACTAAAACCTGACTACAGCTAAAACACGGACTAAAAATTTTGAAACAAGAAATTTATTTTATAGCTATAGCCATATTATAATAGCTAAGACCAAAAAGCAGCGTAGTCGTACGCCACTGGGCATAACAAAACAAACTGTTGTAGTCGGGTTTAGTATTTGAACTTATTTATTTATTTAATTATATTTCGGGTGTATTTAAGCAAAACTATCAATTGCTACACGGAAAGATATAATTATATTATATTTTAGTTTCTTACTTTATGCTCTCTAGAGGGCGCTGTTGCTAATTTAATGCAACGTCACTTGCTTAAAGTACGCGGACAACTAAGACGCTTCTAATAACACCTCATTTGTCCAGTTACGATGAGTAGTTTCGGAGTTATAGAGGAACAGATGAACATTCTTACATATATATCGGTCAAAATCATAACCCTCCTTTTCGCTTCGCCGTAGTCGGGTAAAAAAAAACTAAACTGTTATTGAGTATGTTTATTTTAATATAATAAAGTGGCTAATGAAATATAAAATTAATAATTACACTGGCAAGATAACATGCATGTCTTAAAGCGAAGTTGTATCATTTTCATTGGCAAGGTAAATATTTAACATAATGAAATGATAAATTTTTTTGAAGAATCAATTTTTTTACTTATTTTTGAATACATTATCTTGCTATAATAATGTAACATTTGAGAAATATTGTAAATATTATTATGATTTTGACAATATCTAGCAAATGTAATATTCAAAGTAATTGTGATAGATTTGAAAGATAAACAATTAGGCCACTGGTCTCGGCTATTGTCTAAAATCAGTATATACAGATTGCGCACAAAAATTGACTTTGTGTCGGTTTTTTGTCTGGTGTTTGGAAATAATCAAAATATTTCTATCATATATTAATATACTCTATATTATACTCTATTTTGTTTTTTTTTTTAATTTTCAAAATTATTTTATGTTAATCGGAATTGTTTAAGAAAAGTGATAGTTTGAAAGCTCTTGGGAAATGAAATGTCAATGACATTTATATCATTCGTTTCAAAAGCGATTGTCACTTTAAAAGTTACACAATATTGTATTTTTGGTATATTGTGGTATGTTTATTATGAGTTTAGTATGAGATAATGCTATCAGCATTAAGTGCGCCTTATGTACCATCTTTATTTTGGTCAAATCAAGTTCAATAAATAAATAAATATTCATATTATACGGACTTTTACAGTAACATTTACATTTAGAAACAAATTTATAAGCTTAACAAAAAAAATTTCAAAGTAACAATTGTTCACCGCAGAAATACTCATTACCCGCACAATTCAAACCATTTCTACCAATATCGACGTTATCGTAATCGCAATTAGGCACATTATTGTGTTGCCACACCAAGTCGCATACGTCACTCTCATATTTCGGCTTGAAAACTCTGAGATTCTTCGAACTAACCACTCTATCGAATGTCTTTCTAGAAGCAGGACTTATGTTTTTACTTTTCATATCTCTGATATACTCCAAATATAATTGATAGAAGTTTTTTATATGATTCATATTCAAATATTTTATATCTAAACTCGAATTCCTACATATATCACATTTGGGCAAAGAAACAGGTAACGCATCTATATAATTATCTACGTTCAAAGATTTCAAAGGTTTCTTTGGACATTTAGGCTTTTTTTCACTTAACCAATTCCTCATCATAGCTTCCTTCAAACCTAAAGTATTCAAGAACATTAATCGACAAACTAAATATCTCTGACCCTTATTACATAGGTGATAGAGTTTAGAATCGCCCTTCCTCGAAACTGCATCTTTGTTCCTACGGCGCTTCGGCGCCACGACATCGACGAGAGATCTGACGTAATCCCTCTTCTCTCTCCAATCTAAGTCGTGCCAGAAGTGACGGAAGATGTCCCGTCTCGTTCCTTCATCGAATTTGCCGCAATACCTCGTTGCCCCTTTAAGGCATAGCTCGGAGGAGCAAGGTGGTCCGATCTTCCGCTCAGATTTCAGAACGTCTTGTACCCATACGCGTTTCTCGCGATCCGTTTTACGGAAGCCATGGTAGCTCTTTCCGTTCATTCGTTTCTCTTTTTCTAACCGTCTCCTCTCTGCCACAGGCATACTTTTCGGCTGAAACAAAAAATGCTCTGTATCTTACTTACGGATACGCAGTGGCTTTGCGAATTTCAAGATGGCGAATGTTTTTTGGCCAGCTATGACTCTTTTATTGCGAAAAAATAATATATTTACCATCAAATAAGAGGTTTGAGATATTAATCTTTGAAATAAATTAATTAACTGTATTTTTTATTGAGTAATACAAACGTTTATGTTAACATGGATAAGACACTGTAATTGGTTTTTGTTGTTGTATACAACTCTCGTTGAACTAAATTGGTAACCTGAAATTATTTTTGCTTCAGAATAGGTATTATTACCAGTGGTCGGAATTAGGTAGAGTTATTCATGTACTTACACTGATTTCATACGACGAAAGAATAAAGTGGATATGCCTCAAATCCCGAGATTAATTTTAAAGAGCAGAAAAAAATCCCGTGATTTTTTAAATAAAAAGTTATTTACTTTTACACAATTTAAACTGTACTGCACGCACGACGTTGCCAAACTTACATCAATGACATCGGATCTATAATTTGTATTGTAAATTAATGAGAACTAATAAAAATCTTATGTTAATTATCTTTGTTTTATTTGTCTATCTCTGACGTTGTTATTATTATTTAGTTGTAAGATTGTTGGCCACACGGGATTGTCCATTAGAAATCTCGGGAAGGTCCACATTAATATCAACATTAATACATTAATATTTTTTTTTTTATATAATTAAGAAGAATATTTAAACTCTTTTGCGTAATCGATAAATAACGGAGACACATACAGTGAAAATGTCACATGACGTCACGCTTTTGTACATTTTCTACAAATGTATGACGTAGCGAGCCTCCCCTCTTCAACTTTAATGCCCGTTATCTATTTCTTGTTGAATTAAAATAAAAGAAAATGTATCTAACATTTTTTGTAGGTTTCTCTTTTTTTTTTTTTGATTATGATCTGTTTGTGTACCATTTATAAATAAATAAATAAATTCTATTATCTGATTGGCGGACAAAAATTCTGTTTATTTTTTATTCAAGTATATTTTGATTACGTAATTAGAATACTACATTTTAAAACAATAAGGATAATGATCCGTCTAATGGCTATCATTCTAATCCAAATATATATTATATCTTCGCAAAAATTTTGAAACGTTAGCAATTCAATTATAAATAATTATACCAAAATCGACTTACCTTCAAAACATTCGCTATTTTGAAATGGATGCACACGTCATGAATCTTCAGTTTGTTTTGTACAGTCAATAGCATACCAGTATATACAAATCTGTTAAATTTTTACCACTCGATTTTAGACATTATTATATTGTAAATAGAGTTTAAAGTCATCTGCATAAATTTGACATATTGTGGTATAAAATTTAAGAATTAATAATAAATTTTAGTTTCTCTGCTCATCGGGTAGATAACTGAAGTTTATTAAACATATATTTATTTTTTGCGCAATCAATTAATTATGGCGTTACATAAAGTTGAAATGTGGCATGACGTCACACCTTTGTACATTTTCTACATAGTTGTGACGTCTATCTCTATCTAAGATATATAAAAATATAGACAGAAGTTAGAGTAAGTATATTAAGTTTTCTAAAATAAGGTCTACAGATCTTAATGTCCACTATATTCACCAATATACAAATGCATATTTTCTGTAAAACGAAGAGTTTGCCAACGTCCATAGCATTTCGCCATAGTATATTTTCGAAACTGAACCAGACATTAGCATAGGCATAATAAGCACACTTAATTACTGACTTTCTGTACTCTTATTTAATTCATATAGTGAATAAGTAAACTTCGACAGTTTCGATGGTACTCTATGAATGTGTATTAACCATACCTTCTCTTTAGCCTGTGACTGGCAAAACACCTCGTAGTCTACGAGCCGCGTAATGCTGGGTGTATCTGAACACACGGCACATTGCGCATTACGGCCTCGAAGATTCACTGTGGCAAAAATATAATTCGGGTTAATATACAGGGTGTTTTTCTATCAATGGACAAATATTCAATAAATTTCCTTTCCAATAGCCGGTTATAGGATGGGTGACCCAATTTTTTTTTATCTCGAGCTGCTCATTGCTTCGGAAGGCACGTTAAGCCATTGTGCTGGGCCCGCGCGGTGGGTCACCTGACCTGATGTAATTCGATTCCATCCATAGGAAAGGCTTAGCCCCAGCAATGGGGACATTAGTAGGTGACGATTATGAATATATCCACATTCAATTCCAATATCATTTACTTAATTTAGGCTGTTTCAAGTGCACATGAATGTTGAAATATATGTCATCAGCCCTGCGATTTTCGAAATCACTCGGGTGTCCGAATTCACTTCAAAAAGCGGCATCCGCTCAAACTTGAATTGGTAATAATGTTTCGTGAAATAAGTGAAGTGAGTTTCGAAATGATATAGGATTAAAATATCTATGACACGTTTAATCAATCAATTTTGTTTAGTATTTTTATACAAAAAATGGAATCAATATGATTTCTAGACTAAATGACGAGAATTCGGACACATGAGTGAATTCGAATTTGGGTCTGGATTGTTACAGAATCGCAGGGCAGTTCATAAATCTACCTTGTACCGAAAAGAACCGGCAAGAAATACAGCAAGGGGCCCCATTTTATTACATACAGAGATGTTCAAGTAAAAAGTGACTTTAATTGACAATTAAGTCAAAAAGTATCCAACTTTAAATTAAAAAAAAAGATATTTTTTTAATCATCTTACCAGTTTTGAATGTCATATCTTCACCGTCGAAAAGCAGCATTCTCTCGACCAGCAATTTGTCGTGTGTCATACCAACTATAATCTTAATCGCCTCTAAAGCTTGAAGAGTACCTAAGAATCGAATTATTAATTTTAGGAAAGTAGTTCTGCTTTATGTTTAAAAATTAAATATTCACATGATACAATCAAGTTCAGACTTAGCAGTATAAATACTTTAGTTTTAGTTGATAAATTAATACATATCGCACGTTGAGAATGACAATGTCACTAACCAAAACCGCCATATTTTTTACTTTTGATAACATTTATCTTTGTTAAGTATAAACTTTAAAATGCGAAGATCCCTGTGAACGCAGCTTGCATAGAAACTGCTAGGTGGCGTGGCGACGATACGTTGTTTAGAGGGGTTGATTACAATTACTTGAACTTTAAACGCTCATTACTCAAAATTGCATTTTTTGCATTGTGTCACTATCGTTCTCAGCGTACGATATACTATTAAAAATATCCTAAAAAAGCTTATTATAAGATGTCTGATTACATAGATAGGAATGCTTAGACTTGAAGTGTTCCAGCTATTTAGACTTCTATACTCTTCATATTTTTAAATTTACTAATTATTATGTTGCTTATCCATATTAATATTGTAAATGTGAAAGTGTGTTTGTCCGTCTTTCACGTCAAAACGGAGCAACGGAATAGTGTGATCATTTTATGTGGAGATATTTGTAGGGCTGGAGACTGATGTAGGGGGTAGAAGTTTAAATGGAGCGTTCCGCAATTTTCAAGGCAGAAAATTAAAACTTTGTATCTGACTCTTTGTAGCTAACAAACAATATATAATTAAGTAAAATCATTTAGTTTATTCAGTCTAGACTGTCACGTAGCACTTGTGAATGTCGAAAATTACTCCAACGGTTCGCAAAACTACGTAGAACTTTTACTGAGAAGAACCGGCAAGAAACTCAGCAAGGGCTGCTTTTTCCTCCCTGTTTTATTTCATACAGAGAAGTATTATTGGTAAGTGACTTCATTAGACTATGACGTCACATTTCATTACAATATCACAAATAACAAGACATATATTTTCGATTACTGATTGATATGCCGATTGCCGAGTCATACATACTCATTGATTTATTATTCATAATAAAAGAAAATGGACGAAATTAAGTGCGAATTAATACGTGCAACAATTTTTATTATTAAGAAATTGCCTCCATTCCCTTAAAAGAGGGGATGAAATATTCTATTAGACTTTCCGCGGCGTTCAAGATAGAAAGCCATAAACAGGTATGCGGACTATTTGTTACTAGAAACATAGGTTTGTCTTTATCTTTTGGAAATCTAACCTAACCTAACCCTTTAAAAAGGGGGTCTTTCGTGAGTTTTCAAGGTAAATAGATGAAAATATCTTGCATTCTTGGAGACCGATACTTTAAATTTTCAAAATATGCCATTTTGTTCCTGTGTTTTAATTTATTGTTATACTAGCTTTTCGCCAGCGGCTTCGCCCGCGCTGTCTTGTATTATAAATAAAAATCTTCCTTTTGAATCACCCTATCTATGAAAAAAACCGTATTAAAATCCGTTGCGTAGTTTTAAACATTTAAGCATACATACGGATATAGGGACAGAGAAAGCGACTTTGTTTTATACTGTGTAGTGATGTTCCTTATGAAAAGTACTTAAAAACTCCACTTGGTCCCTGACACACTGAGATGTGAGTTTTTATGCTTTCTTCATTAATATTTTTCAGTATAGCATTGCGAATGAAATAGATCAAATATAATGAAATAATTAACGTAAATCCTGTGAAATAAATAAATGAATAACTCACCAATAACCCCAGGTACTGGACCGGCTACTCCGTTAGAGGAGCAACTACCCACAGCTTGAGGTGGTGGGGGCGTTGGAAACAGACAACGATAACACGGACCTATATACGATGACTCCTGAATAAATTAATAAGTCCAATGAGGAAGTATTAAAAAAAAAAGCACTAAAAAGCACCTCCACTAGATGGCGACTCTAGCAAAACTTGATTTTTGCTGGAAACGAATGGACCAAAGACAGTCATTACCGTTCCTTTTAACTAAAATATTAAAAAACTGAAATTTGAAAAGTTCGAAACTTAGATATCAATACAAATACGAAAAAGTACAAAAAAAATGAGTTGTTTATTAAGTTTTGAAAACTTATTTACTTTTAAACTTGAAAGAAAACCGGAAAGGTTTTTTTAACTTTTGAGAAGTTTAACTTTAAATATAATTTTACTCAGCATTACCTATTCGACATGTTACACGGTGCCTTAAAGATGGGGACGCTTTGATATTTTAAGGGGGCTTACACTTTACATTCTCAAACAAAAACGCATCGAGAGTAAAGACGCGTTCGCTTGATTTCATGCATTTATAATCACAGAAAAAAAAAAACAAAGGAATTTCTAAAAAAAATTTTTTTGATCATTTTAGATTATATAAAAACCTAAATTGCATAGTTCAATGCTATAAGGATTGCTGATACCACAATATTCTACTCGAGGGCCATCCATAAATTACGTCACATGTTAAAGGGGGAGGGAGGGTGTCGACGAAGTGTGACATTGTGTGACAAGAGGGTGGGAAGGTTCTAAATTTCGTGACGTCACATTCCAAAATCTATTATAATCTATGTGTTAAAACACGGACTTTAAACTACTCGTATTACTTTACAAAAACCTTGCAAAATATGGGACATCACACTAGGAGGGGGGAGTGTTACAAATGTGACCAGCTGTGACTAGGACGAGGGGGGAGAACGGGGTGAAGGGCAAAAAAAAATCACGAAAATCGTGTGACGTAATTTATAGATGACCCCTTAACCACATAATATTGCATTATGACGGAAATGTCGACGCTGCACATGCATCGCCGAGAACCCCCCCCCCCCCCCCCGCAGACCTCCGACGCCTCATGCCTTCCTTTGAGGCCACTTCGGTTCACCAATCGAACTTAGAAATTCAATCTATTTTAATATTAATTATAATTTTTTCTTTAATAAATAGTTTTAAATTTTAAATCGACTTTTTTTTCAAACTTACGTCTGCTACCTTCGTAATTCCTATGTATATTAATATTAGAAAGAGAAAATATTTGGTTGTGCGTTTGTTTGCATCGAAACTGCCAGACCGATTTAAAAAATCTTTCACCTGGCTAGATTTGAGATTTAATGACGCCTTTAAGCTCTAATGAATGTATTATTTGTATGGGTAATGTCGTTTTAAACTAATTACAATTTTAATGGACGTTTTGTTTTACTGGTTGATAAGCTACCTCAAAAAAATATTGATGTATTCACTTTTTGTGTCTCGATTGTGTTGAAGATAAAATTTGTGGTATGATTACAATTAAAAATTATTTTAGTTAGTGTTATTGTATATTTCTTTTCTTTATGTTTCATTCTCAACAACAAATCAAACAACTAGATACGAGTGTTATGAAAGTTTTTTGTGAATAATTCAAAGCTGACAACCTTAGCGCTAACGCCGAGCGTAGTGTAAAAAATGAAGTACATTACATTAGATGTATGAATATGGGTATGAGTATGGATATGAGTATACCTACCTTCTCTTTGGTATTCCTCTCTGCTCTATAGCCGTAAACAGTGAGCTGTCCTTCCATTTTCAAAGCACTTCCCGATATTAAAGGTAACTGTGTAAAAAAATTACAGACTTATTGGACATATTTAACAATTTTCTCGTACTATATTTTCTTTTCACTATTGAAAACTGGTCAATTCTATTAACATTATTATATACAGGGTTCTTTGTTATAACATCGCAGAACTAGATGGCCAACATTATAAAAAGCACAGGTTAAAATAGAAAAAATATTTTTGTGTTGAAAAGTCCATTTATAGAGGAAGGCTACAGGCTACATTAATTTTTAAGTACGCTTGCACTTAACAATTTATCAAATTATTGATGATTGTGTCCCACATATTAACCTTATTTGTTTTTTTTTCTCTGTGACTTAAAATTCAACCGTATATCTCAGAAGACTAAGTTACGTGCTTTATATTTATAACCCTGTATAGAAAAATATGTTTTTTTTTTTTTATTTAATAAAGAAAAATCCATAAATGAATTACAAAATTAACGCCCACTTAATCGTTAAGCAACTTTCGCTAAGGTCGGTCACGGGATGGATGACCAAAAAAGTTATTGTCTCTAGATACTCCGTGCTAAGGAAGGCACGTTAAGCTGTTGGTCCCGGCTGCATTTGCAGTTGTTATCTTATATATTTTTCAATCCGCACTGAGCCAGCGTGGAGGGTCATAGTCCATCCAACTTAACCATCCATAAGGAAGGCCTGAGCCCCTGCAGTGGAGACGTAAAAGGGCTGATGATGATAAACGGCCCCTCCCTCTAACGTGTAATTTAATTAATGAAAGGTCCCATATCATCTTCACTTCCTCACCTTGGTGATGATACACAAATCATTTAACAAGTACCTAGTGGGTACGTTATCCGTGCAATCCAGTATCAAGTCATAGTTGGCAGCGATGTCTACAGCGTTAGTGGAATCCAATTGGATATTGTAAGGCGTCACTTTGATGTGGGAATTGATACTAAAAAAAAAATATTTTTAATCAACTTATATCCAAACTACTGGCTTTCCGCCAGCGGTGTCGCCAGCGTGATCCTTAGCTAACTTTTTGGCGGGATGAAAATTTTTTACACGATATATTGAATAAGTATTCGTTAAAAATGCTGCTCAGAGTAACTTTATCACGCGGACGAAGTCGCGGGCATAAGCTAGTCTCTTATATTAAGCTTCATTGATTCAAGATATCTGTACGTTGAGCGAGAACTTTTAAACTACACAACGATTTTTAATTCGGTTTCCATCAATATAGAGAGTGATTCTTGAATCAAGGTATATATGTATAATACAGGACCACGCTGGCGAAACCGCTGGCGGAAGCTAGTTATGACAAAATATTGAATTAACAGTTTTAAGTAACAGTTCCACGTCTTGTCATTTAAAATTTTCTATATCTTATATAACTATATTTTGATAAATAAAGATCTTTTCGAGCACTAATTAGATAAATGTTGTATCTAGGGTTTTTTTTTAATCATATAGTATGATGTAAACGCAAACAAACTATATATTTATTAATAAATCTAAACACGTGCTGTTTAAAATATTATGATACGTTAATTACTCATAACGTAATCAGAATTGTTGATTTAATACATTGATAAATGAGAAAAACGTGAATTCCTAAGTCAATTAGGAATTTATATATTTAAATCATTGAACTAAATGTAATTATCTATCAATCTAGATTAGATATGTTTTGTTGTTTTAATCTTTCATGGTCATCAACATAAGTTTTGTTTGTATGTAAATAACACGCAGCCGCGTAGTGGATAAGTGCCGCTGCCCGCGATAGTTGTTGTTAAGAAACTTTCGCTAGGGTCCGACACAGGACCCGGGCCCTCCTTGCTGGATACCGGATTCATGCAGCGGGTTTTACCAGGTAGGGCTTCCACATTAACCTGCCCTTTTCAGGGCGGGGTGGAAGAGGAGCCCTGGTTTAAGGCTTAAGGTGCATTTCCCCTGCGTTAACAAAAAAAAAAAGGATCCGACACAGGATGGGTGACCGAAAAATTATCTCGAGTATCCGTGCTTCGGAAGGCACGTTAAGCTGTTGGTACCAGCTGCTTTTTCCGTCGTAAATAACCTCCAATGCGTGTGTAGAAAGTAAACGAAAATAATTTTATTTTTCTGGTAGTGTATAATATACTATTACCGATATTAAAATTTTATGCTTATTATAATTATAATGTTACTTAAATTAATTACGGAAAAACACGAATATTTTATATTCTTTGTCACGTGACCTCAAACAGCGCGTGACGTCACGCCCCACTACCTATATCAGAACTTATATATATACATTTCATGTATATCTATAAAATAAAAATATATAAAAAAGCATTGGGTCGCGGTTGTCATCGTATTATTTCCATTTGTTTTGTAAAAATTATGAAGGCTGCCTTTATTGGAAAGTGGCTTCAAATTTTAATGAAGTCATTTTTCAATCTTGACGCTCTGTGTGAAATAAAACGGAGAAAAAAGCAGCCCTTGCCGAGTTACTTGCCGGTTCTTCTCGGTACAAGGTCTCCCGCCGTAGATTTACGAACCGATGGCGTAGCTCACGACTTTCACAAGTACTTGTAACAGGCTAGACTGAATAAATAATTTTGATTTGATTTATTTGTAAACGAATGCTGTCGTTCAATGATATCTACTACTGCGATTTTGCTGGTGTTCCAAATATAACCCTGTATAATTAATAGACATCTACCTTCTCAGCTTCTGCGCAGCGGACTCGGCTTTGCTAACATTCTCATCTCTCTCAGTATGTAAGATCTGTCTGTGTATATTTGTAATTTCAACCTCATCGTAATCCACTATGCCTATTTCACCTGCAAAAAAAAGGTACTTAGGTACTATAGATCATCATCACAACATAGTATAAAACAAAGTCGCTTCCTCTGGCCCTATATCCGTATGTATACTTGAATCTTTAAAACTACGCAACGGATTTTGATACGGTTTTTTTCATAGATAGGGTGATTCAAAAGGAAGGTTTTTATGTATAATACAATACCACGCGGGCGAAGCCGCTGGCGGAAAGCTAGTGGCTTTGTAAATTATAGCTACATGAAAGAAAACCGGAAGTGTTGTCATGGAGAAATCAACAGAGTACCATAGAGACATCTAGTTTGATTTCGGGAACTAACGTTTTTACTTAATACTTCCTCATTCAGATATCGATTCTTCTTCACTTTTTAAATTAATGGCGTTGCCCTTGTGGATTTCGCCGGAATCCAGTGTTCGCTCAGTTAATTTAATATATTATAAACTCTGCTTTTTGCATGTTGGTAGTGAAAGCCCAAGTTAAAATTTTGAATTCATATCGTGACACGGATATAATTATAATGACCAATTGAATAGTAAGCAATGGTTACTATGGTAACTTTATAATTCCCCATACAAATTTCCACTTCCATTTTCATTACTTTATTTGCAGTTTTTCGAGATAAAATATAGCCTATGATACGCCCGTAGGTGATAGAATTTTTAAAATCGATCCAGTAGTTTAGGAACCTATTTGTTGCAAACAAACAAACAATCAAATCATTCCTCTTTATACTATTAATATATATATTTATAATATTAATATAGGAAACAGTTAGTATCTGTATAGATTAACTGACCTACGCCTGCTCCTGCTAGGTACACGGCAGCTGGACAGCCAAGTCCGCCAGCTCCGACTATTAATACTCTAGCTGCGCATAGCTTCTCTTGCCCGACGACACCTATGTCAGAAAGTAGAATTTGTCGACTGTACCTAAAACAAACCAACAGAGACAGTAGAGACGAGGCTATTTGTTTTATCAACGTCATTACTTTTAGGTCCTTACTGCAGGGGCTCAGGCCTTCCTTGTGGATGGATAAGGAGGAAGTATTAACGACTGCAAATGCAATTGGGACCGACTGATAATAAACTTTTGGTCACCCATCCCGTGACCGACCCTTAAGTTGCTTAACAACAATGACCGCAGGCCGCGGCACTTATCACTAAACAACTGGCAAGTATACATTTCTATTAATAGGTTAATGTATAGTCGCCGTTTCGCGAGAATACCGCTGGCCTGATTTGGAGCTGCGTCAGATGGATGTAGGTTGCATACATGCAGAAGTATACCCGGCATTACACATCTCTTTTACTTGTACACAAACATATAGCTATTGCGCTCGCACAGATGCATCTAGCCAATTCCGTCACAATAAAGTGATATCTAAAGTGTTTACGATGTCTATCAATAGGAACAAAGGTCAACGTACGATGATGTTAAGACTACCTACTTAAGATTTATATGATAATAAATCACGCTCTAAAAAGTTTTATAGCTATATTGTAGCTATATTATAATAGCGATGTATTTTATAGCTATATTAAGTATTTTATAGCTATATTATAATAGCGATGACCAAAGGACAGTGTAGTCGTATATCACTGGGCATAAAAAAACAATCTATAGCTATAAATTTCTTGTTTCAATCTTTTTAGAGCATAATTTAGCTGTAGGCGGGTTATAGTTTTTGAACTTTTTTTTATTTAATTAATATTTGTGTGTATAACTTTTTGTCTGTGACTTGAAACACAACTTGCCATTGTGTGACGTCACTGTGGCGGCAAGTGTTAAATTAGACATAAGATATGCTTAATCAAATTCCCAGAGGCTGTTGGTCTTAGCCTATTTAGAACTTTTTATTTCAAAATTGATCGTTAGATCGCTAGAATCATGGCTAGTGTAATAAATACATACCTTTCTATTGCCCACCTCGGCAAACGGTCACCATAATGTGTGTTATGAGAGTTATTCAAGTATCTCTGATCATTTACAGCGTCTAGTTGTGTGTGCAATCCCTAAAAACAATGAGTTTTGAATATTTTATTTCTGATTTCTGAAAAATTTTTTAAATTTCACTTATGACTATGATGTTGGTTAAATCTTGCGGCAGCATTTCAATGTTAGTACTGTGAGTACAGACTACTACCTGTGGTTTTGGTCACCTATCGGCTAGCAATCACCATCAAATCTTTTAGGTAACCACCGAAGGAGCTAAGACCTTTCTTATGCTTTGTCAAGGAGGATAAGCAATAGCTCAACGACTCAATGCAGATTGGAGGTAGAGTTTATTGTGAATCACTAAATTCAAGCAGCTGATTTTTTATCACTAATTCATGCACTTTAATATAGCTCCAAACTGATTTCCAAGAGCAAATAAATTATAAGCAGTCAGCTTGTTAGTGGGTCATGCTCTATTTCTTGCATTGATTTTAAACTCTAATAACATTAAAGTTTCAGATTAAGTGGAGAAATTTAACAGTTTCATCAAATTTAAAAGTTTCAAATTTAGTGGAGTAATTTGACAAGCACTTATGTGTTGTTGACAGTACAATACAAGTTCATATCTTATCTACTTAATTTGTAAATAAAAACGTAACTATTAATTCTTACCAACTCACATCCTTTTTTTAACTCGTACAATTCCATTTCTTTCTCTCTCAAAACTTTACGGAGATTAGCAATCTCCTGTTCCAAAATTGTTACTTTATCCATATTTATAGCCGTAATAATCTAAAAACTCAATGAAATCGTGAAAGACAGAGTAGAAACAGCCAAGTGTTTATATTCTATTTGCTGGTCATAAAAACATTGATAGAGAACCGCCTTATAAGAACCCTTTTGTATTTTGATGCTTTTTAATATTCCTTCTCAGCAAATAATTATTTTTCTTAGGAACCTATTTATAAATACGACTTAAAAACACTTGTATCAGGCACTCAAAGCCCCAAAAGAGCGAGAGTCAATTTAATTTCAATGTCGTTATTGACTCTAAACTATCATAAACTAGCCAGTATCTTAGTTTCAGGTTGCAATGGTAAGATTGTTTGATCGGTTGAACTTTGCTTGACCCTTCGAATCGCTTCGTAACCTTAGAAATAGAGTTATTTTAGGTTTATTTTGACAAATGCTTTCGTATATAAATAAATATTTTGACTTTTGCGTTTTGAGGTTAGAAAGGAAAGTGACATTAACAGCTTTTTACTAGTGATGTTAATAGAAACGATTCATATGAAATATCAATATGTGTGAACGAAGTGTATGTTGTTTGGTATCTTTACCAGTTAAACTGGTAGAGAATGACTTTTTTGGCATTAAGTTCAACATCTGCTATGTTATAGGCATTAAAGATCAAATAAAAAAGTAATCCGTGATTACTAATCACATATTAGAGCTGTAACTTTTATCATATTTTAAGTTAAAATTTAAGGTAAACGGCGTTATTATTGTTTCACATACAGGAATATTTTTTTTCCAGTGCAAAAATTTTTTTTGGTGGTTCAGTATCAGTAATAGAACACTTTTCCATAATTAGTTAAAAAAATTTTTTTAAATATTTTTATCCCTATCGAAATGGTAGAATATGGACACATTTTTTAAAATAAAACTTCAATGAAAACGTCTTCTCTTGCGTATGCCACCGTGCAACCCCGCCGCGCCCGGTAGCCCCCCACCACAGCCCCCACCGCCCCGCCGGGACCGAGCGACGCGCGCGACAGTGAGACTCATACGCACGCGCCGATGTGACGTGTCCTCGCGTTCGCGCGCACGCGACGCGCCCGCCGTCGTGAGTTTTACGAGATGTACGAGTTTATCTTCTGAGTGGTGAGAACCTACATAAGCGCAATTCGGAGAAAGTATGCGACGAAGAGCATACCTCGTATGCGGGCCTTTGGGATCCGTAACCCCGCGGTCCCTAATGCTTCGAACCATTTTAACAGACGAAGTCCCAGAGTCAGTACCCACGATGAGCCATATCTCTTTGGTGTGAGCCAGCCTGCGGTATTGAAGCTGCTAAAAACAGCCGGACTCCATCCGTACCACTTTCAGCCGGTTCAGCAGTTCCATGACCTAGACCCAGTACCACGTCGAGCCTTATGTGAGTGGCTTCTACATCACCGCGATGCAAACATCTTGTAGACGGATGAGGCATTGTTCACAAGTGAGGGACTGTTTCTTATGGGAAGAAGTCAAACGCCGAGATGTAGAGGAGGCACAAAGTCTAGAAGACTTAACAATAAAAAATAATAACGCTTTCAGTGAAGTGAAAAGTGACACTAGTGTTTTAAACAAATTAAATGACAATTTAATGAAATGTGCACGTTTATGTCTGGACAGACGTGGACTTCATTTTGAACAAATATTAAAATACATGGTAAGTAATTAGTTAGGTATTTGTTTTGATTCAACATTATTGTAAATACGTAGTTGATTCAATTTTTTTTAAATACGCCTTAACGCAGAAGTACCTATGTAACTTCGGCATAACGTTAATATTTTTTTCTAGGTAACGAATTTGTTTCTCTTTTATTTTTTTGCATTTTGATGGCCTTAACCATAAAAGTATGAAGGGAAAATTGGAATTAGTCTTAGAAATCACCTCAGATCATGGCATAAAATCTAGTTCGAATCTAACAAAATGAGCGTTCAGTGACCCGTGTAGATAGGTACTGTAACGTCCGAGCACATTACTATAGGTAGGGTTTACTCTTCGGACGGTTTATGGTCAAGTGCTGGTCGTTAATATTTTAAATTATTACTTTTTCTTATTCGAATTCGCGTGTTCGTGTTTTGCTGGTGAATAGTCTTCCTTTCTGATCGAGACCAGCTTAGGGTGAGCATTGTAGTATAATTATTGTAAGTGCTTAAATGTAATTCTTATCAGAAATAAATCAAGACTAAGGAGTGCTACCAGTTTTTTCATTGCGCCACCCACCTCCACCATAAGGCTAATTTGCCATAAGTCGCCATAGTACCTACGAGTACATGCCTACGGCGGCGTCGAGCGAGCGCTCAGCTGACGCACGGCGCGCGGTGTCCATAAATGAAGTTTTAAAATCTCGATCTTTGATAAGCGATAACTTTATTTTTTAGTATTAGAACATATCAAAATAAAAAATACGTGTTTATTTAAATTACTTAAAGTTTATTTTCACAAAATCTTCGCAGTGGTTTTAAATTATTCCTGTATATCATATAATTTTAATGCAAGTGATACCCTTCTATAAATGATGGCATACTTAATATGTAAACCTTGTTATTATGTAATTTTGAATATAAGCTTTAATGTACTCATGGTTATGAGAATCTAACATAAAATAAAAAGACAATCTTTTTAACATAAATTAGGTGCCAATATTAATAAGGGCTAATTATACCACGGATAAAAATGTTTCTGCGAAAAATATAATTTTAAATATTTGTAGCAAAATTTGTGAAAAGAAGCTGAAGATCAACAAAACCCTTCGATTTTAAAGTGTCTTTATGAATTGACCTGTAACTAGCAATAACTAGTCTTGATATTGCACTTTTTCTAAATAATAATTGGCAGTCGACTATAATAATAAAACGTATTATTAGTGAAAGTGAAAATAAGAAGATAGATGTAAGATCTACACACGGCGAAAAAAGTTTATTTACATTATAGTGCGCAAATGTTTCTGCTCACATTTGCGCACTATAATGTTTCCCACTATGGCATAATCGGAATTTGGTCAGGAATATGGTTAATCTTCAAGCATGAGCATGTTCATTGTTGAACCAAAATATTACAAGTATCGAATTGTTTTGAATTATTATTTTAATATTACGATTATGTATCTTGCTTATTATTGATATTGCTATTAATATAAAAAACTGACTGAGCGATACGTACAGAAACTTAAAAGCATAATTTCAAACAAAATACAAGATTGGCCTAATCAACTTGGAATAACGAAACAATATTCAATGTCAACTGTCAACTGAAAAGTCAATGAACTCAAACTCCAATCAGAGGTGCATCATTTTCGAATACCTACTGTTTTTCTCATTTTTGCAATTTATTTTATCAATATTCCTGTCGATATTATTAAATTAAATGCATAAGATGATAAATTAATCATTATTCATATAAATAACGCTATTGGTACATTGTTACATCCTATCTTTTTATTCGAAAGAGGGTTTGTAATATTTCTGTTTATCAGCAAAACAATGTTAATAACCTACTGTTTTGGTTTGTTTCTGCAAAACAAAGGTGTTTGATTATTGTGTCCGTTCATAATAGTGGAAGAATACAGACAAGGTAAGTCTTTATATAAATTTCAATAAAACTAGGTTAGTTTATAACTGAGTCCCTATTTTGTGATATTTTTTCTCAATAACATTATCGGTAGTTGTAATATTATATCAACATTTTTACTTGTTTCTTCCAATTGGATTTGCGTACCTATAACGGTTATAATATTAGGAGGCATTATATATATAATAGCTATATTGGAACAGGCCACTGGTTATAAACCTTAAAGTCCTTAAAACCTTGTAGTTTTATGGTTTTGGGGTATTTTACTTCAGAACGTGTGATCTAATCCAATATGACAAAAGCTCATAAGAGATGCACGTATAAGTATATTTCGTCACATAACAATTCTGCCCATTATAATTTCACATTCTTGGTAAATTTACTAGCCTTTTTTGTTAATAATGTTGTGGTCCTATATTATACATAAAAACCTTTCTTTTGAATCACCTTATCTATAATTGACGACCTCCTTAGCTGAGTGGTTCGCACGTCGGTTTCAAGGTGTCGCCATCTCTGAGGTACCGGGTTCGATTCCCGGTTGGGTCAATATAGAAAATGAACTTTCTATATTGACTCGGGTCTGGGTGTTGTGGTACCTTCGTTGTCTCAGATACTCCATAATACGGGGGCTTTAGCTACTCATCTTGGAATCTGAGCAATGTATGTGATGTTATTAAATATTTATTTATTTATTAATATATAAATCTATTAAGTAAAACTGCATCAAAATCCATTGCATAGCTTTAAAGATCTAAGCATACATAAAGGCACTTATGGAAAGCAACTTTGTTTGAAACTAAGTAGTGATATTTTTTTTTACCCAACTGCAAACGAAAAGGTTTATCCCTTTATTTGTGGCTACAACAACCAAACATAATTATGTAAAAATACAATTTATATTAGACATATTATTTTACATAAACACACTACTTGAACGATAAATAAACTTCTGACACTGAAGATAAAAAAAAACAAAATCAATGTTCTCAACAAACAATAAGAATGATGAGTAATTTATTATTAAGTTATTTAAATAAATAAAAAAAAATTAAACACATATTTTTATTTTTTTTACTATCATTAAATTAGGGCAATATGTCGAGTTGAAATATCAGCCAGCCAGCCATCTCTTCTTTTAATCATACTTTAGGGAATGTAACGTTACCACTGCAGAGATTTTTAAGAGAGAGTGATTACTCTAATTAGTTAACATAGTGCAGCAGTGAATTAAGTAACCTAGTTTTAATACATCTTTCAATAGCCCTCTAATTTATTTACTTTATAGATGATGGAAGCCTCTTCATCCCGTTTCACGGCAGCAGAGGGCGGTGCCCGGTTGGCCATGGCTGCAAACAACAAAAATATCTTGGCAGTTGAATATGCATCCTTTATAGCGACAAGGCTCATACATGAAGACGCATATAAGATAAGAGGGTAAATCTTACCGTCTCCCGTCTATTCTCTTCGTTCGTTTATTTCTCTTAATATGTTGGCTACTTAACAGTTATAACAAAAAATATGTTGGAAATAGTAACTTACATGTAAACAATAACTATATTGTACTTTATTTTTGCAAAAATTTACTTGCAATCTATAATTTGTAAATTACAAGAACCAAAAAGTGGGCGGCCATGACTGTGCGTGTTGTGACGTCACATTTCAATAAACTAAAGTGTACATCGTTGTTGTGAATAAAACCAGTACTCATGTATATTGAAATGTCGTGTGTATGCATAATGTGAATGCATAGTCATTTTGTTCAATCATCAAATTTGAAATAATGTTAGTGTTATTATGTATAATTTGTGAAAAATTTATGTTCTATATGACGAAATAATAATAATAATAATAAATATTCTTTATGGAACAAAAATCCACTGACTCTTATAAAATTTTACACAGATACATAAAAAAAGAGGACAAGTCAACGAACAAATACTTTTTAAAATATTTTTGAAAATTGTCAACAACCCTATTTTAAACACTTGTTCAGTAGTACACATAATAGTCTTTTCCTATTTCTTTTAACAGCTCACTCTTCGACGGTCGTCAGAGATCTGTTTACATGACGCGCGGTTCACGTGTGCCCTACACGACGTACGAGCTGAATATAATGACAGATCTCAAAGTGGTGGGGGCGTCAGCTGTAGAGGACGTGTACGATTGGTGCGCTGAACTTGATAAGAAGGAGGTAAGGAATATGTGACGTCACAGCGATGGGCGGCAAATTTCGACCAATCAGGGGATCGAATACTTGCATTTGCCATCACTATCTACTCTAGTACAATATTATTAATGCAATTTCTTCCTCACACATCAACGGTGACAGATATATTTTCACAGTTTTGGTGTCTCATAACCAGTGGTCGGAATTAGGTAGAGTTATTCATGTACTTACACTGATTTCATACAGCGAAGGAATAAAGTGGATATGCCTCAAATCCCGAGATTAATTTTCAAGAGCAGAAAAAATCCCGTGATTTTTTAAATAAAAAGTTATTTACTTTTACACAATTTAAACTACTGCACGCACGACGTTGCCAAACTTACATCAATGACATCGGATGTCCAAAGTTGCAAAATACCAATACGCGCGATGTTGCCACGATGGTCCACATTAATATCAACATTTCGATGCTCATAACAAGAACTGTGTTATAAAGTACTTGTAGTCGTAGCGTTATTGACTTTTAGTCTATTAGGCTAGCCTAAGGACAGAAACTTCGCTTTCTGTTATATGTTCGGAAAATATGAACCATTTTAACTTTAAAAATATATAAAAAAGAATATGACACCAATTTGGATAGTATCAAGCTTTGAAAACTTGAAAAAAGTAGGGAAAATATACTACAAGAAATAATAAAATACATATGGGCATTAAATCAATTACATGAAACAACTTTCATTATAACAGCATAAATGCACAAGTTACAAAGATATCACAAAGATTAGCAGTGTATGACGTCACTTAGTGCCTAGAATTTGTAGGCAGCGTTTTCTGCTGGCTAGCAGCAGTTCCACAAACAGCACCGTTTCTCCGAAACTATTAATCGCAGACATGTTTGTTACTTCTATATTATTTCTCAGATATTAATGGACTATTTATTATATATAAAAAGTTTTCAACCAGCCTATAACTCTTAACATTAGCAGAATTGCTATACAGAATTGCGACATCTGAATTCTAGACGTACGTAAGATGAAAACCTAATGCGTTTTATTTTACACCTTATAGTTATTGAATAAAAGACTCACTTTAAACTGCGCATACAAAGATTCACAATGCGTCATAGTAGGAACTTGGCGTTATTGGACTATGCCTCAGAAATATAGACCTTAAAAGACTAATTATAATCATAGGACAAATTCTCACAGAAAGAATAGCTTGGATAAGACATTAAGGTCAAAATCAAAATAATCTTTATTCAAATAGACTTTTTAAAAGTACTTTTGAATCGTCCAACATTTTATTCCCTACTGCTCGTTCAGGATGTCTTTTGACTGATAAGAAGAACTCTCAACAGCTCTAACTCACCAGCTCTAATAGGAGTAATGACATTCACAAAAACCATGTCATTACCAGATCAATACATTATAATTAAAGAGAGAGAAAAAAAAACAAAAAGCAAATTTATAATTATTCTTCAAAATTTATTACATTTCCTGTATAGTTCCAGAAAAAAATAAAATCATCCTTATAGTTGTAGTGTCAAGTGGTTTCTTTTTTTTTTGTAGGTACTGGTGTGCACATCCTCAGTCCTGAAACACATTTTGGAGGAACAAACATTGTCTATAGCCAAAATTAATATTTTAATCATAGACAGCTGCCATCTCGTCTGGAGAGATGATAATCTCAAATATGTGAGTAATATTCTAGAAGAATCACGTTTGTAAAAAATTTACAATGAAATAAACCTCCTTTTCCTCTCGACTGGTCGCCATCTCTGAGGTCGCGGGTTCGATAGACTTTCGCGTCAATGTAAAAAAAGGACTTCTCTATATTGACTCGGGTCTGGGTGTTGTGGTACCTTCGTTGTCTCAGATACTATATAATACAGGGGTTTTAATTACTCATCTTGGAATCTGAACAATGCATGTAATAATTATTTATTTGTACATAAAGAGGAGCTCGGTGTCGCTGGTCTGTCTTAAGATGGGTGACCAAAAATGTATTATCTCGAGCTCCTCGCTGCGGAAGGCGCGTGAAGCCGTTGTTCCCGGCTGCATCTGTAGTCTCGTTATTAATGACATGGAAATACATATTTTTTACGCGCTACAAGCTTTCGAGTCAATTATTGTTAGAGAAATTTTAGATTATAAGTATTTCAACATTCACTTTATGAATATGTCTCGCCTAAATTATTCTTTACTTTTTAAAGCGCATAAATAAAAGCTTGCTTTTTAAAAAAAAAACATTGTTTTTAATTAATACACTATCATCCTGTCTACAGATAATGAAACTTTACAAAGAGTGTGATGTAAACGATAGACCTAGAATATTAGCTTTAACATACCCCTTATTTACATCGAGTAAGTATAACATAAACAAAACTGAAGAAAAGACAACAGAAACCATAGATAATAACGATGTAACAGAGAAAGAGACAGTTAAAGAAGAAGAAAATGAATCTACTGAAGCTCTAAAAGAAACTGCGGCTGTTGAAAAAGAAGATATTAAAGAAGAGAAAGCTGAAGATGTTCCAATGAAAGATGAAGATAAGAATGTGTGTGAAATGGATGTCAATGAGGATGTGAATGACTATGATATGTATGAGAAGCTTGAATGGAAAATTGATGTGTTGGAGAATGAGTTGTGCTGTGAAATGGATCTGGCCGAAGACATCGATGGTGGCAAGAGGTGAGGAAATATGTGTTATTTATTTATTTATTTTTTTATTCTTTTAATTTTTAGGGGGTTTATTCTTTAAAACATGCCAACCCCATCATACCATACTTAAATCTAGATTCATTTGATAACAATATTCCACTAGGCAATTTTTTACAGCATTTACTACAGCTTATTTTAAATTTACAAGTAATTTGCATAGTTTTTGTGCAATGATAGACTTATACTCCATTCACTATAACATTAGAAAAAAGAGGGTCATAGAAGCAGCAGTGCAGAACATTTTATTTTCAAGATAAAATTAAAAAATGTATATTAGTTTTGTTGAGACTTTGAACGTTAGGTATTCTGAAAGAGCTGGGCAATTTTCCATTTTTTATGATACCTCGGGGTTGAGATGAGGCCAGCATTTTATAAATTCATCTTTTAGTCCTAAGCCAACATGGAACTAAAACTGAAACTATCTGTGTGTTTTGATAAATTCTAATTGTAAGTGTAATAAGTTAGACTATTGATGAAGACATTGAAAAAACTCCCTGAAATGTCAAAGTTTGAGGGTAGGTATGGGGGCCTAGAGCGTAATTTTTGTAGGCCACTTGGGCCTGTACCGACGTCGTCCATATTTACCAAAACTTAACAACAAAAATAAAACAATAACATTACGGAAAACCGCTAAACAACAATCCCAGATAACGATTTTAACAATTATTAATAAATAATAGTCAGACAAAATTAAAAAGCTGTACTACCGAAACGCTTGAAGGAGTTAGGCAACGTTTTAAATTTGGTAGAGTTATAGTGACATGAGAATCGTGCCGAAACTATCCAACCCTGCTTCTTTAGGTTCTTTACGATGGACACTTTTTATTGTAATACTTATTAAATCATTTAAGTTAGTCATATACTCATAAATTTGTTTAATAGTTAGCTTAAATGACAACAGTTAATTATAGCAGCTGATATTTAAGTTAATATGTAGCAAATTAGCCGTCAGTCTTAAAAGTAACATGATTATTGATATTTTGTCACAAAGTATACCATAAAAAGAACCTTATTTCAATTCTGTCTAATGCTATAGTGAATGGAGTATAGGTTCTGATAAAATACTTTGAATTAATCCTATATCAAAAACATTTAATTTATATTCTTTCATAAATGACTAATATTATTTATTTACTATTACAAGTGTAATTACACGTTTTGGAATTTTGCTGTTAATATTATTGGTTTTCCGCGACTTCGCCTGCGTAAATTACGGCTTGCAAATGCATTACAATCAAATCTTTTCTTTTTTTAACACACACACACACACACACACGCACGCACGCATGCACGCACGCACGCACGCACGCACGCACGCACGTACGCACCCACCCATACACACACCAATGCAAGACCTTCACATACTTAGGCACACTTACCTTGCTTAATTAATATCTAACCATCCTGTTAATATTATAAATGTGAATGTTTCTTTGTTTGGATATTTGTACGTCAATAACGCCGAAAGTACTGAGCGGATTTAGATGACATTTGGTATACAAATAGGTTATTAGCTGACTTAGACAATAGGACAGTTTTTGTCCCACCAAACTTTTCCCTAGGGAACACGCGGGCAAAGCCGCTGGTGAAAGCTAGTAGTGTATGTCGTATATAGAAATGTCTTTGATTACTCATTTGGAAGTCTCGGCGAATTTGTTGTAATCGAATGATATCAGTAATACAATGTATTTGTGTTTTTATCATCATCATCAGCTCTTTTGTTTCCCCACTGCAGGGGCTCAGGCCCTCCTTATGGATGGTTAAGGATGGGCCATGACCCTCCACGCTGGCCCAATGCGGATCGGAGGGTATTAACGACTGCAAAGGCAGCCGGGACCAACGGTTTAACGTGCCTTCCAAAGCACGAAGTAGCTCGAGATAACAATTTTTCGGTCACCCATCCCGTGACCGACCATTGTGAAAGTTGCTTAACGACAACGATCGCGGGCCGCGCCGCTTATTCACTACGCCACGAGCTACCGTGTTTTTATAAAAAAAATTTTTTTTTTTTAATTGCAAAGTTATTAATATTTTTAGAATGTCGTCGTCGATAGCGAGACCGAAAGAATTGGTGGTGGAATATGGCCAAATATCACCTCACGATGCGTTACCAGATGAGTACAAGGAATTGGACAGTTTTATGAGGACCACCGTCAATGATGCTTTGGACTTCATCAATGAGCACAGGTAAATGTATAAATATATTTAAGTATAGTATAATAGGGTTGTGTCCTACATCTAAAAATACGGGTTTCTGTTATATGCAGAGGTCGGAATTAGGTAGAGTTATTTATGTACTTGCATCGAAATGTTGATATTAATGTGGACCTTCCCGGGATTTCTTTATTTCTTCTTTCTGTATTTCTTTCTTTCATTGATGTAAGTTTGGCAACGTCGTGCGTGCAGTAGTTTAAATTGTGTAAAAGTAAATAACTTTTTATTTTAAAAAAATCAGGGGATCTTTCTTTAAAATTAATCTCGGGATTTGAGGCATATCCACTTTATTCTTTCGCTGTATCAAATCAGTGTAAGTACATGAATAACTCTACCTAATTCCGACCACTGGATAAATGTTCAGAAAATATGAAGCATTTTAAGTTATAAATATGTAACAGAATACATATTTTGACAGTTATTTTGATAATATTACGCTTTGAAAACTTGAAAAAAGTAGGGAAAATATATTAAATAATGTTGCTAAAATACATATGGCATTAAATTAGTTACATAAAACGTAAAAAAAATCATTATAACAGGTATAAACATAAACACATTAAATAACAAAGATATTACGAGTACAATAATTGCTCAGACGCCCTTTTTTTTTGCTACCGCTCTAATAGGAGTGATGACATTCACAAAAACCATGTCATTACCAGATCAATACATTATAAATAAAGAGAGAAAAAAAACTATGGCCTTATAATGATAACATAATCATTTAATAATAATGGAAACAAGATAATTTTTGATATATAATGAGTTAAAAAAGTAATCACCTATCCAGTTGCTGGATCATCTCAAGTCCAAGCGTTCTTATCTGTTATATAATCGGATACCTTATAATAAGCTTTTTTAATAGTAGATTTAAACTGCATGATATCTAATTGTTGTATTTTGCTTGGGACCTTATTGTAGAAGCTCACACAAAGACCCCTGAATGAGTCATTAACTTTTTGCAGTCTAGTGACAGGCACCGGTAATTTATTTTTATTTCTTGTGTTAAAATTGTGTATATCACTTTTTATAGAAAACAAATTAATATTTTTACGAACGTACATAAAGTTCTTAAAGAGGGACTCTTTCTATTCAATCCTAAGATTATAAAATTTCTTCTGATTAAGCTCTTTTCTTTGAACATGAATTTCATGACTAGTGTTCCATATGGGCGAAGCGTATTCTAGAATACATACTACGAACCAAGACGTTGAAAATCGTTCAATTGCGATCGCAAACTCTAATACAAGTAACAATATTAAAAAAATTATATCATTTCTAAATTGATTTTCAAAAATATGAATTAATAATGTGTTTTTTTATTGTTTCAGATACGACCCCACTGAAATTTACGGTGAAGATTTGTATGAAGAGTTCAAGAACATCCCCGATCCTACAATAGAACCGAAATTAATTTTCAAACAGTTTTTATACGTTTTGAATCAATTAGGTAAGTTACCAATATAAATTTTTCAATATCCGCACTGTTGGAAGACAGTTGTTTCCCTTGGATGGAACCGAATTGAACCAAACACGGAGAATGGGCTACCCACCACGCGGGCCCAGTGCTATTGATGAGTGTTATAAACTGCAAATGCAGCCGGGACCTACTGTTTGATGTTTTGGTCACCCATCCTATGACAGGCCATTGCAAAAGTAGCTTCCGTATCGCAGAAAGAACCATTGCGTCATCTAACTATACAAGTTAAGTAAGGAAAATGCGGGTTAGTTCGTGGTTTTTATTAATTTGGAACTAATTTATGTTTATGGAATAAAGTGGGTCCAAATGCCTTTAGGTACATTTTTTCGTATACGATTATAAACTTCTGTCATTCATGAGATAGATGAATAGTCAATTGTTGAATGAATATACACTTAATTTTACCGGAACAAAATTAACAAGAGTTATAAACGCCTATCACAATTATAACACCTATAAACGTTTTAACAGTACAATCGGCGTCCTCATCGCTTAGGAGAAATATTTGAATGAAATGAATGAAAATGAATGAATGAAATGAAATGAATGAATGAGTAAATGGTGTTCTACATAGAATAAATTCTGGTAATTGATTTGTTACAGGCCCTTACGCTGCAGACAAAGCAGCATTCTCTCTACTAGCTAAACTAGAAAAACTAAAAATAAAAGTACCTTACGAAAGACATTTTATTTTACTATGTCTTTGCACGTCTGTCTTCGTCAAAATTAGATGCTACGCCGATTTGATATTTTCAAAATACGACTCAGATTGGGATAAGATAAAATTGTTCTCAGCGCCAAAAGTTTTGAGGTTCGCCGAAATACTGTTCAAGTTTCAACCGCCTGAATTACAGAAGAGTACTGAAGAAACCACAGCTAAAATGCTTAGTGACTTAGAAACGTGTGATTTCAAAAGTCTCGGCAATAAAATCGAAGATAAAGTCAACACTTACGAGGCTAACTTGAAAGAATTGGAAGATTACAGTGAAATAAAGAGTGTTGTAGATAGTAGCCATATTGTAAATAACGTTAGCAGTGAATTGGATAGTGAAAGCAATATAAATAGTGATCTTAGTGTAAAAGATAGAAAAGCAAGTGAGAATATTGGTAAAAATAAACCCGAAGTGATAAGTGAAATAAAATTGGATGAGAAAAGTGATAGTGTAGATAATAGTACATTTGGAACTAAAAGTTTTAATGATAAGAATGAGTCAGTTGGTCATAGGGATAGTGGAAAAGTTGGTTTTTCAAGGAGATCAGGGGGTAGAGTCAGGGGTAAGGGGAGGGGACAGAGAGGTAACACGGCGCGGGTGCAGCAAATGCATCAGAATCCTGACGCTTTGTGCGGTATAGTGTTTATGAGAGAAGCGTTAATGGCGAAGATTATGTTCATGTTAATAGTGGTAAGTCTCCATCTCTTTTTACCTCGGTTTTCCTAACATCTCATTTTTAACTATTATTGTTCTCAGTCTATACATATTTTTTTCTTTCCTTATACCTTTTTTGTACACTATCTTGTTATCATAATATATTTAATAGCTTTTAATGAAATAAGTAGTTATTTATGTTCAAATTTATTTAAACTATGTAGCTTAACACATGCCAATATCAAGTAGTGAGTCCATTTACATAAATAAAAAGGTCTGGAAAAAATAGATAACGTCTGAACTACATCCAAGAATATTTTACAGCCATAGATACACTTCACTTCTTAAGTAACACAGATACACTTTAAGTCTTTCGGTCACTTCTTTTATCACTTGGCCTTTAGAAACGATTTATTATCTATACAGCAGTCGCTTAGTTTATCATTTCACCAATTGGTCTTGCAAAAACGAACCTGTAACGAGATTAATTATTTAAAATAAATATTCCAGGATATGTCTCGCGCACACCCTAAGTTGTCTTACTTGTGCGCCCAATATTGCGCCGTAGAGTCACCTGCTGACCCTGGAACCGAACCCAAAGAATGCCAGAGACAAGGCAAGAAGCAAGAAGAGGTACTAAAGAAGTGAGTTAGTCTTAAAGAAAAATGCTTTACAAATTCACCAGTTCTAGGTACCCCGACGTAGGATTTGACCCTTTTGCAATCCGGAAAAACTAACTATTGAGAACCCAACGGAACTGACGAATTTTTCAAGCACTTGTTACTTTTTCTCTACTAGTGTTTGTTTGTTTTCTTATAATTATATTTTATTAATTTTGTATTTACAATATACAAGAACAAAAATAGTTTATTAGTGAAATCATTCGATTACAATGAATACGCCGAGACTTCCCAGTGAGTAATCTAAGACACTAGTTATGGGAATGTCTCGTAACTTCCCCAAAGATTTCATACAAATACCTATGTGAAATTTGCGTGTATGTTTTTACGCAAATGTTTTATTTATAAAATCAAAAAATATTTATTTAGTCTAGGCTGTTACAAGCACTTGTGAAAGTCGACAGAGTATATGTTTTGTTAATTTAACCTGATAAATAATATTTTTATAGGTTAATCTTTTTAGTCAATTAGTTACAAGTTCCTTACATTTATACATCTACATCTATATATCTTACGGTTGGATTTATTAGAAGGTTGGTATTATTGACAATTACTGTCGTCTAGCAAAAACTGTGCGAATAGAATATGAGTAAGCAACATTATCTTTTCTACGCTTTTTCTCTAAACTTTGGTCATATGTAGTGATTTATGATACTTTCCGATACTAGAACAACCTTTATATATATAACTAGCTTTCGCTTGGTTGCCCCGGGCTGCGAGCAGCCCGGGGAGGTTACGAGTAGCTAGTGGAATCGGGGCGGTGGGGTTTCAAGTCCACCTCGTGTTTTGTCGGGTTCATAGTTTGAAATTGCCTAGAAAAGGTCAGTAAGTTCTATCTTCAAATAAAAGGTGTTAAAGGACAAAAGCACAATACATCAAAGAAAAAGTGTTGCCAGTTCACACTTAATAGAAAAAGATATTCAGTGGAAAAACGCAAGCAAAACTTAAAATAAATTTTGTATAGATACTTAAAATAAGTTTTGTGTTTTATTCTCTTATTCTTATTTATTATTAAATTACTGTATAATATTAAAAAACAATCGAACATATATTTCCATCAGTGTTACTATCATTAATTAATCAATTAAATGTCAAGAAATAGTATTTATTGTATTTGCATTATTACATTACATTATTTATGTAAGATTTATTTATTATATGAAAAGGGTACCGATGTCGTGGCCAGATATTAGAATAGATCAATTCACGATGCAATGGGGTTTTAAGTCCGCCTTCGTTTCAGAATAGAAGCTTTCGCTTGGTTGCCCCGGGCTGCTTGCAGCCCGGGGAGTTCACGAGTAGCTAGTGGAATCGGGGCGGTGGGGTTTTAAGTCCGCCTCCGTTGCAGAATTTGAGTTTTTCGATTTTTTTTTGTTACGTTTGTTTTATAGTTTGAAATCGCCAACAAAATGTTAGTAAGTTCAGTCTTCAAATGAAAGGTGTTTAAGCACCATACATCAAAGAAAAAGGGTTGCCAGTTTACACGCAATAGAAAAAGAAATATTCAGTCGAAAACGCAAGCAAAACTCTACATAAATTATATTCTCTTATTCTTTTCAATAGTAAGTATATATTTAGTATGAAAAAGGATCGAGTAGATATTTCCCCCAGTGTTACCTTAAATAATAATACACCAAATAAATAAATGTCATATTTCAAAATCATATCTACGTAGAACACTTTCATTTTGAATATCAAAAGAACATGTTTTCTCAATAATCTAAAAGTATAGAAAAATATATTTTAAGTATTAAATATCGTGTCAAAAATTGGATTTTCTTTTCTCCATACTTACCTATATGAAAGTGTGGGTAAAGATACACAAATATACAAATGGTCCATATATACATGCTATATTGTCAAGTCCATCGAAATCAATATTTAAATTAAAATGGTCACGATCATCTTTTAAACATTATAAACCAAATGTTACCATCAACAAAAGCGATACGTTTCTGGCACTTCGCCGGCCGCTGCCGCGGCACGCTCGCTACGCTCGCTCGGCTCGTGCGTTGTTTTTCATACACTAACCTAACCTAACCCATATGTCATAATAAAACCTAAAACCTATACAAGTTTTTGTTGCTTTACTTATTGTCAAGTTCTTGAGCATAAACGAGTCGCTTGTGGAATCGGAGCGGTGGGATTTTAGGTCCGCCTCTTGTTATGTTTACAGTTTAAATTTGCTTAGAAAAAGTTAGTGAGTTCTATCTTCAAATGAATACGTCATACGTCAAAGAAAAAGGGTTGCCAGTTTACACTAAATAGAAAAAGAAACATTCAGTTGAAAAACGCAAGCAAAACTAAAATAAAATTTGGAATAGATCGGCTTGTAGTCATTTATTCTTTTATTCTTATTCAAAAGTAAGTTAATATTTAGTTAATACAGATATTGGAGTTTTAAGACCACCTCTTGTTATGTTGGGTTTACAGTATAAAATTGCCTAGAAAAAGTTAGTAAGTTCTATCTTCAAATAAAAGATCTTTAATTACGCAAAACATCATACATAAAAAAAAAGATTGCCTGTTTATACGCAATATAAAAAGAAATATTCAGTTCAAAAACGTAAGAAAACTTAAAATAAATGTTGAATACATCGCCTTGTAGTCTTTTATTCTTATTCAATAGAAAATTTCCTAAAAATCACAGTATCAAAAAAAAAAACTGTTTTTTATCATCCGGTAACACTTCAACTGAATACATTTTTTTTTCTGTAAGTAATCTGAAAAATGTTATCAATAACGCCAAAATCAGCTCTATAAAGTAAAAACCGTGAAAATTGATACATTTTCTAGCACACTTATAAGCACATTTGGTCACAGTTCCTTAACCGATTGACCAGGTTTCCATTTATTATGGCTCGCTTCGCTCGCTTTTTCTTTTCGTTTTTTTCACAGATCTAATCTAACCGATTGACCAGGTCTCTATTGATGGTGTCCTTTATGGCTCGCTTCGCTCGCATTTTGTTTTAGTCAGAGTGCTAACCCTACCAATTAACCAAATATCTCTTAACAGTTACTCCTTATGGCTCGCTTCGCTCGCTTTTTATTTTATTGAGAGTTCTAATCCAACTGATTGATCAGGCCTCTATTGATGGTGTTCTTTAAGGCTCGCTTCGCTCGCATTTTATTTTAGTTACAGTTCTAATCCTACTAATTAACCAAATCTCCCTTAAGGGTTACTCTTTATGGCTCGCTTCGCTCGCATTTTATTTTAGTCACAGTGCTAACATAACCGATTGATCAGGTCTCTTTTAATGATCTCGCATTTTGGCTCACTTTGCTCGCTCTTTATTTTGGTCACAGTCCCTTGAACGATAAACCAGGTCTCCATTTATTATGGCTCGCTTCGCTCGCCTTTTGTTTTATTCACAGTTCTAATCTAACTGATTGATCAGATTTCTATTGATGGTGTTCTTTAGGACTCGCTTCGCTCGCATTTTATTTTAGTCACAGTTCTAAACTTACCAATTAATCAAATCTCTCTAAATGGTCACCCTTTATGGCTCGCTTCGCTCGCTTTTTGTTTTAGTCACAGTTCTAATCTAACCGAATGACAATGTCTCGCTCGCTTTATTTTTCTGGCTAAAATAGTGGAATTTTTTTCTCACCGCGTAAAGATTGGGTAAAGATACATACACAAACGGTCTATATATGCTATAAAGTTCCCGAGTCGCCAACTCGGTCAGAATCGTCCTGAAATTTATATGGTGACTACTATCAGTTTTGCTAGTCGATCACTCAAATTATTCCAACAATTATGTTATAAATGCAACAGTAAAATTTTTGTTACACCGTAAAATCATTGTAAAGAAATGTTTTCATATTTTCCATAAATGACATACATGAAAGTTTCTCAAAAACCTCGGTATCAAAAAATTTTCAGTTTTTTTTCATCTGGCATCACTTCAGCTTATGTTTTTTTTAAGTAATCTGAAAAATGTTATCATATGCGCAAAAATCAGTTCTATAAAGTAAAAGTCGTGAAAAATGATCAATTTTGTAGATAAAATGGCCACAGTTTAAGCCGCCATCTTGAATTTGAAATTTCAACCTTAGACCTATGTAGCCCACCTATTGGTGCATCCAACGCAGTTTTTGTTATTTTCCTAGCGGCTATAATGACTGCGCTAGAGTCCAAAACGTGAATAGTGGGCATTAAATATTCAACCCGCCGTAGCTGCCGGTGTTGCCAGGTGTAGGCAATGAAAATAGTCAAATGTGATTTCGGGACGCACCTTCCATCGACGGATACTAATTTTCAAGTTCTAAAAGTGTTCCTTTGACAGTTACAATTTTTGGGGTAAATCTCGAAAACTACCCTAAAATCGGGTAATTTTTGTCCACCATATGAATGAGTCTATAGAGACACACAATCGCTCCATACATGCCAAATACCTGTAGGGTTGCCAAGTCGGTCAAAATCGAGGTTGAATTTCAAACGTTGTTTGCTCTCAGTGTTGCCAGTCGATCGTTCTATTTTTTCCATCGGGTATCTTGAAAAGTTAAAATTAAATTACTATTGATGGTGTTCTTTATGGCTCGCTTCGCTCGCATTTATTTTAGTCACAGTTTTAACCTTGCCAATTAACCAAATCTCTCTTAATAGTTAACCTTTATGGCTCGCTTCGCTCGCTTTTTGTTTGAGTCACAGTGCTAACATAACCGATTGATCAGGTCTCTTTTAATGGTCTTGTATTATGGCTCGCTTCGCTCGCTTTTTATTTTATTCACAGTTCTAATGTAACTGATTGATCAGATTTCTATTGGTGGTGTTCTTTATGGCTCGCTTCGCTCGCATTTTATTTTAGTCACAGTTCTTACCTTACCAATTAATCAAATCTCTCTAATTGGTCACTCTTTATGGCTCGCTTCGCTCGCTTTTTGTTTTAGTCACAGTTCTAATCTAACCGAATGACAATGTCTCGCTCGCTTTATTTTTCTTGTGAAAATATTGGAATTTTTTTTTCTCACCACGTAAAGATTGAGTAAAGATACACAAACGGTCTATATATGCAAAGCTTCCGAGTCGCCAGCTCGGTCAGAATTATTCTGAAATTAATATGGTGACTACTATCAGTGTTGCTAGAACTCAAATTATTCCATCAATTATGTTATAAATGCAACAGTAAAAATTTTATTAAACAGTAAAATCATTGTAAAAAAATATTTTAATATTTTTCATCAATGACATGAAAGTTTCTCAAAAATCTCGGTATCAAAAAATTTACAGTTTTTTTTTCATCTGGCAACACTTCAGCTGAATACTTATTTTTTGTTAAAAGTATTTTTTAAAATATTACCAAAAACGCCAAAATCAGCTCTATAAAGTGAAAGTTATGAAAAATGATCAATTTTCTAAATAAAATGGTCGCTGTATAAGCCGCCATCTTGAATTTTGTAAATTGAACCCCATACCGGTGTAGCACACCTATTAGCACATCCTACGTAGCTTTCATTATTTTCCTAGCGGCTATAATGACTGCGCTAGAGTCCAAAACGTGAATAGTGAGCATTAAATATTCAATCCGCCGTACCTGCCGGGGTTGCCAGGTGTAGACGATAAAAAACAGTCAAATGTGAATTCGGGATGCGCCCTCCATCGACGGATGCCAATTTTCAAGTTCTAAAATTGTTCCTTTGACAGATACAGTTTTTGGGGTAAATCTCAAAAATACCCTAAAATCGGGTAAAATTTTTCCATGATACGAAAGAGTCTATAGAGATGCACAATCGCTCCATACATGCCAAATACCTGCGGGGTTGCCAAGTCGGTCAAAATCGAGGTTGAATTTTAAACGTTGTTTGCTCTCAGTGTTGCCAGTCGATCGTTCTATTTTTTCCATCGGGTATCTTGTAAAGTTAAAATTAAAATATTTGCATCAAAAAAAATTAAAATTTCGACAAAAATTGTTTCCTCAAAAATCTCATAAAGTATAAAAAATCTTCGAGATTTTTTTTCACCTAGCAACACTATAGTTACTTGCCTAAAAGATGTTTCCCTGGAAGTACTCTGACAAATGTCGGCAAGTGCGTCAAAATCGGCTCGATGTGGTGACGATACCCAATTTTCCGGATAAAACGGCCACTGGTTTGGCCGCCATCTTGAATTTTGAAAATCCGGCTCCGTACCGGTGTGGCCAACTCGATAGCGCATCCGATGCAGTTTTTACCATTTTCCTAGTGGCAATACCGTCTGCGCTAGAGTTGGCAAAGTAAAAAATGGGTGAAATTTTTCAAATCATCGCTACCACCAGGGTTGCCAGGTGACGACGATGAAAATGGTCAAGTGTGATTTCGGGGAGTGCCTTCCGTCGAGGAAAAGCATTTTTGAAATTCCCAAACGGCTCCTTCTACTTTTCACCTTTTTGGGGTAAATCTCCGAAATTACCCTGAAATCGGGGAAAAATTTCATGTCATTCGAAAGAGCCCGCGGAGACTCATGACCATTCCATACCAGGCGAAGAGCTCCGATGTTGCCATGTAGGCTAAAAGTGCGTTTGAATTTTTCGAAAAAGTGAAAAAATTACAAAATGGCCGCTGCCGGCGCCACCATATTGATTTTCCCGAGTTTCATAATTTTCCCATAGTCACGACTATATTTGGCATGACACCTCATTCACAGATTTTCTCCGCTGGCCACCCAAGTTCCCAAACAATTCGGGTTATGAGGGCATGTCGAAAAACACGTTTTCTACCGTGGAGCCCAGGGTTGTCAGTTCGCAGAAACGAAAACTACCAAAAGTCATAGGGCTTCCCCGACGCCACACCGCATCGAGTCTGTTTTCCGCGAAAAGTGCGTATTTCGAAATTTCACTTTTCTCCCAAAATCTCATAAACTACCACGAAAATGGTAGAAATCTGTAGAGAAGTAGGAAGAGCCCACTAAGCCCCACGACCGCCCCATACAACGTAAATCCGTCCGACGCCGCCATCTTGGAGAAAATCTCACCGGAAAATGGCGATTTTTCATTGCCGAAACAAAATGGCCGCCACCGCCGCCGCCATATTGACACGCAAGCGAAAACTCCCCATACGTGAAAATCGACTATACTTCCGAGCTGAAGGAGCAAAAATCCCCCCTCCGAACCCACCACAAAACAATTGACGATTGCCCGAACAGAGGTCGAAAAATGCCAAATTTCAAGGTGAAATATCTCGGCCGCCATTTTGTTTTTTTAATCAAACCTTTTTGCAGTGTCATTTTTTTAGCCCACTCTACGACCATTTTGAATATCGTAACCGTAGAGTGAATAATGTAGAAACTAAAAAAATTATCTCGCCGCCATTTTGTTTTTTGGCTGTACCGATATGGTACTTCAACTCATTTAAAAAAAATATAGTCAGTCTCCATACATGAAAATGTCATTTTCCCCCTCTTTCTACCCGAAAAAAGCATGGAGTGAGTCAGTGAGTCAGTCAGTGGTAATTAAGCTTTATATATTATAGATAGTAGTAGGAGCAAAAATATTGATTATTTTTCTTAATTTAACCAAAGCATTAGACACAGTTACTGTTCACTTTGCGATTGTATTCTGCTACAAGAAGAGGGAGCTCAATTGATACTATTTAAAATACTATTTTTCTAACCATATTTTAGATTTCCGTTTGTTACTAATACAATCAGCATTAGTAACAAACGGAAATCTAAAATATGGACTACCACAAGGCAGTGTGTTAGGCCCTGTTATTCATTATTAATTTTAAAAACGTTTTTAAATATTTCTGATTTCTGATTAATTTAAGGTTTCGTATGCATGAATGTAACCTGCTTCTTGCTACCTCCGTATTGGAAGAAGGCATCGATTTGCCACGATGCAATCTCGTACTGCGTTGGGATATACCGCCTTCGTAAGTTTTATTCTTTTCATCATCAGCCTTTAAATAACCCCACTGCTGGGACTCGAGCCTTCCCTATGAATAGATCAAATAAGGAGAATGTTCCATGACCATGTTAATGATCGCAGATGCAGGCGGGACCAACGGCCCAACATACCTTCCAAAGCACAGAAGAGTTTGAGATAAATAACTCTCGTTCATCTATCTTGAGCTTTTCGGGTCTGGGTGTTGTGGTACTTACGCTACCTCATATTTCCATAGTACAAGTGCTTTGACTACTTAATTTTGGATCTGAACAACATATGTGACGTTCATCATCATCACCAGTCTATTACCTTCCCTAGATTCTGAGCCTAGTGCGGATTGCTGGGTGTTTAACGTCAGATGCAGCCAAGACCAAAGGTTTAATGTGCTGAAGCACGGAGGAGCTTGGGAAAATAATTTTCAGGTCACCCATCCTATGACCGGCCTCTGCGAAAGTTGCTTAACTTGCACAAAAGCTAATATTTATTTATTCATAACAGGTATAGATCATATGGTTTGTCTCGTGGACGCGCTCGTGCATCTCGTGCTTCGTGCGTGCTTCTCTGTCGAGGAGACGGCTCCACAACAGTTGATCTGGTCCATAATCTGGCCATCTACCGGGAATTAGACCAGGTTAACAAACTATTATTATACTAACTTCCATAACGTTTCATATAATCACATTTAGCCAGTATCAGATTTAATTTATTCCAAACTGTTTTTATATAAAGAAAAAATCCAATTTTATACATTAATTTGAATTCTCCCCCGACTATAATCAGTCACGTGATTTCTCGAGGCGTGACGTGAAATCTTAACCCGTTTAGCATATTGTAAACCACAGACCACAGACACAAACAATTTGTAAAAAAATATAGTATACCTAAATTTTATTTTATCCTATAAGAAGTTTAATAGGGTATCATACCTAAAGGGTAAAACGGGCACCCTAATACTAAGACTGTCTGTTTGTCTGTAACCAGGCTCTCGAGAACCGTGATAGACATTTGAAATTTTTGCAGTTGATCTATTTCTGTTGCTGCTTCAACAACAAATACTAAAAAACCTCCTTGGTATCTCATACAACAAACGTGATTTTTTTTTTGCTTGTTTTATGGTACGGAACTCTACATGCGCGTCTGACCGCACTTGACCTTGCTTTTTAAAACTTAATATTTGTATGCAACTCCAAATTCATGAAATCTTCAGTGAGCTTTCCTAGGGGGCAGTTATTTGCTTTGTTTACCTTAGTAAAACGATTTCTTTGCAGATAATCAGTAGAAAATGCGGTTGTGGTATACAAGATGAACCACCTGAATCCGAAGAAACCTCTGCAGACGCTTACACTCTAGTCATTAAGCCTTACACGCCTGAGGAAGTGGACAAAAACAAAAATTCCGAACTTAAAACTAACGATAATCAAGTAGATAATGATTTGAAGAAAGATACCGCAATCGATAATGACACTAATATTAATGATGATAAAGACGAATTTCTATTTAAAGATAATAGCAATGAAGTAGTTGATAAAATAGATTTGGATATCGCTAAAGATGATGTGAGTGAAAAAAATATAAACGACAGTGAAAAATCTACAGAAGATATGGTAAAAGAAACGGATTGTGGATTAGAAAATGAATTTAGTGTTATGAATATTAAAGAAAAGTGTAATATTGATAACGATGTATATAAAATCAATGATTCAAACGACTATAAAAGTGAAAGTGTTAATATGTTCTGCAATAGATGTAACAGTTTGAAAATCAGTGGTGACGTAGAGTGTTCGTGTTCGATAGAGAGAATAAGTGATAGTGCGAGTAGGACAGAGAGTAAAGTGGAAAAGGATGGCAAGAAGATTAGTGATAGTGATATTGCCAGTGTGGATCTCAGTACTGCTATAGCGCTTATTAATAGGTAAGTTTTTAATTTTATTGCCATCTCAAATATTTGAAATTTAATCATCAGGCATTTTATGTACCCACTGGAGGGGCTCAGGCCTTCCTTATAGATGGTTAAGGAGGATGGGCCCTGGCCCTCTACGCTAGCTTAATGCGGATTGGATGGTATAAACGACTGCATATGCAGCCGGGACTTAGTAGCTCGAGATAATAATTTTTTTGGTCACTCATCCCGTGACCTGGAACAGGGATTTTACCTGTATATGCGCTAAACTAAATTTCGTAAAATGACCCCACTCCGAGTGTAACAGATAGTCTGATTGTATTTAATACCTTATAGTTATTAAAACAAGACATAATATCGTAAGTACGAATTTTAATCATACGTTAAGTGATTTGATGACATACAATTTACTGGTCAAATTTAAATGGCAAGTTAACTGCAGTGTCGGGTAACTGTGCTATGTGTGACCTTCATGCCCGTTTTCACTAAACTTAGGACTCTCCTTTTGACGCCCAAATATCAAGTCATTGTTTTGTTTGAAAACGCCTTTCACCAGTGATTTTAAACCTTTAAGCGACGTTTAAGGACATGCATTATGTGGCGACTTGCGCTAGGCATTTGCGTAATGTGACATGTACATTTACTCTTTGGCTATCAGATGTGCCAAGTGATAATATAAATTTATTTGGTTGGAATCATAGATGATGAATAAAATAAAGGAATTCATATATTAGAATTAAGATATAAACCATGAATTTGTTTGAATTTTTGAACTTAATAGACAAATAGACAACATTAATGGGTGCTGTTTATATACAAGACCACGTATTATACAAAATTATATATTTCTGTCATTGTCTCTTAACGTGTAACGTACCACTTATATGGCATTAGCGAAATTGTGTAAACACAAATAGGTAAATAGAAAAGAAACTGATGAACCGAAGCACTCAAAATCATAGATACCCGTTGCCTTTTTATATCAGTGTGTAAGATATTAACCTACATTACAGTTGTGATGTACTGAGGAATCTGCTTAATCTATTTTTTATATTAGGCAATTTCTAGGCTATGCCTCGTTGTATGTATTAAAATTTTAATTGTATGTCACTTCTAGGTATTGTGGGAAACTACCATCGGATACGTTTACCCGCTTAGCACCACAATGGTGGATGGAGGAAGTTCAACTTCCCATACCGGGATCTGATTACACAAGAGCAGCTTATATCTGCACCCTGAGGTTACCACTCAACTGTCCTGTCAAATACAATATTGTGGTGAGCGTATTTCGTGACTTATTTAAAACTATTGACTTTAATCGAAATTAATATTATAAAACGTAATCATTATCATCAGCCTTTCCACGTCTCTACTGCAGGGGCTCAGATCTTAATTATGGATGGTTAAGGAGGATCCTCCACGCTGGCCCATTGTGGCTCTGGTCGACCATCGTCCCCTCTAAATTGCCTTCAATAATAAGTGGTTATCACCTAATGTAAAATGTAAAGAACACGTTTTTTGTCTCCCGATATAAAGGATAATGGTGACAAAAGTAGGGCTTCCAATCTCGCCTGTATTTGCGGGACTAACAATTTTCAATCCCGCTGGATCACGGTATTTGTACATAGAAAATATCTCTATATATATAAGGTAAATAAAACAAAGAATACGGATGTAAGCTGTAAACAAAAATAAATACATATTATTATTTTTATACGCTCTCCTTACTCATAATGCGTACATAGAACGATATTAGTTTTTTGAGGGCCGTGATGTCACATCGACGCCATGACAAAAGGCGTATTCGCGGGAAATATTGAAAAATAAATTTATTTTTAAATTTGAACTTGATAAAAGAATGATTTTTTTAAATATATATATTTCGATGGTATAAAAATAGTTGTCTACACTCCTATTAATTAACGTAACTTCACATTGATTAAGTTTTACTATTAGCATGAGATAAGTCAGTGAGCGATCGCGCTCGCATAGTCGTGTGCACATTTCTTCTCATCCCGCAAATCCCGCGGATCCCGCGCAACACGTGATTGGAAACAAAGATACGGGGATCTCGGTAGTCCGGAATTGGAAGCCCTAATCGAATATGTTTGGTAAATAATTAAGCAAGGGAATGATTTGTTTAGGGTCACCCTATGCCTACTAGGGTATTAGCACGTAGGATGGTAGCACTCCAAGCGTGCAGGATATTACACAAGTCTGGAGAACTCGATAACCAGCTAATGCCTATAGGTGAGTACATTAGTTTTGTTAAGAGTTCTTATTTGGAAATAGGGATAATCACGCTCAAAAAGTTTCAAATAAGAAATTAGCGCTGATCAAAGGACACTGTTTTTATATTTTGATTAATTTTTCATTCACAACGCCATACTGAAAAATATTCTTTATCCGGGCGATTTCGCATAAAGTCGTGGGTTCGAACCCCATCTCAGGGTGCCAGGGACCAAGTGGATTTTTTAAGCATTTTGTATTGAGGACACTTTGTTTTGTTATGACCAGTGGCATACGACTTATTGAAGTTGGTAGGTGAATGTTATTGGCAGAATATCGATCGCCTTCTTTCGAGTCTTCATCACCAGTCTATTGATGTCTCCACCACTAGGACTCAGACCTTCACTAGGGACGTAATCGCACCATGACCCACAACGCATGCCCATTGCGTATTGGTGTGTGTTGATGACTGCTGATGACTGATTCAGCCGGGGCAAACGGCTTGAAGTCCTTTCCGATGGATTGAGCGGCTCGTGTAAATCATTTTTGGTCACCCATCCCATGACTGACCATTGCGAAATTTACTTAACAACTTTATCGCAGACCGATGCCCCTCCTTTTGCTTTGCGTTACGTAATACTTGAACACACGCTTAAGAACATATTTCCACATTATTAAAATTTTTAAATACAGCCAGCAAGTACAGAAGTCGAGGAGACCGGGTCAAAACGGTATAGCTCAGGTCATACCTATATAAATGGGAAATAATGAAAATTTATGTATTAGTAATCAACACAATCAAACTTTTAAACCTTTAAAAATAAGATCAAATCACCTAAAAACATTGTTTTCCTTGTAACTTGTTAACACACAGCTACACTATACGGTTTTACCTCGGTGTACGGTTTTAGACGGGTCTCCCCTCCAACCGAACATCTTGGCATAATTACTTCTTCATTGAATACAGTCAAATAGCGAGTCGAATCACTTCCAATTAAGTTATCAACAGATACAGTAGATTAATGAGCTCGATGGTGCAGTATTTTACTTTATATTTTTTTAATATTGTAATGGAAATTGCCTTCCTATTTTAATGAAGTAATTCTTCGATCTTGCCGCTCTGTATGAAACAAAACAGGGAGAAAAAAAGCAGCCCTTGCCGAGTTTCTTTCCGGTTCTTCTCGGTACAAGATCTCCCGCCGTAGATTTTCGAACTGATGGCGTAGCTCTCGACTTTCACAAATGCTTGTAACAGCCTAGACTGAATAAATAATTTTGATTTGATTTGATAATCTACATATATTAACTTTCTTTTGTGGTGTACCACGAATTAACGCCATCTATTGACGTTTATGCGAAATGCCATAGCCAAAGTATTGCTTGCTCACTTGCGGCATAAGACAAAATAGCTCGAAGAATAGCCCGAGTTAGGACGGTCACGTTTTGTTCTATGGGATGAGGCATACGAATAGTATGTGTATCTGTGCCTATAATTTATTTTTCATTGCTATCAATAGGCAAAGAGAACTTTAAAGCCGCAGAGTTAGATACCAGTTTGGGTTGTAACAATACTGATAATGCAAGCGACCCGAACGATGTGGCCAGACCTGGCACTACAAAACGGCGGCAATACTACTTCAAGAAGGTAACCATTATTATATATACTAATATTATAAAGAGTAAGGATTTGATTGTTTCTTTACAACGGATAGGCTCTAAAACTGCTGGACCGATTTTGAATATACTTACGGGAAGCTACATCATATGCGGTGGACATAGGTTATATTTTATCCCAAGACAGCAAATAAAGGGATGAAACTGGGAGTGGAAGTTTGTATAGGGAATTATAAAGTTACCATAGTAACCATTGATTACTATTCAATTTGTCATTATAATTATATCCGTGTCATAATACGAATTAATATCCAAATAATCAGTTCTCTATGGAACACGCGGGCGAAACCACTAGTGGGAAGCTAGTTATTACCCTTATACGTTCCCACTGCAGGGGCTCAGTCCTTCCTTATGGATGGTAAAGGAGGATGGGCCATGACCCTCCACGCTGGCCCAATGCGGATTGGAGGGTATTAACGACTGCCAATGCAGCTGGGACCAACGGCTTAACGCGCTTTCAGAAGCACGGAGTAGCTCGAGATATAAATTTTTTCGGTCACCCATCCCGTGACTGACCCTTGCGAAAGTTGCTTAACGACAACGATCGCGGGCCGCGGCGCTTATCTACTACGCCACCGAGCTACTCACGATATTATATACGAATTAATATCAGAATAATCGAAGGGCGAAGTCTTAGTACATATTATATATAGCCATACACTTTTTTCTCTTTATTTACAATAAAAAAAATATACTATTGTTCCCATAGACAGCGTGGGCGTTTACAGACTGCCAACCTGTAATAGACACGAAAGATTCGGATATAGAACCGCGGGAAGACGTCACGCAGTCTGACGGTGGCAACACCGTGCCAATCAACAACGGTAAGTGTTGCTATGATATTCCGGATATTCGATACCGTATCCGCGGATATCTGAGTCAGGAGAAAGATCCGTGTCTGCATTCGGATCTTTTACCTTATTAATTGTAAATCGATAAGATGTTATTTATAAATGACTAGAAAATTTGTGGCATAATTTTAAATTATACCACGATCACTGAATTATAGCAAAGATAGCAATTGCGATCGCGAAAGATATTGGATGAGCAATAACGTTTATTTGACGTTAATCGGATTTTTATAAGCAAAATTATTGTTATAAATGTCTTTGAAAACTATTGGGAAATGTCAAACGAATTGTATTATTGTCTATGAAATGAAATTAAATGAAAATGAAATGGAAATAAAATGGAAATAACTTTATTCAAGTAAGCTTGTTATAGTTCTTAAAATATAGCTTGATCTCTGTGACAGCTGTCACTAGAGCTGTGACACTTACGATATAATCCGTTTTGTCGATAGAACTCTTTATATTTTAAAAACTGATTTTAGATGATTGAAAATAATCAATAAGAAGAAGATATTATTAACTTTTGATTATTTATTTATTTACAATCGGACTATGAAGATGAAAGAGAATAATGGATCTAGGTTTAAAAACATTCATTCTCATAGGAGGTTAATTTACAATTAGATAAACAATATTTTTGAAAAAGTAACATTTCTCTTTAATGTATACAATAAAAATATTGTAATACAAGTCCCTTAAATTGATAATTCACTGGAACCTTTTCTAAATAACACCCGCGTGACGTTATTTTAAAAAAATAGAAACTATAATAGTACTTTTGAATCGTCCAAAAATTTTTTCCCCTACTACTTGTTCAGGACGTCTTTTAGCTTTCTATGCTATGACATTTATATCATTCAAATCATCATTCGTTCAGTAAGCGATTTTGACTTTAAAAGTTACACAATTCCATCATAAATCACTATCACAACTTCTTTACTTTTGAAATGGATTGTAATAGATTTTAAAATTAAATAATTTGGGCTATTGTTTAAACCTCCCCTGGACTACGGCAAATATTACAAAAACAAAATCGGTCCAGCCACTCTCGAGTCTTAGCGAGATACACGAACAGCGATTGATTTTTAATTAGCTAATATTAGAAAAGCTCAATCAATACCGTTTAGATTATATTGCATGCAATATTAACGCAAAAAAAGTCGAAACATGTGCTGCCTGACATTTTTCCTCCATACCACTCCGCTCTCACTTTTATACCTCACTCATTCCTTGTTCCTTATACCTTACACTTAGACAGACAAAGAAAAATTAGTTATCCATATTCTTACGTGTTATTTATTTATTTGTAGGTAAAAAACGCAATATGTTGTACGCGATCGTTTCAAAACTATGGTGCGCGTTACCTGAGCGATACAATACTCGTGGTAGAAGACTTCACGCACCGCAGAATGCTAACCAAGCCATAGGTATACTGATGGCGCGAGAAAATAACGACGAGTGAGTGTATATTCCATACTAATATAGACTTTAGATGCGAAGTGAGTGTATATTCCATACTAATTTAGACTTTAGATACGAAGTGAGTGTATATTCCATACTAATTTAGACTGCAGATGCGAAGTGAGTGTATATTCCATACTAATTTAGACTTAAGATGCGAAGTGAGTGTATATTCCATACTAATTTAGATCCGAAGTGAGTGTATATCTCATACTAATTTATAAGGACTTTAGAAGCCATTCGACAACATAATACCTCAAAATAAGACCTCCGTAGCCGAGTGGTTCGCACGCCGGTTTCAAGGTGTCGCCATCTCTGAGGTCCCGGGTTCGATTCCCGGTCGGGTCAATGTAGAAAATGAGCTTTTCTATATTGTCTCGGGTCTGGGTGTTGTGGTACCTTCGTTGTCTCAGATACTCCATAATACGGGGTCTTCAGTTACTCATCTTGGAATCTGAGCAATGTATGTGATGTTGTTAAATATTTATTTATAATCGCGAGTCTATTAATGTCCCAACTCAGGCATGTAGGTCAATTCTGATAATGTTTACAAAATAAAAGCATCTCAATAGTCTCAACTTCTTTCATTCAGCCATTGTACTATCTACCTGAAGTCCAATATTATTTAGTGCAACGTCTTCCTCACACATCAACGCTGACAGATATATAAGGGGACGTCCATTAATCACGTGATACTTTTTCAGCATTCTTAACCCCCCTTCCCAACTCTTGGTGATACCTCTCCCCCCCCCCCCCCCTCTCAATCACGTGTATTTTCAGTACCTACAAAAAATCTTAATTTTTCGACGCCGCTTTTTGATATATTGTCTTCATCATCTATGTATTGATGCACGTGTATGTATATATATAATAATACATACACACATATATATATTTATGTATGTGTGTGTATGTATATGTATATATTCGCTGTATATTGTAGTATGCTTATGATTAGTTTAGTATTTGTTGTTGCAGTTTTTTTTTTAATTTTTATTGCTCTGTACCGTCATCGTGTTTGTCTATTTTGGCAAAGGTTGAATGGGAGAGAATGCTATTAGCATTAAGTCCGCCTTTTGTGTCATCTTTATATTGGTCAATAAAGTTCAATAAATAAATATATTACTACAACCCCCCCTCTTCCTTGTGATATTTCGTGATTTTTGACGAACCACCTCCCCCCTTTTGTGACTCAAGTGATTAATGGACGGCCCCTAATAATTAAAATAATTATTAAATGAATGTTTTATAAATGTATTAATCGAATTTAAAGTATATTGCATATATAAATAAAATAGCTATTAAATGTAATAATAATAATAAACTAGACCAATAAATGAAATGCGAGTAGTTGAAATTCTATTGGGATGCAACTTTTACGTAAACATAAGCGGAATTGACCTCCTGTATAGATGGAATGAAATCAAACCCAATAGGGAGAACGGGTCATAACTCATGACCAGAGGTCGGAATTAGGTAGAGTTATTTGTGTACTTGCATCGAAATGTTGATATTAATGTGGACCTTCCCGGGATTTCTAATGGACAATCCCGTGTGGCCTACAATCTTACAACTAAATAATAATAACAACGTCAGAGATAGACAACTAAAACAAAGATAATTAACATAAAATTTTTTATTAGTTTACATATATTTACAATACAAGTTATTGATAGTCTTGAGCAAATTCTCATACGCTAATAGATAGTTTGAATGCGGTAGAAAGAGACACAATCTAGTACATTACGTTAAGTGGGGAGTGCTCCGCATTTGCGCTATTGTATTCTTTTGTTCTCACAAGGTATGTTGTGCGAACTACAAATGTGGCAACATCGCGCGTATTGGTATTTTGCAACTTTGGACATCCAATGTCATTGATGTAAGTTTGACAACGTCGTGCGTGCTGTAGTTTAAATTGTGTACGTAAATAACTTTTTATTTAAAAAATCACGGGATTTTTTCTGCTCTTTAAAATTAATCTCGGAATTTGAGGCAGATCCACTTTATTCTTTCGCTGTATGAAATCAGTGTAAGTACATGAATAACTCTACCTAATTCCGACCATCACGCGGACCCGGTGGGTATTGGCGTTAACAACTGTAGAAGCAAGTACCAACGGCTTAACGTGCCTTCCGAAGCACTGATATATACTTTGGTCACCCATCATATGACCAGTCATTGTGAAAGTTGTATAACAATCGTATCAGAGACCGAGCTAACCACTCCATCGAGCTTTTAGCACAAAGATTTGTTTGTTTACATTGAATATGCTCGAAGACTAAAGGACCGATTTAAAAAATTCTTTTATCTGTGGGAAGAAAGAAGACATCGTACGCGGGTGAAGTCGCGGGGATTAGTGTAAAATAAACTGCTAAAGAAATATATACAGTATTACAACCTACATAAGGTTTTCCGAATTTAATGGAATTGGCTACTTAAAACTTTCATATGATCATATTAAACCACTTGCAGATATATTTTTCTCCAAAAAGTATTATTAAATAAAAGGAAAATCTATTTTTAGTGTCCTCCAAAAACAATCCGTCCTGTGACGTTTCGAGATGTGACGTCACATTTCAATAAACATGGGCACTGGTTGCGTTCACAACAAAGACATTGAAGTTTAGTTTATTGAAATGTGACGACATGGTCGAACGCGTTTCGGTACTTGTAATCCACCGCAGGGTAATTTTACAAAAATCAAATAAACTTTGAATTTATTTTAAAACAATCATTTTTAGATAGTTATTGTTTTCATGTCAGTTACTTATTTCATGACTAGCTGTGCACGCGACTTCGTCCGCATGGAAAGCTAGCCTAAATTACTCTTTATTGAATAAGCAAGCTGGCAATGAAAGTCCCGTCAAAATCGGTCCAGCCGTTTCAACGATTAGCCGGAACAAACAGACAAAAATAAAAGATATTTTTGTATATGTACCGTGTGTATTAGTTAATAGCGGTTATTTTAATATTACAAACGGACACTCCAATTTTATTTATTTCTATAGATTAACTGTCAGGCTAATCATAGTGTTCCCTATTGTGTACAGTCTTCAAATACCGGCATTTCCTGTGTACACGCGATCCGGTGAAGTGAGAGTATCTGTGGAGTATGTACCAGACGCTGACGTCAGAATGTCACCTAGAAGAGGTCGATTGGTTAGGAGGTGAGTCAAGTCAAATCATCATCATCATCATCATCATTATCAGCCCTTTTTGCAGGGCCTCAGGCCTTCCTTATGGATGGTTAAGGAGGCTGGGCCATGACCCTCCACGCAGGCCCAATGCGGATTGGAGGGTATTAGCGACTGCAAATGCAGCCTGGACCAACGGCTTAACGTGCCTTCCGAAGCACGGAGTAGCTCCAGATAATAATACTTGGTCACCCATCCCGTGACCGACCCTTGCGAAAGTTGCTTAACGACTACGATCGCGGGCCACGGCGCTTATCCAGTACGCCCCCGAGTTATCAAGTCAAGTAAAATAGATATTATATCTTGACATTTGTTTGGTCTATTAATAAAGGTAGCACTGGATAATATATTTCTTCGATTCTTTTATAATACTAAATATTAACTTTATTGTATACAAAATATGTTTTAAGTTTTGCTTACGTTTTTCGACTGAATATTTCTTTTTCTATTGTGTGTAAACTGGCAACCCTTTTACTTTGATGCTTTGTGTACTTAAACACCTTTCATTTGAAGATAGAACTTACTAACTTTTTCTAGACAATTTTAAACTAAAAATATCAAAATCTGAAACAGAGGCGGACTTAAAATCCCACCGCCCCGATTCCACAAGCGACTCGTTACCTCCCCGGGCTGCGAACAGCCCGAAGCAACCAAGCGAAAGCTAGTTTATTTATAAAAATAAATATTATTGTCTCATTATTAGCGCCATAACATCATTGATTTGATCATTTATAGTTCGGTTCAAAAGCATTGTGACTTTAAAAACCAGGCAAGTGCGAGTAGAACTCGTGCACGAAGGGTTCCGCACCGAAACTGAGCAAAAAAATCACGTTTGTTGTAAGGGAGCCCCCATTAAATATTTATTTTGTTCTGGTTTTTAGTATTTGTCGTTGAAGCGGCCACAGAAATACATCATCTGTGAAAATTTCAACTGTCTAACTTAAATTAAAAAAATTACGTAACTCCATAAACCACTATTACAATCGCACTGACTACTGTACCTTGAAACTTGAAATTGAATACACGGGTACCTTTCATGATCTAAGTGAGCACTAAGAAGGGATTTTTAGGAATTCAACCCCCCAAGGGGATGAAATGGGGGGGGGGGTGATTTTTTTTTAAGGACTTTTCTCTTTTTTGGACTTGAACAGCGCTGGGGAAGGGTTGGTTTTTTATATATGTATATATACATATATTTGTTTAGGTTCATGCGATTCGTGTTCGCGGATGTTTTACGCGTGCGACGCCGCGGTATGAAGCTATGCAGCGAAGGATGCACACAGAACAACTACTATATCGTGCCCACAGTGAGGAGTGAGTTGATTTAATTGTACACTAGCTAGTAATTATTTTCAATGCCTAATTATAAATACGAAAATTTGTAAGTATGGATGTATGTATGTTTGTTACACTTTCACGAAAAAGCTACTGGACGAATTTTGATGAAATTTTGTGTACGGATACTTCTAAGCGTTGATTAACATATAGGCTACTTTTTATCTCACTAAACAGTTCATAATTTTACGAATAAAGATTTATTATTACAACATATTACTAGAGTCATTCATAAAACTTCAATATTTTGACAAAAAAGTAAAATAGTAATAAAGCTTAATTTACAAATTGTCTTTACTTGACAGCCCTATAACTTATAGAATTCATATATTTGAAACATTTGCACTTTTAAACAAACTTACCAAATAAAGTTGGCAATTATAGTAAAACATGTTCCTTTATCAAATAAGGTTGTCATTTATTATAAAACATTTTCATTTACTTTGACTACATTTGAAATCGATCGCATAATGTAAGCCGACCCCTTGTGAAAGTTCGGTATGCCTTTCTACTGTTTAAAACGACAAAGTGTTTTTTATTTCATATAATAATATGTCTATAGCATTAATAGTATCCTGAATTGATTGCATTATTTATGAATAACAAGTTTACGAAGTGTTAGTATATTTATAAATAAAACAATCGGTTTTCACTGGTTTTTGTTTACACATGACATGTTCCTTCTAATGTTAAGACATTTCACATTAAGTTAAAAAGATTAGGTAATCTTCAAAACAATTGTTGAATTTTATCTAAATTACTTAGAATATTTCATAAAGTAGTAGCTCGAAATTGAAAACAAAAATAAAATGTGGTCTAGTTTAGAAAGGTTGTTAATATCTGCCTGTCACTGGTTGCTATGCAACGCTTTGTTATTAAGCATTCTTCATCGAATTTGACTGTAGATGTCTTTGTGTTTTACAGTATTTATTGATTTGTCTTTTCCTTCAACTTAGCAATAAGAGAGGATGGCAGCAGTAAGATAGATATAGACTGGTCGTTCCTGGAACTGATATATCAATATACTGAGCAGAAGAAGCATTCAGATATCGAGAAACCGATCATGTGGACTCAAGACGAGGAGGAAATGGACGAGCCCGATGAAAAGGTAACAGATCGTTTTCATTTACCGTTATACAAACGGAATTATCGGAACACGGGGTTGAAACTATTGTTTACTTCCTTATTTTTCATCCCCACTATTTCACCCCCTTGGGGGTTGATTTTCTAAAAGTCTTAGTATATTTGATCAATTTTGAATTCGTAAGGCTATATTGATAAAAAACTGACTTGTTTGCCTAGAAACTTGAAATTTTGGTACAGGGGTTCCTTTAATAATGTAAGTTAAGAACGCTTAAGAAAAGATTATTATTAATGAAAAATGCTAAAAAATGCACTTTGTCCCTGCCATTTTGAGATGGGACTCTAAAACACGACCATTCGCAATCAGGGCGACCACTCTATACACTGAGCTACCCAGGACCTAATAGGACAGGAATTTTTTTAATAATTGTCATTTTTTTGTGTATAAAGCATTTTATTTGATGACGCTCTATGTGAATAGTGCAGAGGTTCGCAAACAATTTTTTCTCGTAGTTTTAGCACTTTAAAAAATTTACTGGTTTCGGTGGACCCCCTGCCGCTACATTTTTACCATATTCCCAAAATTCGTCTAAAATGTGAAGATTGCGACTTGCAACTTGTGAACCCCTATTTCACGCCAACGTAGACTCCCGTTGAAACCCTCGTGGACCCCTGGTGGTCCTGGACCACTTAGGCAATCACTGGTTTAGTGGTTCAATTCTGATGATTTTTACTGAATCTGTATCTACTTGAAGTCCAATATTATTAGTGCAATGTTCTTCTCACATATCAACTGTGACAGATTTATTTATTATTGCTGTGATCTAGTAACAAGAGCTGTGTCATATACGGTATTGACTTTACATAATTACGAAGATTAGCAGAATTACCATACATTTTATTTAAAAAAACTCATTTTAAAGTATTAAATAAGTGATATAGATAGGGTCTTTGTATTACAAAAGAAATGCATAAGAATTATAACCAATATAGATCAAATGGACTCGTGTAGACCATACTTTGTTAAACATTACATACTAACTCTAATATCTATCTACATTATTGAAGCGTGTAAATTTGTCAGAAAGCATCCGGAATTCTATTCCCCCCCCAAATAAACAATAAACGGAACAATAGAAATTTAAATAAGCTAAAAGTACCCTTCTCTAAAATGCATTTAGTTACATCCAGTCCCCATTTAATGTTAATTAAAATATATAACCATATACCAAATCGCATAAAAAATTTGGAAAATCCTACACAACTCGACCTCGACCGGAGTGATACAACGGCCTCACAGAAAACCGACGTGAAGTAACGCTTGCGTTGTGTTTCGTCGTGTGAGTGAGGGTACCGGAGGCCCAACCCCTCCCTATTCCCTTCCCTCTACCCCTCAACCCTTCCCTCCAAGGCCGGCAGCGCGCTTGTAGCCCCTCTGGTGTTGCAGGTGTCCATGGGCGACGGTAATCACTTACCATCAGGTGATCCGTCTGTTCGTCTGCCGTCTATCCCATAAAGAAACAAAAAGTCATATCTTATTAATAAATGTTACTATAATATAATTAGAAGACAAATGCGACGAGCAAATATTAATTTAATTTATTTTTACTTATTGTTTTTATATAATCTTTAGTCGCCTTTCGTTAAGAATATTTATTTTGACATAATTTTATCTGGAATTTAATTTAAATTTTAATGCAATGAACAACTAAATTATGAGATGTTTTTAATTTTACTCTACATATTGCAATGCCCTTGTAGGGTGTCACATGTATACCTAAAACTTAATTATATCTCATTGTTTGTAATGTGACACGCAATAAATATTTGAAGTAGTTTGATTTCAATAAAAATACAAGAAAACGTCACGTAAAAATACATATATCTAAAGACAATATCTTTGATATTAATTAGCAGTTCTTGTTAAGAATCACAACAGATGGTCCACATGTTTTGTCCTCCTCACTCAGGTAGAAAAAGAGAAGGAGCGCGACGTGAAAGTGAAAGAGGTGCAGAATCCCCTATTGAAGCCGGGCGAGGTGTTTGTGTTCGACGCGGAAAAGTATAAAGAAGCAGTTGTGACCCCCTGGTATAGGAATCAAGATCAACCCCAGGTGAGTGGAAATATATATTTGAATGAATGAATGATAATTTTATTTGCAATAATCACAGCACAACATGCTAAATACACACTGACATAAAATATAAAAACAAAATAAATATAAAGTAATTAAATTAAACAAGCGATTAAAACACACACAGGGTCACATGTATGCCGGGACGATGCAAAGATGTGACGGGTTCGGTGCTTGGGTCAATTAATAAGGCTGATTAGCTTGAGTATATATTTATTAATTATATAAGGGTAAATAAGAAACTGTAACAAATAAAAAATTAAATTTAAAAAACAGTTCGTAAGTTACTTAACTAATACATACAAATTATCAAATAAACGAATACAAACCCCTTGTCGGGCTTCTAGTTAAACTCTTGGATCGTCCAAAATACAGATTACAATTTAGTTCATATGTTATATAATTTGTATCACAATATCACATTCTTTATCACAATCAATAAATTATTTTAAAATTTATACCATTAATATTGTATTGTATTATAATTTCATCTTGTGCATAGGAGAATTTCTTACGAACTGACATCCATAAAGAGTATAATTGATTAGTCAAAATTTTAAATTACGAAAGACGAATAATAAAATGAAATGATGTTGAATTTCAAAAACAAAAAGTTTGCATACTGAAACCTAGGAAAACAAACGGTGGCATGGCACACCGTTACAAGGGCAAAAGCTCGGCAATATGTTTGCTTGAATAGCAAATTGCCGATTTTCAGCTTTCACCTAAGTTTAGTTAAATATTTATATATATAAAAGCGAAAGGTCACTCACTCACACACTCATCACGAAATATAAGATAAGATAAAAACACTTTATTGCACAACACACAACAGAAATAAATAAAGAGAAACTTACAAACATTAAAGCATTTGCACAATAGGCGGCCATATCGCTTAACAGCGATTTCTTCCAGGCAACCTATACTGGAAGAAGCAATGATAACAATAATGTAGGTAGGCTGTGCGCGTTACAAATGAATTTAATAATATCAATAGAAATATAAATATGATAATAAAATTACATAAAATAAACAAACATACGATGCTTAAGATAATAAGAAGGCAACATATCAAGTAGATTTCTGGTCATCTGACAAAAAGAACTTCGCAGCTAGAGATTTGAAAGACTCCAGCGTTTGGACGCGTCTAATATTCTCAGGTAAGGAATTCCATAAATGGATAGCTCGCAGGGTAAAAGATTGGCTCTAAAATTGAGAAAAGTTAGGCGGTATGTAAAGGCGGAGATTGTCAGATGAACGAAGGGGAAGATTGTGAGTAGAGGAAAGAAACTTAAAATGCTCCTTGAGATATCTAGGTGACAATGGATTGAACAGCACAGAAAAGAGAAGGGATAATATGTGTAGGTCTCTGCGTCGGCGAATGGTAAGCCAATTCAACCATTGTCGATAGTGAGAGACATGTTCATATTTACGCAGTCCGAATATGAACCTTATGGCGAAATTTTGGAGACGTTCAGAAATATCGGAAATTACAAGCAAGCGGGTTTTTTTTAAGATGTAGGTGCTTAAGGGACAAGGGGTTTTATGAAATTCAACCCCTAAGGAGGTAAATTAGGGGATGAAAGTTTTAATGGAATTTTCTCATTTCTGGACTTTAAACTAGATCACGTGAGCGAAACCGATAGCGGAAGGCTAGTTTACAAATAAATACAAGTCAAACGAATGGGGTATTTTCATCATCCTTACCTCTCCACTGTAGGGGCTCAGGTCTTTCCTGTGAATGGTTAAAGAGGATGGGCCATGACATTTCACGCTGGTCCAATGCGGATTGGAGGGTATTAACGACAGCAAATGCAGCTGGGACCAACGACTTAAAGTGCCTTCTGAAGCACGGAATAGCTCGAGATAATATTTCTTGGTTTTTTAATTTATTCCGATAATAAAATACAGCACTTCACCCACTTCACTATGTCGTCTATACTCCATTCATTATAGCATTAGACAGAATGAAAATAAGGTTCTTTTTATGGTATACTTTGTGACAAAATGTCAACAATTGTGTTACTCTTAAGACTATATATAAATAAAACAAATTTATGAGTATTTGACTGACTTAAAACATTTAATAATTATTACAATAAAAAGTGTTCATCTTAAAGAACCTAAAGAAGCAGGGTTGGATAGTTTCGGCACGATTCTCATGTCACTATAACTCTACCAAATTTAAAACGTTGCCTAATCCCTTCAAACGTTTCGGCAGTACAGCTTTTTAATTTTGTCAAATTATGATTTGAATCTGGGATTGACATTAATTGTGAATGCTACTGCCTTTTTTGTTGTTTTGCCATTTTCGGTGATTGAGTTATTACTGTTTTATTGTTGTTTTCTTATAGTTTTGTTTAAGTTGTTATCTTTTTGTTGTTAAGTTTTATCAAATTGCTATTCCGGTGCAGGCCCGAGTGGCCTACAACAATTACCTTTGACATTTCAGCAAGTTTTTCCAATGTAAGACATTCTCTAATAATATCTGAATAAATGTTATAACAGTAATAATAAAAATTTCATTTTGTTTACCTTTATTTTCTGGGCATAGATATAACTAAATTATATTCTAATTATATACACTTACAATTAGAATCAATCAAAACAACAGATAGATAGTTTTATTTCCATGTTGGCTCTCAGTAAAAGATGAATTTAGAAAATGCTAGTCTCATCTCAACCCCGAGAAAATGTAAAATTGCCCAACTCTTTCAGACTACCTAAAGTTCAAAATTTCAACAAAACTATTATAAATATTTTTTAAATTTATCTTGTAAATAAAATGTTCTGCACTGCTGCTTCTGAGATTCCTCTTTTTTCTAATGTTATAATGAATGGAGTATAGATTAGTTTTCGCTTGGAATATCGCTTGTCATCGCTCTCTTATTCAGTTCACCGATCACTGAATGAATGCCGAGACAGCTCACCGCATATATTACTTTATAAGTCCCGTAAATTGATAATGTGCTGGAACCTTGTCTTATCTGAAAACAGAAAGTATAGATAGCACAAAACGCAAGAAACAAATTATTTATTAATTATTGAAATATGAATAATTCCCATAGTATTGGTATAATAATTTTATAACTTTAACTTTGTTAATTTATTGAAATAAGTTTCTAGATATGGAAATGAAAAAAATATACATTTACTTTGTAATAACGCGATAACCATAGGAAAGGTCGATTTTTATAAACATCGCCGAAAGTATTTATAAGATGTAAGTCATAAGATATGTTTATTTTTAATAATTAGTAAGATATGTTTATTTATTTATTTTGGAAGTCATAATAGCAGATGCAATTTTTATTCCACCATAGTAAATAACAAAAATACTCAAAAATAACAATCGAAAACAACAAAAAATGTTTCTTATCTCAACACATCAACACATTTCTATAAGTGTACTCGTCAACTAGTGTTTATTTGCTAACGGTACTGATTGTTGAACACGATGACGTCACCGAAATGGCGGACAGGCGCATTAGCAATTTGCGGGGATTATATCTTTACATTACATAGATTCAGGTGGCAATAACCAACCTTCGTCTATATGTTTCAGTTTGCACAAGTATTTGGCTAGACCCTTTATTATCGCATTGACCCTTTACTATAGCATTGACTCTATACAATTGACCCTTTACTATAGCATTGACTCTTTACTATCGCATTAACCCTTTACTATCGCATTAACCCTTTACTATCGCATTAACCCTTTACATCGCATTAACCCTTTACTATAGCATTGACCCTTTACTATCGCATTGACCCTTTACTATCGCATTGACCCTTTACTATCGCATTAACCCTTTACTATAGCATTGACCCTTTACTATAGCATTGACCCTTTACTATAGCATTGACCCATTACTATCGCATTGACCCTTTACTATAGCATTACCAAACCTGTCGGCCCTGGACATGAAGGATGCTATTTTATTTCACTGAATAGCGTTAAACGAATCGACTTTCTGTAAACATTTAAAATAACTGCGATAACTTTTCAGTCCAATTAGATGGCGAAAGACGTTATCATACTCGTAGGCCATCGTGTGTTTTTTTTTCGTATATTCAGTCCAGAGTTGACATGTATTAAAATATAGACAAAAGGTCCTGAAGTACAATACTTTCGGGTAATTATATTACCTACCATATGTAGTTTGAGTTATGGATACGATATGATATTGTTAAAATAGGGAAAAAATACAACAAACATTTGCTAAAATACATATGGTATTAAATTAGTTACATAAAACGATACAACTTTCATTATAGCAGATATAAACATAAACGCACAAATAACAAAGATATTGCAAAGATTCGCTACCGTACTACCGAAGTGACGTCACTTCTCTGTTTGAATTTGTAGGGACTGTTTTCGTTTGACTAGCAGCAGTTCCACAAACACAGCACAATATCTCCGAATCTATTAATCGCAGACGTGCTGTTTCTTCTACATTATTTCTCGGATATTAATGGACTATTTATTTATAAAATAGGGATGATGACTGGGTAAAAAAAAATGCAATTCTATTTAGTCCGTCAGTCAGATAATAGAAAAATATTAGATACGTATTTTTTTTTTACTTCAATTTAACAAGAAATAACTTAGATAACAGGCATTAAAGTTGAGGAGTGGGGGAGCGCTACGTCACAGTTGAGTAGAAAACGTACTCTAACGTGACGTCATGCGAAATTTCAACTCCATGTAACGCCGAAATTTTATGATTACAAAAAAAATACGTGTTCAATATTTTTTAACACTCTACCTGACGGATAAACAAACAAAAATTAGTCATCACCCTATTGTATCTGTGATCGCAGTTCTTCCTGGTAGCGGAGATCTGTTGGAATCTAACACCGGACTCGGCGTTTCCATCTGAAGCTCACGGCAGCTTCCGCGCGTATTATCTGCAGAAATATGGGGCGTCGCTCACGCAGTCCAACCAACCTCTACTGGACGTGGACCATACTAGTGCTAGGCTCAACTTGCTCACACCCAGGTATGTGTAATAACCATTTTTTTGTGTTACTCATAATATGACATTGTTTTTTCATGTATTTGAGGGGGGACTGTGTAACTTATACAGCTCAATATATCTGTCAGCGTTGACGTGTGAGGAAGACATTGCATTAATAATATTGTACTTCAGGTAGATGGTACAATGGCGGAACGTAAGAAGTTGAGGTTCTATTGAAATGGTATTATTATGCAAACATTAGCAGAATAGGTGTATAGGCGACTTTTTTTTAATATATTTCTTTTTATATACATAAGATATATAAGTAAGAATATATTATATATATATATATTTAGGATCCAGAAGTGAAAGTTCTTAAAAAGAAAACAACGGCACCGGTAACAATAATTTAATTCTAATTTTATGTAAACAAAACACCAATTTAATGACCTCAAAATAATTTATCATGAAATTAATAAATACAAATCAACATACCAGAATTTTCACCATAAATAACATGTTAAGTAATATACCACACAAACAGGCCACGACGAGAGCAATGTTACGTATAGGCATTGGGGGTAGTAGCTATCTTGTAGTGGGAGGGCGTACTAATTATATATATTTTCTTACAAGGATCACAAGCAAAATCATTTTATTCTAATTTTATATAAACAAAACACTTAATAACCTCAAACGATTTTATCACGAAATTAAGAAAAACAAATCAACATAGGAGCCGTCCATTAATGGGAGGGGGAGGGATTCATCAAAAATCACGAAATATCACAAGGGGGGGTGTGGAGGTGTAGTAATATATCACGTGTATTTATTTTTTCCTCGACGCGCGATTATTAAACCGAAAAGCGACGTCAAAAATTTTGATTTTTTTTGTAATACACGTGATTTGGTTGAAGGAGGGAGGGAGGGGGGGGGGGGGTAAAAATATCTCAACCTTATATCAATTATTTATAAAACAAGTAAATTTTTTAATAATAAATTTAATAAGCTCCCATTATTATTAATTTAATACATTCCTTCTATTAGTCGTACGATCCCCTGTTGCGTCATCAAAATGGCGTCCATTCGCGTTAGCAATAGTTCCGATCTGAGTTTTTTTTTTGTTTTTTTTCTCTAAAGATACGTGAACAGAAAAGGCGTAGCGTTGCCCGTGTCTTCAGAACGCACGAGGCGCGCGAAGCGGGACCGCCTCGACCAGAAGCAGATCCTCGTGCCGGAGCTGTGCAGGGTGCACCCCTTCGCGGCGCCGCTGTGGTTCGCCACCGTGGCGCTGCCGTGCGTGCTGTACAGGTGAGCGATTGCCATCGGCGGCCCGAGTGTGGAACGGTGGGTGTTGATGGTTGCGTCGTCGCGCGCCAGTGGTTGGGACCCGCCGAGGGCGGAGTGGGGTGTTGAATGTTTGTTTCAGCTGTGGGCCCAGTGCGGAACGGTGGGTGTTGATGGTAACGTCACGCGCCACTGGTTGGAACACACAGGGTGGAGTGGGATGTTAAATGTTTTATTTTTTTACACCGTGGGCCGATTGTTAATAATTCGTTAAGAGCCTAGTGCGGAATAGTGGGTGTTGATGATTCGTCGCCGTGGCTAATAATTCATTAAGGGTCGAGTGCGGAATGGTGGGTGTTAATGATTCATCGCCGTGGCCAATAATTCATTAAGGGCCGAGTGCGGATTGCTCGGTGTTAACGGTTCGTAGCCATGGATCATAATTTATCAAGGCCCAAGTGCTGAATGATGGGCGTTGACGAATGCACATTTAGCCGTGAGTGTTGCGATAACGTGCCTTAGCCGTATAAATTTGATCACCCATCCCATGGCCGGCTCATGCGAAAGTTGCTTAACTTTTTGATGTCGTATTTTCTCTGTTTTTTTTTATTTTTTATTATTTTTATTATTAGAATAAACGCCCTACTGATAGCCGATGAGATAAGACGCGCGGTCGCCGTGGAAGTGGGTCTGGGTGTTGCTAAAGTCGACGAACAGTCCTGTCCCGGTTTCAAATGGCCACCACTGGACTTCGGATGGAGTCTAGCTGAGGTTAGACGCAATTTATTAATCTTACTAGCTTCCCGCCAGCGGCTTCGCCCGCTCTTGTATCTATACTAATATTATAAAGCTGAAGAGTTTGTTTGTTTGTTTGAACGCGCTAATCTCAGGAACTACTGGTTCGAATAGGGATGACGACTGGGTAAAAAAATGCAATTCTATTTAGTCCGTCAGTCAGATAATAGAAAAATATTAGATACGTATTTTTTTATTACTTCAAATTAACAAGAAATAGCTTAGATAACAGGCATTAAAGTTGATGAGTGGGGGCTCGCTACGTCACAGTTGAGTAGAAAATGTACCATAACGTGACGTCATGCGAAATTTCAACTCAATGTAACGCCTTATTTTATGATTACGAAAATAATAAAAAATACGTGTTTAATATTTTTTAACACTCTACCAGACGGACAAACAAACAAAAATTTGTCATCATCCCTATTGGAAAAATATTTTTGTGTTGAATAGACCATTTATCGAGGAAGGCTTTAGGCTATATAACATCACGCAGCAACTATTAGGAGCGAAGAAATAATGGAACACGCGGACGAAGTCGCTGGCGGCCACTAGTTATACATAAATACCTTCCTTTTGAATCACCCTATCTATGAAAAAACAATCGCATCAACATCCGTTGCGTAGTTTTAAAGATTTAAGCATACATACGGATATCATCATCAGTCCTTTTACGTCCCCACTGCAGAGGCTCAGGCCTTCCTTATGGATGGTTAAGGAGGATGGCCATGACCCTCCACGCTGGCCCAATGCGGATTGGAGGGTATTAACGACTGCAAATCCAGCCGGGACCAACGGCTTAACGTGCCTTCCGAAGCACGGAGTAGCTCGAGATAATAATTTTTTGGTCACCCATCCCGTGACCGACCCTCGCGAAAGTTGCTTAACGACTACTATCGCGGGCCGCGGCGCTTATCCACTACGCCACCGTGCTACTTACATACGGATATAGGGACAGATAAAGCGACTTTGTTTTATACTATGTAGTGTTAATCAAACTTTTATGCTATTGTTCAGAACATTTTATCTTCTGTAAATGAATGATTCTCTTTCTTCTTACATCTAAATATGCAATGATGAATTCCTATACTAATATTATAAAGTGTAAAGATTTGTTTGTCTGTTTGCAACGAATAGGCTCTGAAACTATTGGATCGATTTTAAAAATTCTTAACCTACAAGAAACTGTATCATAGGCTTTATTTTATCCCAAAAAACTGCAAATAAAGGGATGAAAATTGGAATTGAAGTTTGTATAGTTCATTAAAAAGTTACCATGGTAACCATTGCTTACTATTTGTCATTATAATTATGTGTCATGATATGATTACATATCTATTATTTATAAGACTGGATTAATAAGCTACTTTTTAATGCGGATTTGTGAGGCTATTGTATCTATTATTTATAAGACTGGATTAATAAGCTACTTTTTAATGCGGATTTGTGAGGCTATTGTATTGTCGCTCCAAATTGATTTTTTTGATCACCCATCCCGTGACCGACCGTTGCGAAAGTTGCCGATAATCATTACGCCACCAAAATGCATACATACATTAAAAGTTAAATGAAATCATTTAAAAGAGACTTTATTTAGTTGTTTGTTCTTATAGGTGCTTAGTGCTGATTCGGAAAAGAGCGAGAAGAGGAAAGACGAAGAAGAAACAAAGAAAGAAGAGAAAGACCAGGAGAATGGGTGAGTGTTAACGTAATCTATACGATATATATATATATATAACGGTGAGTAGTCCGAAGGGGCTATTACGAAGCCCAAATAGATGGTCCATATCGGAGGACTATCTTTAAAATAACACTGCAGGCGTGTATAACAACGTGGATTTGTTCCATTTTATCACTTTTCATACGAAAATATAACGAGATGAGCGTGATGTCGTCGGATATATTTACTCCACGGCGATCGGAAACAGAATGTGTGCCAAAATGGCGGCAATTTGCTTTTGTTAACGAACTGTCAAAGTCAGTGTCACCATTCTAATAAAATTAAAAGTATCGATGAGCACGCTCTTTCTACAATCGAATAATTAAGTAATCGAGTAACTAGCAATTAAAATAAAAGAAACTAAATCAAACGATCTTTGTAAAGATAATGCGACATATATATATTTTGAAAAATGTTTTTAATGAATAATGCTTCAAAAAAATCCACTTTTTCCATAATAAACTGTAACATATAGACGATGGTTGGATATTGTCACCTGAATCTATGTAATAGAAAGCCATATTATACTATGTAAAATTTTTATTTGTAATCTGTAATTTGTAATTTAATATGGATCAGTGGGTCTGAAATAAACATTTATTATTATTTAGTACAAAATTTACTCTTCCTTTAATAACTATTATTATTATTATATTTGATAATAATAGGCTTGTGTCCTACAAGTGAAAATACAGGATTTTCTTATATCTTCGAAAAATATAAACCATTTTAACTTATAAATGTTTAACAAAAGAAACTTTAAGTCACTGATTTGGAAAATATTACGCTTTGAAAACTTGAAAAAGTAGAGAAAATCTGCTACAAAAATTTTCTCAAATATATAAGGCGTTAAATTAGATATAAAAAATGTTACAACTTTCATTATAACAGCTATAAACATAAACTTACAAATGACAAAGATATTACAAAAAAATGTCCAGACGCCCATACATTTTTCGCTACTGTAGCACCGTGTGACGTCACTGAGTGCCTTGAATTTATAGGGAGCGTTTTCGGCCAACTAGCAGCAGTTCCAAAATCATAGCTCCATATCTTCGAAACTATTAATCGCAGACATGCTGTTACTTGTACATTATTTCTCAGATATAAATGGACTATTTATTTATAAAAGTTGTCAACTAGCCTATTATTATAACACTCTGAGATGGGACTCGAACCCACGACCTTTTGCCATCTGCTCTATCACTGAGCCGCAAGGGACTTAACAGGACTGACGAATTATTCAAGCACTTGTTATTTTTTCGATATTTTCGCTAAAGTTTCTATCAATATTCATTTTGTCTTAGAGAAAAAGAGAAGGAAGATACGGAAGAAAACCAGAAAATACAAGATGAATCACCTAAAGAGAAAACGATAAATGACATTCTTCAAGAGAAAGAGGAAGCTGAGAGTGTAAGTATTTCTTTCTTTTTTTACTACAAACACTAGTTTGTTGAGGGATATTTTTAATGGGTTTTCGACGTGGTACTTACGTCACTTTCGTCTTGAATTAGTTGCAGAAAGTCAAAAGCTAATTTTTCTTCGAAATTCTATATCGTGTAATGTCTCTTTCGCAGAATTTCTAGTAAAATGTTCATATCAACATTTGTGATGTCTGTTGCCACTTTAAGTTTTGTACTAAAATTACTGGTTGACTGGTAGACAATGCCTCTTTGACATTAAGTCCGCTTATAATTGTCGAGTAAATACAGAAGGCAGATATGAGAGTTCTTTTTACCAAAACAAAAAGAAACTAAAATCTTCTTAATATACTTAGATTAGGTCTATTTATTAATAAAGAACATGCATTTTCGTAATTTTGTAAATGACTTTCTTTAAAAGTAACGTACTGCGTGAAAACCAATATTTGTGTTAGAATGTTAAGCAACCTTCACAATGGCTAGTCAAAGGGATGGGTGACCGGTTTTTAATCCCACTCTATACTTATTTTCGTTCGTTACACCGTTCGATTCGGCTGCATTTGCGGTTGTTAACACCCATAAATCCGTAATGGGCCAATTGTTAAAAGGCAATCAAATCGCAGGGTTTCGAAATAGGCACATGGAGCAACGACATGGCGTCCTCTATACCGGACGCCGTCGAGTTCGACGAGTTCATGGAGCCGTTACCGTCGAATCTCACCTTCTGCACTTCCGCTTCCGGTAATGTAGTAATGTTGGATTATTTATTATCATTTTCAACCTTAATGTGTCGGTGATTAAGTCCAAAATTCATTGCTATAATACAAGAGCTTAGTATGCGTCGCCGAGCAAGCGAATGGTTCCAAAATTAGAATCACCAGCGAAGCTACTTAATTAATTAAAAAATTTGAATGTCAGTGGTCGGAATTAGGTAGAGTTATTCATGTACTTACACTGATTTCATACAGCGAAAGAATAAAGTGGATATGCCTCAAATCCCGAGATTAACTTAAAGAGCAGAAAAAATCCCGTGATTTTTTAAATAAAAAGTTATTTACTTTTACACAATTTAAACTACTGTACGCACGACGTTGCCAAACTTACATCAATGAAAGAAAGAAATAAAGAAATCCCGGGAAGGTCCACATTAATATCAACATTTCGATGCAAGTACATAAATAACTCTACCTAATTCCGACCTCTGGTTATGATGTAAAAATTAGAATCCTGAGCGATAGCGAGTGAATCACAAGAGAAATCTTTCCACTCGAATGCAACACGATCATCGTGAAAATCTCTAAATGCTTTTATTCCAGTTTAGATATTAACTACTAAATTATTATAAGTACTCCAAGAAGGTTCCGAGTACTAGCTATTGCCCGCGACTTCGCGTGGTAAAGTTACTTTTCTTTTCTAACGAATATTTATTCATTATATCGTGTTAAATACCTGAAATTAAGTTCCATCCCCTATTTTATCCCCTTGGGGGTAAAATTAGTAAAAATCCTTTCTTATGGGATCCCTACGTCTGTGTAGCTTTGTGCGTGCAAAGTCTCGAGTTCGATTTAAAATTGACAAAGTTTCATACAAAATTTCATCCCCTATTTTATCCCCTTGGGGGTGGAATCAATCAAAATCCTTTCTTGGCGGATGCCTACGTCATAACATCTACCTGTATGCCAAATTTCAGCCCGATCCGTCCAGTGGTTTGGGTTGTGCGTTGATAGATCACTATGTCAGTCAGTCACCTTTGAGTTATATATATTTAGATATATATTGTGTGATAAATTTTGCACCGCGGAGATACAGAAGTCCGATTATCTGAACATCAATTGTCCAGATTCCATCTGGTTCGGCTGAAACCTTAAACTTAAAATAGTAATGCGTATCGAGTTCTATTATATTCGAATATACTCGAGTCACTCGAGTGAATTTATCAAAATCGTACTCGAGTGAAAATAAAATATCACTCGAGTTATCGAGTCAAGACGACGTATCAAATTGATAAAAGGAATATGAAAAAAACTCAAAATGTTTTTTTACTGTAGGTGGCGCTAACTGGTGCGATCCCATAGAGAAACCTAAGAGCCAATTCAATCCTTCCAGAACTTTCTCTATGGCCGAGAGCGATTGCTCGTACATGTCGAGGTAATTATAGCAAAATGTACATTTTAAATTGTCTCAACTAGTAGGGGAATGAAAAGGTTCGTCGAATTCCTTTGAAGTCGCGGCCGCTTATTGCATTATGTTACTAACACTCGGTTTCAGATTGAATTTAAAGTGAAGCACGTCTCAAACCGTACACAAACCATCTTAGACGACACCTAAACAGGTTTTCGTTTGTGATTTTAAATATGTTGGTAGCGGTTTGATAAAGCTAGGTGGCGTAGTGGATAAACGCCGCGGCCCGCGATCTTTGTCGTTAAGCAACTTTCGCAAGTGTCGGTCACGGGATGGGTGACCGAAAAATTATTATCTCGAGCTACTCCGTGCTTCGGAAGGCACGTTAAGCCGTTGGTCCCGGCTGCATTTGCAGTCGTTAATACCCTCCAATCCGCATTGGGCCAGCGCCTCCTTAACCATCCATCAGGAAGGCCTGAGCCCCTGCAGTTTACGTCCCGTAAAAGGCTGATGATGATGATGATGGTGGTTTGATAAAATCAAGAGCTTTTCGCCGTGTGAAACGTATAAAATAATACTTATCTCAAAAGCGACTTATTCAAGAAAAAATTATATTAAATTCAGGCGGAGGTTTTCTGTTTATTCATTCATTCATATTCATTCATTCATTTATAAATGGTACACAAACATATCATAATCAAAAAAGAAACCTACAAACATATTTAAAGTATTTTGGACTAGACTATATTCTAAAAACTAGATATAGATATAGTAAATTTAAATATTAAATTGTGTTAATAATATTTTTAATTTTTAATTTTGCGACTTTGTTATTTAAAAATATCTGCAGGTTATTAATGATAATGCAAATCTACTTTTCAGTGATTTTGACACCGACGATTCTGAATTCAACACCGACAGCGACGAGGACACGGAATCCAGCGGTTTCTGGAGTAAGGGATGTGAGTATTATTGTATCTTCAATTCCATTATTTCTTCGCTCCTAATAGTTGCAGCGTGATGTTATATAGCCTAAAGCCTTCCTCGATAAATGGTCTATTCAACGCAAAAAGAATTTTTCAATTCGAACCAGTAGTTCCTGGGATTAGCGCGTTCAAACAAACACACTCTTCAGCTTTATAATATTAGTATAGATGTGTAAAGGTGTGCCGTACCAACGTTTATTTTGTCCCAGGTGTTGGAAATCAAATATCCAAGTCTATTTTTAGTCTGTGATTAAGAAAACATTCAATCATCATTTTGTCTATGGTCTGTGGATATGTATAATCTGTGATTCTCATTACTTTTTCGCTTGTTTTTGTAAATTTATTTTAAAGTACTTGTTTTTAAAGCACGCTTGTAGCCCCTCTGGTGTTGCAGGTGTCCATGGGCGACGGTAATCACTTACCATCAGATGATCCGTCTGTTCGTCTGTCCCCTATTCCATAAAAAAAAACTTTTTCTTTATAAAAATCCATCGTATAGCAATCATCTTTGTAGTTTTCATTTTCCCTGAGCTCATATCAATATTAGGTAGCCGCATGTAAAGTTTTTGTCTTTTATCTTCATTCAACACTATTTCTTTTTATTATTCACCTTTCGTAATTTGAAATTTTGAGTAATCAAATATACTTTTTATGAATGTCAGTTTGTGAAAAAATAATCCGGTGTGAACACAATAAAGGTAAAACTTGACTTCAACAAAATTCTAAATTTTAACTTGGGCTTTCACTACCAATGTACAAAAAGCAGAGTTTATAAACTGGATTCTGGCGAAATCCACAAAGGCAACGCCATTAATTAAAAAGAAGAAGAATGTAATCATACAAATTTAATAATAATTAAGTTATTATAATTTTAATAAGTAAATAAAAAAAAAATATATAAATAAATTTAAAAAAATAAGAAAAATGTTAATCTAAAAGTATATCTTCGTGAAATATCGTCCAGGTTTTATCTATTACAGAAAATCCAGAAACGGGGTATGTGTTTGTTTTATTTAATAAATGTAATTATATTATTTAGGTAATCATACGAACTGTTTTTATATTAATTTTTTTCTTTTCTTTTATTACCATATAATAAAATAAGCTATCCCACCGAGCTAAATATATCATCAGGCTACTAATGTCCCCACTGCTGGGATTTATTGTCTCGGGTCTGGGTGTTTTGGTACCTTCATTGTCTCAGATACTCCATAATACGAAGGCTTTAGCTTCTCATTTTGGAATCTGAGCAATGTATGTGATATTATTTAAAATATATATATAATAATAATAGCACCTCAATAGTCTCGTTAAGATTAGAAGCAATGGCACAGTGTTTACCGCGCTCGGTCTACGATAAAATTGTTAAGCAACTCTCTCAATGGCCAATCATAGGATGGGTGACCAAAAATTTAGAAGGCACGTTAAGCTATTGGTCCTAGATATGCCTGAGAGAAGAGCTGATCATGTCTTTATGTTTGCAGCGTTAGGTGTTCGTATAGAATATAAGACCACGCATGAAGCTGAAGCTGTGGACGTCGAGAGGAAGAAGAAAGTGAACCCCGCCCCGCAACCCGACGAGACAGACGACGATACGGACAGACGGACGCACCACCAGTGTATTAGAGAGGGTGATGCGCCCGCGCAGGTATTATTACGCTTTATGCGGATTATGCATTAAAAAAAATGAATTCCATTTAGCCCGTTATTTAATAAGTATATACGTAATTGAATAAGAAATGGCTTAGATAATACTCTTTAAAGTTGAGGAGTACTCGCTTACGTTACAATTACATATATAGAGAGCGTACAAAAGTGTGACGTGAAATATCGCTGTAATTTATTGGTTACGCAAAATATAAATAAATATTTCTTTAACATTCTAGAATTATCTAATTCTTGATGAAGTCGTATACAATCAGAAATAATAAATAATAAAAAATAAATAAAATAATTTAATGTATAAAGTTAAAGGAATCCAATTTTTTTTTTTTGCTGTCTGTACTAATATGACAGCTAAGCCGTGGTAGCTAATTCGATCCTATTCTTATTTGGCTCTCATAATACTATATTATACGATGGAAGTATAGCTAATATTTGTGGCATGACATCCAATAGTTTCTATCTATTAAATTAGATAGGTAGTCTATCTATTGTATTGATCCTATTATATTGAGTAGCTCGGTGGCGTAGTGGATAAGCGCCGCGGCCTGCGATCGTAGTCGTTAAGCAACTTTCGCTAAGGTCGGTCACGGGATTGGTGACCAAAAAATTACTATCTCGAGCTACTCCGTGCTTCGGAAGGCACTTTAAGCCGTTGGTCCCGGCTGCATTTGCAGTCGTTAATACCCTTCAATCCGCATTGGGCCAGCGTGGAGGGTCATGGCCCATCCTCTTTAACCATCCATAAGGAAGGCCTGAGCTCCTGCAGTAGGGACGTAAAAGGGCTGGTGATGATGATTCTACCTATAATACAGGTTTTTTTAAATCAATACATAAATAATAATGTCCACTTTCTATACATCTATTGATCTGTCACCTGTTTTTTTTTAAAGGTCTTGTCTACCCACCATTAGTGATAAATTAGTTTTTGCTTAAAATAGAATAATATCGAAGCAACTTTCAATCTGGAGATTCGTAATTTTGTAAATAATGTTTTGAGGTTATAACAGCTGTCAAAACTCGAGATAATTGTGAAGCTACTTTATAAATAAATGTATTAAAAATGCTTTTATAGTTTAAACTCGTAAATGTGGAAATAAATCTAAATTGAATTGTTAATTAGCACTTTTACTAAGCTTCTTCTTCTTCTTTTTTAATTCATGGCCTAGTTGCATTTACACAATTCCGCCAATGTCACTTTTGTGGTCTTTACACGTAAAAAAACAATAATAAAATGTGTAAATTTTGAATTTAAATAAAATAATTATCAAACTTCATATAGGTGATAAATTCTTCTTCTTTTTTCTTTGCTAAGCTTATGACGAACAAATATTCTTCCGGAGTAGATGAAACAAAACTGTCATTATACGGTCCAAATCGCATTAGGGTAGCTATCAAAGTACCATTTAAAATTATGAGAAAGTATTTTAAGAAAAAAGCACCTCCAGTAGATGGCGACTCTAGCAAAAGTCTATAATCAGTTCCGTTCCTTTCAATTAACACACTAAAAAACTGAAATTTGCAAAGTTCAAAACTTAGATATAAATACAAATACGAAAAAGTACAAATAGAATATGAGTTGTTTATTGAGTTTTGAAAACTAATTTACTTTTATACATGAATGAAAACCGAGAAGGATGGTCGTGGAGAAATCAAGAACATACCGTAGCGTCATCTAGTTTGATTTCTGGAACTATTTTTTTTAAGCTGATAATGCAGCTTCGCAATTTTTATCCTGACTTTATTTTAAGACTTAATTATACGATATGAAATAAGTAAAATGTAAGCTACATTGTGAGATATCACTAGATGAGTTATTAAATTTTTAGGTCAAAATTAGACATGATTCTTTTGAATATAAATTATATAAACATCCACACTCGAGTGGTTTGTACGTTGGTTTCAAGGCTTGATTGTCGATTGGACTTTTCTATATTGTCTCGTGTCTGGGTATTGTGGTACCTCCTTTGTCTCAGATACTCCATAATACAGGGGCTTTAGCTACTCAACTTTGAATCTGAGCTATTAATATGATGTTATCATATTTTTATTTTATTTTATAACATTTATTAGTTATTTTTTTAGGTAATTAAAAGTTTGTGTAATGACCACATTTTTTTCCAGTAACAATGGTTGATAAATTAAAAAATAACTAATACAATAAATATCTTATATTACAGTACGTTGAGAAATTTCGTGCGTCAGTAAAGAAACATGAGACCGACTTATTCAAAGACGGCAATCTAATAACCAAAGACAAACCCGTAACTGACATATTACCAGAGACAAAAGACCGTAGACAATATAACAACATTAGCATAAACAAGAGAATTCTCACTGATCTATTCCCTTACGGCGACGAGGAATTAATATTTACAAACGGACAGATAAATTTAGAGAGCATAGAGAGAAATAAAAGAGTATTATTGAATAGACTAAAGAGTTGTACGTCCAAAGAGGATGTTAAGAAACTGAATTGTTTCTCTATGGTCGATGTGGATATAGACTCCCCTGGATACGTGAACGAGAAGGTAGCGAATGTCGGCTTCGACACTAAAGAGTCTTATGTGGATAAGATCAGTAAATGGGATGGCGTGAAGGAATTCAGATCTTATTACAATGAGGGTAAGGTTCACGGGAAAGAGTTCGATTTCGATCATCAACCGCCTTTAGAGGGACATCCGGGGCCGAGTCCTAGTGTTATACTGCAGGTGTGTTTATATATATTAATGAAATGAAAATATCTCTATTGGAGAAGGCTTATTACAAGAACTTTTGAATCATCAACAACTGAAACAAGCTTACACATATACTATTTAAATTATGCGCTTTGGCTATATTAGTCAATCTTCGGAAATCCTAATGTGTTTTAGAGATACCTATATAGAGTTGTTATTACATAATTAATCATTTCGCTTAAATTAAGATTAGGTCAGCGAATTTCAAAATAAAAGCATACTATGTTTCTTGCCATCAGCTGATACCAAAATGAAAACCCCAGATTAAAGGAAATCGAATTAAGATAAATCGGTTGTACTAACTAAATAAGTTTCTGACACCAGTGAGTAGAACAGTTTTTTTTAATAAAACAAAATTCATCAATTAATATAAACGGCCAGGCGCATTAGCAATTTGCGCCTAGTGAATAAGCGCCGCGGCTCGCGATCGTAGTCGTTAAGCAACTTTCGCAAGGGTCGGTCACGGGATGGGTGACCAAAAATTATTATCTCGAGCTACTCCGTGCTTCGGAAGGCACGGTGAGCCGTTGGTCCCGGCTGCATTTGCAGTCGTTAATACCCTCCAATCCGCATTGGGCCAGCGTGGAGGGTCATGGCCCGCCCTCCTTAACCATCCATAAGGAAGGCCTGAGCCCCTGCAGTGGGGACGTAAAAGGGCTGGTGATAATATAAACTTTATCAATTAATGACTTCTATTATTCACGGGAATGACCGCTTATAGATTTTCTTCTTTTTTTAAATTGGTATCCATGTAGGAATAAATTAAGTACCTATATTCAAATAAGGTAATTTGTCGTATTACAGCTCTATACAATTCTTAATACTGAAATATTGCGTGCTGTCTTCTTCCATCACAGTCGAGGTACTGACGAGTTTTGGCGGCTAAAACGACGATCACATATTGGTTTCTTGATCGGTTAAATTCGTATACACGAAATACACCGAAGCGCATAATTTAAACAGTATATGTGTACTTGAATAAAGACATTTTCATTTCATTTCATTGTAATTATATATAAATCGATATGCAAATAAAAATTGCCCTAGCAAGTGTTTGTATATTTATTTATTTCTTTTTCAGGCTCTAACTATGTCAAATGCAAACGATGGTATAAATTTAGAGAGATTGGAGACGATCGGTGATAGTTTCTTAAAGTTCGCCATAACGGCTTATTTGTACTGCGCCCATCCGACGGTGCACGAAGGGAAACTCAGCCACATGAGAAGCAAACAGGTGAGTGATATATTATAGCGTATTGGACAGCCCGCAATCGTCGATGTTAAGCAACTTTCCCGATGGTCTGCCGCGGGATGGGTGACCGAGAAATTGTCACCTCCAGCTCGTGTTGGCTCCGGCTGCGTTAGCCGTTAGTATCTTATCCGCATTGGGCCCGCGTGGTACCACAAGGAAGGCCGGAGCTAATGCAGCGGGGACGTGAAAGGGCTGATTGTGATGTCTGAATAAAAAAAATCTAATTTAGTCCGTCAGTCAGATAATAGAAAGATACGTTTTTTACTTCGTTTTAACAAGAAATGGTTTAGAGCAGTGATTCCCTAAGTGGTCCAGGTGGACCCCCAGGGGTCCATAAGGGATTCAACGTGGGTCTACGTTGGCGTGAAATAAAAATAGTGGTTCACAATTTGTCGTTAGATCTTCACATTTTGGACGAATTTTGGGAATATGGTAAAAATGTAGCAGCAGGGGGTCCACCGAAACCAGTAAGCTTTTTTAAATGGTCTACGGGAAAAAATTGTTTGGGAACCTCTGGTTAGATAATAGGCATTAAAGTTGGAGCTCGTTATGTCGCTACTATGTAGAAAATGCACAAAGATGTGACGTCATACAGTCAATGTATCGCCGTAATTTATAAGACTGTTTTAGATATTGATGTTTGAAAGATATTCACGAACTTCACCCTACAACTATACTTGCGATAGCGATTGCAATTGTGAAAGGTATTGAATGAACGATAGCGTTAATTTAACGTTACATGCATCCAAAAATCGCTATCACAATCTCTGTACTTTTATAAACATTGCGATAGATTTTAAAATAAGACAATTAGCCCACAACTAGTCTAGTAGAACATGTAATATACAAGTGTCTAGTATGTTTTAGACAGGTGTCCTTAGCCCACAACTAGTCTAGTAGTATATAATATATCGCACTCCCGGTGCGACACTGTCACTTATGCAAAAATTTAGTTTTTCAGGAGAAGAGTTTTAAACTCTGTAACCTCACAAAACAATGACTTTAGAAGATACAGATGAGATGAATCATACTGAACATAGTTCCGTATGATTCATCTACAAAAGTAACATTATCGCACCAAGTAAAGGGGGCTTTAGGACAATTATTACATATTTAACTAATTTTTGTATTTTTTGCAAAAGTGACAGTGTCGCACCGGGGGTGCGATGTGTAATATAAAAGCGTCTGGTATATACTTAGTAGGATGGGCATTAAATAATAATCTTAATATTGTTTTCCTCATTGAAACAATAATGTTATTGTCTCTTTCATTCCATAATTTGTCACAAAATTTATAAGTATATTCCCATATAACGACTGGAAGAAAGGTGGCCGATACAGGTATTATATGTACTTAAAAGGTAGCACACCATGGTGTACTTTATTGTAAAATGTGGAGAGATAATAAAGTATTATTATGGACAGGTGTCGTTAGCCCACAACTAGTCTAGTAGACCATGTAATATAAAAGTGTCTAGTATGTTTTAGACAGGTGTCCTTAGCCCACAACTAGTCTAGTAGAACATGTAATATAAAAGTGTCTAGTATGCTTTAGACAGGTGGCGTTAGCCCACAACTAGTCTAGTAGAACATGTAATATAAAAGTGTCTAGTATGTTTTAGACAAGTGTCGTTAGCCCACAACTAGTCTAGTAAAACATGTAATATAAAAGTGTCTAGTATGTTTTAGACAGGTGTCGTTAGCCCACAACTAGTCTAGTAGAACATGTAATATAAAAGTGTCTAGTATGCTTTAGACAGGTGTCGTTAGCCCACAACTAGTCTAGTAGAACATGTAATATAAAAGTGTCTAGTATGCTTTAGACAGGTGGCGTTAGCCCACAACAAGTCTAATAGACCATGTAATGTAAATATCTAGTATGTTTTAGACCGGTGTCGTTAGCCCATAACTAGTCTAGTAGTATATTTAATATAGAAGTGTCTGATATGTTTCCGTCAGGTATCGAACCTGAACCTGTACCGTCTCGGGCGCGGTCGCCGTTTGGGCGCGCGCATGACCGCCACCAAGTTCGAACCGCACGACAACTGGTTGCCGCCATGCCATAGACCACCACATAACCAACACAACAAGGTAACGTCAGGCCAATACGGGTGTAGACTAAAAACGAAAATAAATATACATATATTTTTTCTGGTAGTATATAATATAGGGTATGTTCCGATATACACTGCGAGCACTGCGCAGTGGTCTTACTGCTGAAAAATCCGTTCCGTTATGGACTGCCAGTATACTGCTACAGTACCCTAGGGAAATTTATGACGTCATGAATTGCCGCCATATTTGTACTGTGAGCACTGGAGATTTCGAGGTGCAGTGCTCGCAGTGCTTTTGACCACGTGATCAGTCGAAACAGATAAAATAAAATACTTACGTTTATTATAAGATGGATTTGATTGATAAATAATTTTTTTATACATTTTCTAATTTTATAATATTTTTTTTGAAAAGAGGGAATCTTTATATTTATATTCACCTTGCATTAACAAATTTGAAAATGGCGCCAAAAATAGGATTAACAGTATACTGGACTGCGTTCCGTTTTAAAAAGTCACCAGTATAACTAGCTATAAAGGAACGGGCTTCCAGTATGCTAAATTGACGTCATACTGTTCAGTGGTCGCAGTGTATATCGGAACATACCCATAGTATTATCGGTAATCACACTTATATGCTTATTATATTTGTAATATTGCTTAAATTGATTATGGAAAAACAAACATTTTGTATTCGTTGTCACGTGACCGCAAACAGCGCGTGACGTCACGCCCCTCTACTAATATCAGAACTAAGAGAATTAAACCTTATGCATATATAGAACGATATCAGTGTATGGTATATAGGCAATTACTACTTTTCATTGTACTAGAAGGCTCCCTATGGATAGAAGTACTTCCATGGGCGCCAGCTTTTGTGTTTACATAATAATCAAGCCAATGTAATGTAATATATTTTTTATTTTATTGTTATACATAAAATATATCTAAAAAAAGTATCATTCACATAATAAGTTAAAACCTTAAAAATATCTTACAAAAACACCAAGTTCAGTCATGTTTGCATAAAGTTGAATTCTCAAAGTCCTGATATGAGTAAGAGGGGCGTGAAATCACGTGACAATGATTATAAAATATTTGTTTTACCATAATTAATTTAAGCAGTATTATAGATATAATAAGCATACAAGTGTGATTATAGGTAATAGTATATTATACATTATCAGCATAAAATAATATGTATTTATTTACGTTTACTGTCTACACCAGTATTGTTAGCCTTATTACCAGTGGTCGGAATTAGGTAGAGTTATTCATGTACTTAGACTGATTTCATACAGCGAAAGAATAAAGTGGATATGCCTCAAATCCCGAGATTAATTTTAAAGAGCAGAAAAAATCCCGTGTTTTTTTTAATAAAAAGTTATTTACTTTTACACAATTTAAACTACTGCACGCACGACGTTGCCAAACTTACATCAATGAAAGAATGAAATAAAGAAATCCCGGGAAGGTCCACATTAATATCAACATTTCGATGCAAGTACATAAATAACTCTACCTAATTCCGACCTCTGCTTATTACATATTTCGGCTGTGATTTTTGGTCATTTGGTCATTTTTGGTGTTCTTGATCTCGAAATCAAAATATATTAACATTTTTTTTTATATATTATCTTTTTAGTAACCTTTTTACTTATTTAATAGTGCATAATATTTATTGGCACAGTTCTAAGCAGCTTTGCTTTTTTGTAAATTATGCTTTACTTTTGAATAAACCCAGAACTGCAGAGAATTTTTTTAATAAAATACGCCATGGCATAATTAAATATAGAAAAATAATCTTATTTAAAAAAAAAAACTTCGAAAATAGCTTTAAGTTACGTTTAAAACGTAACGTTTAAGTTGGAATCGATTTGTTTAAACTTCAAATTGCGGATTATGAATGAAAACGTAATCTTCTCTCTTGTCTTATCGATTTGCGAGTTTAAAATTAACCGTGTATAATGTTGCGATGTTGTCTTCCAAATAACCCTGTATATTTATTTACATTAAAGGAACAAAATCCCGAACAGAACCCGAATCATCCCGACGGAGCCGTTGATAATTCTGGATGTTTCATACCGTACAATCTCATCACGCAACACAGTATACCCGGTGAGTTTATTAATATTATGTTTTCCTGTGACTTCGTCTGCGTTAATAGGGGTGATGATTTTTTTTTGTGAATATATCTTTATTTTTTGCTTAATCATTAAATTATCGTGATAAGTTGATTTAAAATGACATGACGTCACACTTTTGTGCATTTCCAATAAAAGTATGACGTAGCTTACCCCCACTCCTCAATTTTAATGCCTGTAATTTTTATTGTTAAATTGATGTGAAAAAAAACGTATCTAAAATTTTTCTATTATATTATATTATTATGTAAATGTTTATATAAATCGGTTCATGTAAGTATACCTTTTTATGGCACTTTCTTTGTTTTGTATCAACCATAGACTCTTGGCATTGTAAGCTGTACTTTTTATTTCTTTTTCATTTTGTTTTTTATTTAAACAGCGGCTCTGTGTCATTTTTGCCCATCTTAAAAAGTGGCACGGGCCATCGCTGAGATAGTCTCTCACGGCACGAATTTCTAACGACTTCAATTATTTATCGAATAATATATTGAGCCTTGACATATTTAGTGACAGTTTGAGTAAATTCAAATCGAAAATTCTCCGTTTTTTTTTTTGAGTACGCTTATAATAATTATGATGAATGATAATTGACCACTCGATTGAATTTAGTTCTTTTTTTATTTTTAATTAATAATTATCAAATTTATTTAGTTAATAATTTTTATAATATTTTAAATAACTCTAACGTATTTTTTTTTATTAATTTATATCACAAACTCATCTGACTTCAAACTAATTGACTGCGAATGCATACACCTTAATTGTGTCATATATCAGACTTATTTTTATTAAGAATAAGTTATAATTAAATGTTTTTATATGTGTTATGTGCAGAGGTCGGAATTAGGTAGAGTTATTTATGTACTTGCATCGAAATGTTGATATGAATGTGGACCTTCCCGGGATTTCTAATGGACAATTTCTAATTCTTTGGACATCCGATGTCATTGATGTAAGTTTGGCAACGTCGTGCGTGCAGTAGTTTAAATTGTGTAAAAGTAAATAACTTTTTATTTAAAAAACCACGGCGATTTTTTCTGCTCTTTAAAATTAATCTCGGGATTTGAGGCATATCCACTTTATTCTTTCGCTGTATGAAATCAGTGTAAGTACATGAATAACTCTACCTAATTCCGACCACTGGTTATGTGGCAGTACTATATAAATTAAGAAATAAATAGGATCCATGTAGACAGCTCTCATGTTACTTTATGAATATGTCTTTTTTGTTTTTGCCTCTCTCTTATGCATTACTATTGTACATGAACAGATGTGGCCAATAAACTTCTTCTATTCTACTCATATGCTTGACAGTCTAAAAAAAATTTTTTTTTTTTTGACCCAAGTTCACCCCTATTGTAGAATATGTCACCCGCGTATGGTGTAGCTTCCCGTTGGTGTGAGAATTTTCATAATATGTGGTAATTTGAATGATATATAAATGTCGCTTGCTTCCATGATTATTAAATGATTATGTTATCATTATAAGACCATAGTTTCTTTTTTTTATCTCTCTTTATTTATAATGCATTGATCTGGTAATGACATGGTTTTTGTAAATGTCATTACTCCCATTAGAGCTGGTGAGGTTCTTGCTCGTTCTTCTTATCAGCCAAAAGATGTCCTGAACGAGTGGGAAAAAAATGTTGGACGATTCAAAAGTACTTTTAAGAAGTCTATTTGAATAAAGATTATTTTGACTTTGACTTTGTCATAGACGCGTGAAAATGTAAGAAATAAATCTTTAAATTTCAACACTTATTTCTATCGAAAATAAAACATATTCCTATGAAATATATGGACAGTGTATTTATAATATATCAAACGACCATTTCAAATAGTTATCAGAAAGGTGTGAAATACCCTATCATTTTGCTTTGATATTTCAAATAAGGGCAGGCCATTAATCACGTGTTTTTTTTTTTTTGTTATTCGTGAGGTTTAAAACTACCACCTCCTACACACAATCTCCCCACCCTTCGAGCCTCACGGGATTAATGATTTAATGTCTTTCTAAATTTATATGACATTGAATTTTTGTGTAATGTTAAAGTGTTTGCATGTTTTTTTGTGTATTTTATTTTACTTTGTTGTTTTACCATTCGAATGCGATTGTAAAAAAATGTAAATATATAATAATAATAGACGGTCTCTTACCAGGTAAAAAAGTGTCTACAATTTACAAAAATAAATATAGAACTTATCTATACATAGTATTAAACGAAGTCGCTTATCGTTGTCTGTACGCTGAGATCTTTAAACTAGACAACGGAATTGAATGGGGTTTTTTATCAATATACAGAGTAATTGAAGAAGAAGGTTTATATGTATAAAAAAGATGTAAAATTAATTATAAAAAGTGGAAATAAAAAAATCGTGTTTTTTTATGCATAAAAAAGACATTTATTATTATCATCATTTTTTTTTACGTCCTCACTGCAGGGGCTCAGGTCTTCCTCATGGATGTTTAAGGAGTATCGGCCATGACAATGCGGATTGGAGGGTATTAATGACTGCAAACGTAGTTGGTACCGACTTTTTTAACCGCCTTCCGAAGCACGGAGGAGCTCGAGACAACCTTTTGGTCACCCATCCCGTGACCGACCCTTGCGAAACTTGCTTAACAACAACGATCGCGAACCGCGGCGCTTATCTATGTTATGTGTATATTAAACAGATAAATCAATAGCCGATTGTGTGGAAGCATTGATAGGCGCGTACCTACTGGAATGCGGACCGCGTGGTGCGTTGTTATTTATGTCGTGGCTGGGAATAAGGGTACTGCCAAGACACGTGTTGCCACTGCCCCCCACGCATCCGTACGTGATAGCCGAGGAAAATCGCACTCAGAAGGTCAGTGTATTCTATTGTACTTTATTAATTATATGATTTTTATTCTATTATTTTCTCGGCTTGTTTTATTCTATTTTACTAACTCAAAATAAAGAATTGGTTTTCAAAAATGTTTTCATAATATGGATGATCCTATAGACATTATTCATATATGGAGAGCCTCAAAAGATTTAAAATAACACCCTTAAATATCCGACAATGTCCTCGACTTAATTGTTTCATATGGCTTAATCAGGAATGAAATTGATTGCTCCGGGACAAATGAACAGCAATTATTTATTGTATGTTTAAATTTATAAACAATAAGAAATGACAGAAAAGGAAATAAAATAAAAATTGTTTTGTAATCGTTGACGTTTATGTGCACGGAAAATGTTTGCCTATAAGAACGTTTCAAGCAAACACTCCCGGGAGGGTGTCGTATCCATGTTAATATTTCTTTGACCATTTACTTAAGAGTGTCGTATGCGTGTTATTCTTTCTATGGCCATTTATTTAAGAGTGTTGTATCCATGTTATTCTTTCTATGGCCATTTATTTAAGAGTGTTGTATCCATGTTATTCTTTCTATGGCCATTTATTTAATAGTGTCGTATCCATGTTATTCTTTCTATGGCCATTTATTTAAGAGTGTTGTATCCATGTTATTCTTTCTATGACCATTTATTTAAGAGTGTTGTATCCATGTTATTCTTTCAATGGCCATTTATTTAATAGTGTCGTATCCATGTTATTCTTTCTATGGTCATTTATTTAAGAGCGTCCTATGCATATTATTCTTTCTATGGCCATTTATTCAAGAGTGACGTATCTATGTTATTCTTTCTATGGCCATATATTTTAGAGCGTCGTATCCATGCTATTCTTTCAATGAACATTACTCGTAGTTATACAAGTACAAGATTTCATTTATTTAAGAATGTCGTATCCATATTATTCGTTCCATGACCATTTATTTAAGAGTGTCATATCCATGCTCTTCTTTCAATGAACATTTGTTATACAAGATTTAATCTGAACTTTAGAAATCGGACCCGCAACCGGCTAAGACCAATCACCGCGAGCCGACAGACTCGGAATCCTCCTGTTCGGAAGAGGATGAGCCCTGGCAACAGGAAGAAGACGCGCCGCCGGAAGAAGACTGGAGTTGGCCGGATAGACCAGTGGGGTCTTTACGACCGCACAAGAATCAACAAGGACAGTGGGTACAGGTAATATTATAAGCTATTATTTAACTTGTCGCATAAAGTGACTTAAATCTTGCAAGCTAAAATTGACTCAATAAGCTTGTGTCCTACAAGTGGAAATACAGGTGTTTATGTTTAAAAAATATGGACCATTTCAACTTAAAAGTATTTAACAAAATATTTTTTATGACACAAATTTAGAAAATACGCTTTGAAAACTTGAAAAAAGCAGGGAAAATATACTAGAAAATTTGCTAAAATACATATGGCATTAAATTAGTTACATAAAATGTTGTAATTTAAAGTACCTTCGGAAAAAAATAAACTAATTGAGTATTGATCACCGCAAGTAGTCGTTCTTAGAAAATAATAAATAAAACAAATGGGACCGTGGTCCCAGCTTCGTGCGGTCCCAATTTTCATGTGGTCCCAGTTCCTCGTACCGTCCCAATCGCCTCAGTAATTGCCCGTACTACGCTATTTGATTGATTTTTCTCCGCAGCCAATATTCGGTGAGCTGAAGGCGCCACCTTCTCCGTTACTCAGGTACATCGAAGATCCAGAAGGAGAACTGGAGAGGATGCTATCAGGTCAGTATAGAATTATTTCTTAATCCCACAGCCCGATAGGAAATAAAAAGCAGCCTCAATTCAACCCTTCATCAATTCTAGAATGTTCTAGATTAGTAAATTTAATTTATCCAACAATTTTAATTTGGAATGTCAAACTAGCTTTCCACCAGCGGGTTCGCCCGCGTGCTCTTGTATTATACATAAAACCTTCCTTTTGAATCACCCTGAATCATCTATGAAAAAAACCGCATCAAAATCCGTTGCGTAGTTTTAAATATTTAAGCATACATACGGATATAGGGACAGAGGAAGCGACTTTGTTTTATACTATATATGTTATTATATAGAGCCAGCACAAACTTAATTATTTTTTTCATTAATTTAACCATATAAATTTGACATTCATTAGAGTTTAAAAGAGTAATTAAATCTTAATGGACGTTTGTGCAATTATTGTTTAATATATTTTAATCACAATAAATGCATAGTAAAAAAAAGCTACATCACATACATTGTTCAGATTCCAAGATGAGTAGCTAAAGCCCCCGTATTATGGAGTATCTGAGACAACGAAGGTACCACAACACCCAGAATCGAAATAACACAACCAGGATGTGAACCGGTCGGGTCAATGTAGAAAATGGACTTTCCTATATCTCGGGTACGAGTGTTGTGATACTTTCGCTCGTTTGTATGCTAATCAGGCTCTATAAAGATGAATGAATGAATAAATGAATGAATAATATAAAGATGAATGAATGAATGAATGAATAATTCTTTATTGTACATAAACACCAGTAATTAGAAAACAAACAGACAACAAATAGTAATCTGCGGCCTTTATCGCTGAGAAGTTAGCATTTTAAGCGACTCCTAAGATTTGTGAAAACGGGCATTATTCTGGGTATATGAAAATGAGTGTTAGAATATCTATTTTGTTATAGGTTATGACGCATTAGAGAGGACTTTGCAGTACAGGTTCAGAGACAGGTCTCTGTTACTTCAAGCTCTCACCCACGCGTCACATCAGACGAACAGATTGACGGACTGCTATCAGAGATTAGAGTTTTTGGGTGATGCTGTACTCGGTGAGTGTGTTACACTGAGACAACTGCTTTTTTATATATATATTTTTTATTACATGTCACAAAATACAAAGTTGTAACTTTACAGATCACGTGATACCCTGTAAGGGTGTAGCAATTTTAAGTAGCTTTCATATACATTATCTTCATCTGCCTTTTTGCGTCCCCACTGCAGGGGCTCAGGCCTCCCTTGTGGGTGGTTAAGGGGGATGGGTCATGACCCTCCACTTTGACCCAATGCGGATTGGAGGTTATTAACAACTGCAGATGTGGCCCGGACTAACGGTTTAACGTTCCTAAGCACGGAGTAGCTCTACAAAAAAATTTAGGTCACCCATCCCGTGACATACCATTTCGAAAGTTGCTTAACAAAAGCGATTGATGTGGCCCGGACCAAAGGCTTAGCGTTCCGAAGCACGGAGTAGCTCGACCCAAAAAAAAAAATCGGTCACCCATCCCGTGGCAGACCATCGCGAAAGTTGCTTAACAAAAACGATCGCGGACAACCGAGCTACTCGAATAGGAACACCCTGACGTTATAATATGTTTATCCGTCTTGTATTGTTGTAGATTATCTCATAACTCGCCACTTATACGAAGACGCCCGCCGTCACTCACCCGGAGCCTTAACAGATTTGCGTTCGGCTCTAGTCAATAATACAATATTCGCTACGTTGGCAGCTAGACATGGATTTCACAAGTAAACATTTTAAATATAATTTTTTTACCAGCCCTTTTAAAGCGACTTCTCCCCTGTAATAATAGTCGGAGAGCTAGTGAACCATGCGGGTAACGGAACGCGTGTAAGGCTAAAAATTTGTATGGGGCCATTCATTTATTACGTAAGACTATTTTCGCTAGTTTTTGACCCCTCCCCCCCTATTATAAGAAAAAATAATAAAAGGCCTTCCCCCTCCCCCCTGTTTAATATTTATTACGTAAGAATCTGAAAGAAAAAATAATACTGGTTTTGGGTTGTTTTAATGTTTATTTTTCAAAGTAATAATTTTTAGAAATATTTTTCTGTACTTACAAAGGTACTAATAATTTTCATTTATTGGTAGTTTAAAAAAAAACTTTAGTTTAATAAATCTTTCATATTATTTCCAGTGCAGGTACTCAAAACCCACTCGGAAAGTGTATCTGCCACTGGAACATCTCTAATAAAAGGTGTCGCTTCTAGTTGGTCACCCAGGATAGTGACGTCGTTGACGTCCACCCATTCCACATCAGCCCCATTTGCTGATCTTACGTAAGAACTATCGAGACTCCCTCCCACCCCCTTGTAAGAAAAACTAAGACATTATTGACCCCCCTCCCCCCCTAAATCGTCTTACGTAATAAATGAATGGCCCCTATGGTGATGAAAAAAACCTTGCCTCATGCTAGCTAGAACCGTCACTTTACTGGAAATAGTTTCGACTAAATTATATAAAAATCTCACAAATTTTGAAGCTTACAGGAGCGAGGTTTTGTTTTCCTAATTCTATATACATTTTCAAAAGTATGGGTGTTGATGATTTTTGTTGGGCTGAAGCTTGCCAATGATGATTCTCGTATTTAGCATGCTATGACTCATCACCATACAAATTTCTAGTTTTACAGGCGTTCCGTTAACCGGATGGTTCACTAGCTCTCCGATTATAAAGTCAAAATAACTTTTTTTTTATACACTTTTCTTCAGTACAAAATGTGAATTGCTCTCATATAAGGTTACGATGTGTTACCAGAGGCATGCTCTTCCTTCAATACATTGACAAATGTGTGTGTGTGTGTGTGTGTGTGTGTGTGTGTGTGTGTGTGTGTGTGTGTGTGTGTGTGTGTGTGTGTGTGTGTGTGTGTGTGTGTGTGTGCGTGCGTGCGCGCGTGCGTGCGTGCGTGCGTGTGTGTTCGTAGGTGAATTTATCTGATTTTTAAGAAGCGTGATGTCATAGCGACGTCATGACAGAAGATGGCGTATTCGATGGGGTTTTTTTTTAATTGAATTATTTTTTGGATTTTTAGATCAATAAAATAAAAATATAAATAACGAAAGTTGTGTACACCCCTATTAAATTTACATTCCGACACTTAAAAATGTTATTCTAATTAGTTTGTTATTGGTAGCCATGAAATTTAGATAACTCTACTTTTCACTGATAAAAAAAAAATTACATAATAAAAATAATTTCAAAAAAAATTGCACTTATTAAAAATTAAACCTATATATAACATTTCCAGGTACTTCCGACACATGTCGCCTGGCCTCAACGAGGTATTATCTAAGTACGTAAAGATACAAGAAGAGAACGGACATTCGATAAGCGAAGAGGTAAGAAATTCATCATAAATATTATATATGTACTAGTTTTTGCCCGCGACTTCGTTCGCGTGGTAAAGTTACTTTGAGCAGCATTTCTGACGAATATTTATTCATTATATCGTTTAAAATACCTGAAAAAAGTCTTATCCTCTTAGCTTACGCCCTTAGGGGTGGAATTAATCAAAATCCTTTCTTAGGGGATGCTTACGTCATAGTAGCTTTATGCATGCAAAGTCTCGGCCCTTAAAACTAACAAAGTTTCATACAAAATTTCATCCCCTATTTTATCCCCTTGGGGGTGGAATCAATCAAAATCCTTTTTTAGAGAATGCCTACGTCATAGTAGGTTTATTTATACAAAATCTCAGTCCGTTCGGTTTAAAATTGACAAAGTTTCATACAAAATATCATCTCCTATTTTATCCCCTTGGGGATAGAATTGATCAAAATCCTTTTTTAGCGGATGTCTACGTCATAACATCTACCTACATGCCAAATTTCACCGATCCGATGCCGATCCGTCCAGTGGTTTGGGCTGTGCGTTGCTAGATCACTATGTCAGTCAGTCAGTCACCTTTGAGTTATATATATTTAGATTATATTCCCATGGGAATGCGTCATTTTCCCGCGGTAAAAAGTAGCCTATGTCCTTTCTTGGGTATCAAAATATCTCCATACCAAATTTCATGCAAATTGGTTCAGTGGTTTAGGCGTGATTAAGTAACAGACAGACAGTTATTTTCGCATTTATAATAGTATGGATTATTAAAACACGCAACTCCATTAACTCGCACATTTACCCGGGCGGTATATTGGCGGGAATCTCATCTTAAGTCAATGTCAAAGTCACAGTGACAGCTCACAGATAGTGATTCCTGTAATACAATCGATAAATAGTGGTGTATATGGTATTCGATATTTTTCTTCTAAATGTATATTTATGTAATTGTATGTATATATTTATATATGAAATGAAATATATATATACCGTACACGGAATAATTGGATAATATATTTTTATTTAGTTTCTTACTATCTGCTCTCTAGAGGGCGCTGTTGCCAATTTATTGTAACGTCACAAATCTTAAAGCACGCGGACAACTAAGACGCCTTGAAAAAGAAAAAGTCGAAATAAAATTTAAATTACGGTCAGAATCTAATTTTGTTGACAGTTTTTGGAGAGATAACATTCTAGTTCGTGATAAATAATAATAAAACCCAAATAATTTTAACGCAAACAGAAACTACAGTCTTAAAAATAAAAAAATTTTTTTTTTTGATATAAATTTGCAAAAAGGATGTTTTGAAAATTAATTTACTTTTATATATGAAAGAAAACCGGAAGGTTCATGGAGACATCAAGAAAGTACCGTAGCGACATCTACTTTGATTTCGGGAACTATTTTATTTAAATATAATTCCTCGTTAAACTTTACTGTAATAAAATTTTGAATTTTTCTGATAGGGGTTCATCGGCTAGAATGAATATTATTCTTAAATCTTGTCCTAAGACCACAAAATCGATTATATCTATTGAAATTAAATATCTTTATTCAAGCACTTTTGAATCGTCCAAAAAATTTTTTTCCCCTACCACTTGTTCAGGACGTCTTTTAGCTGACAAGAAGAACAAGCGAAAGAAACTTACCAGCTCTTTATCATAAGTAATGACATTTACATAAATCATGTCATTACCAAAATAATATGTATTATCACAATAATAAATACAACTTTCAAAGTCTGTAGGACATAGGTTGTACATATAATTAGTCTTTATAGAACAAAGCGAAGGCTATTAATTCCATGCATTGCGATCCTTAAAATAATCATCAACTTTATAATAGCCTTTACTCATAAGTTTTGTTGTATTAAAAATGAACATGATAATATATAGTTTTTTGTATATATCTTTTTACCACATCACTAAAAACGTCATATCCCAAATGGCACCGTACAATCTATCTGAAACGAACTATAACAATTCTTATTTCATTAAGTATCTCGTCTATTGGCTAAAAAAATACTGCTTAAGCTATTAGATACGTTTTAAATTATGATATTGTCTTGTGTTTATTTATTTATATTATTTTGCTATTGATTTCTCTTAGCATTACTTAATTCAAGAAGATGAAATGGAGCAAGCGGAAGATGTGGAAGTGCCAAAAGCTTTGGGCGATCTATTCGAATCCGTAGCCGGAGCTATATTCCTTGATTCCGGTGAGTAAACCTCCCAAATATCTATAATAGTGTATTCTAATCTATTGGATATAGTACTTGTAAGTGTTTATTTCAGTTTAAAAAAGCCATAAAACATAAATTCCACAAATTTGACACGTTTTCTTGCTTTAAAATAAAATCATAATTTCAAATGAGTGAAAACGCCGTCCTCCATATTTATGACGTCATTCCGATATGTACACGAAACAAATGCATAGAGTAGTAGATTGAAAGATCTCAGTGAAACCAGAACAGCCCTCTAGGATTTTGATTTATAATAAATAGGCATATTTTTACCACTAATCTAAAAGATTTTGCAAGAGCGACGTCACCCAAACGGCAGGTGGTGAGTTTTCAAGTCCCAAACAAAAATTCAGAACGTCTTTTTATATGTGTATTTAATTTAATAATATAATGTTTGTAATGTCCCATTAAATACGTTATTAGTGATAACAAAAGAACACTGATCATTTACATATATTAGAAATAGAGTAGGCCCGAGAATACTGCCCTTGGGTGCACCACATTCAAGCCGCATCTTACCACTTCTTAGACCCCAAATTAAGATCAGTGGCTGTACTCGGGTTTTAGTTTTCGAGCTTACTTTTTTGTTTTTTGTTCAATTTATTTTTTTCGGGTGTATTTAAGCAAAATCTTACTCTACAGGGAATCATTTAATAATATTTTTTTTTTAGTTTATCACTTTATGCTCTCTAGAAGGCACGTTGCCAATTTAATGTAACTTCACATACTCGTTATTTGTCGAGTTACGATAAGTAGTTTCAAAGTTATAAGGGAACAGATGAACATTTTTACATACGTATCGACCAAAATCATAACCCTCCTTTTCGCTTTGCCGTAGTCGGGTAATAAATTTTGTACGAGTTAGCAATGCTTTATGCCAGATGCTAAAGACAGATTTTAGACGTCTTACCGCAGCGTTATAGCCTTTTGCACGTTAGTTTTTTTTTACACTTTTCTTTCAATGACCAATCAGGTACCGATACAAATAATCCACGACTGTTATGTATGTATTAGTAGGTAGGTATTTTTTTTTAATCAAAATCTTTATTAGCCTTATCTGATAATAAACTTATTACTAATTACTGGAGTCCCCTTTTAAGCACGACAATGCCTGTACCAGGTGACTCCGCTCTTCAATAACATGGTCTTTTTTCAGAAATGAATTGTTTACGGTTTTTTTGAATCCATAATTTGATTTACTTGATACATTTATACCTTGCGTGCATGCGTACGTGCGTGCGTGCGTACGTACGTGCATGCGTGCGTGCGTGTGTGTATGCTATTCGTGTATGATTATGACAGCTCTATAAAAAGTAAAATTTGAGTATGGAAATAAAGTATTGATTATCTGTTTGATTACAAAATTAATTTATTATCATGATAGTTTAGAGTCTTTATCCATTTATTATTTATTTTATTATAAAGATAAACTGATGTATTTGAATTATTTACTTCACTTGATAAAATAATGTAAGTGGGTAGTTAGATCACTAGGTAACAGAAATTCACTCGGTATCAGCTACTGAGCTCAATATAAGATTATTGCTTAATGTGTGTTTCAATTCCATAATAACAAAATTGTTTGTTGCTCGGTACTAAAGTATCGATTACAAAACTATTTGGTATCGATAGAAAAATGTCGAGTAAATACTTGTATTTACTCTTATCGTCACATCCCTAGTCACAAGAAAACATTTAATATTTGATTATAATATTTTTTGTGTGCAGGCATGTCATTGGGTGCCGTATGGAAATCATACGTTAACCTGATGGGTGCTGAACTGGAAGCGTTCAGTGCGGCCGCACCTAAATCACCAGTACGTGAACTGCTGGAGGCCGAACCGGACACTGCCAAGTTTGGGTGAGTACGATATACAGGGTGATTTTTTAATCACCATCCAAATTTGTATGTACCTTTGAGGTGAATTAGTACGTGAACTGCTGGAGACCGAACCGGACACTTCCAAGTTTGGGTGAGTGCGATATACAGGGTGATTTTTTAATCACCATCCAAATTTGTATGTACCTTTGAGGTGAATTAGTACGTGAACTGCTGGAGGCCGAACCGGACACTTCCAAGTTTGGGTGAGTGCGATATACAGGGTGATTTTTTATTCACCATACAAATTTTTATGTACCTTTGAGGTGAATTAAAAATCACATATTTTTAGGGTACCGTACTAAAAGAGTAAAACGGGAACCCTGTTCCTAGTTTCGTAAATAAAGGAAAATAGTTGATATTATCACAGATGATGTATTTCAGAAAATACTCAAAAGATAATTATTCGAAAAAACATGATATTTTTTGTTCGTTTTCGTTACGGAACCCTTCGTGCGCGAGTCCGACTTTATCGACGTCGTCACTACCAAATAATTTCATTTATTTATTCATTTGCCACAAACATGGTTAACAAGATAACAGACTTAATTTGTGATAAGTTCATCATGTTTCACCTATAACTAAGCATGCATATTTATATAGTCTTGTTATATATATAACGGCGGGTAGTCAGAAGGGGCTATTAGGAAGCCCAAATAGATCGTCCATATCGGAGGACTATCTTTAAAATAACCCTGCAGACGTGTATACCAACGTGGATTTGTTCCATTTTATCACTTTCCATACGAAAATATATCGAGATGAGCGTGATGTCGTCGGATGTCTTTACTCCTCGGCGATCGGAAACAGAATGTGTGCCAAAATGGCGGCAACTTGCTTTTCGTTAACGAACTGTCAAAGTCAGTGTCACCATTCTAATAAAATTAAAAGTATCGATGATCACGCTCTCTCTACAATCGAGTAATTAAGTAAACGAGTAACTAGCAATTAAAATAAAAGAAACTAAATCAAACGATCTCCGTAAAGATGATGCGACATATATCTTTAATATAGATCTGTATGTCAAATAATTATAATTTCAAGTGTCAGGATTAAGTATCAGATACATATTGTTAACATAATAATAATAAATCACAATTTAAGTATATTTTTAGGCAAAAAATCCTTAATATCATAAAAGTTTTCTGTCAGCAGCCATTTATATAAACATTTCATTTTTAATCCGAAAAAAATATTTCAAAATGAATACTTGTCATAGTTATTTTTTTAATAGGCTCTATAAAGGATACCTAAAGACTAAAAAGTATGGGATGGTGACAAAAAAATGATCATTTTACTTACCAATAAGTACTCCGAGCCCAGTCATCACGCGGGCCCAGTCACCACACGGGCCCATTCACCACGCGGGCCCAGTCCGGATCGATGGGTGTTGTCAATTCACTTGTTCCCTTTGTTCGCAGTAAACCGGAACGCCTGGCAGACGGTAGACGTGTACGAGTCTGCGTGGAGGTATTCGGTCGAGGTGCTTTCAAAGGTGTCGGAAGAAATTATCGTATAGCCAAAGGGACCGCAGCGAGATGTGCTTTGAGACATCTAAGAATACATAGAGCGAGATAGATGTATGTTAGAGATGTGCTGTATAGTGGTTTAACCGAATAACCGAATGCTATTCGGTTTTACTTTTACCGAATCGGATATTCGGCGGTTTGCAGTTTCATTGTATTGCCGCGTAAACGTAAGGTTGTTGATTTGAGGCATAAAATAAATGTTGATTAAGTTTAATTGCTTTATTTTATTAGTTTTATTGAACACATTATTTATAGATTTTCCTTGACTTATAGTTCTATATTGTGTCCTGCAGACAAGAATATAGAACTAGAACTGAATATATTTGGCCAAAAAGATGCCGAATACGGCGAGTACCGAATAGTAAACTAATATTCGGCGCATCTCTAATATATATTAAAAATAATGTAAAGTCTTCTGTCGACATTGGGCCAGCATATTGGGCCGACATAATGAAATCTAACTACCTGTTTATACATTAGCATTTGAAAAACCCACAACCATCAGTTGGCTTGCCAATGTTAGTACCAATAATACGTTGGCCCAATATGTGGCCCAATGCCTATAGCTAACTTAACGTAATTTGCCCATCGGAGTAATAACTTTAGTTTCACATTGTAATTTATAACTTGTCTCAAAAGTCTCATAAAATCTTGAGTCTGCTTCGTAAATTAGAGGTCAAAGGTCAGTCGGATTTTTCGCAATTATTTTATTTCCTATTAGCTGTATGATGTTAATATAAATATGAAAACATTTAATTTATAACGTACATTTTTATAAATATATTTTTATATGGTCAATCGTCTTGAAGATACGGTCTCTCGCTGAGGTCAGTAGTCAATCTCGCAGAATAATTTCTTGTTAAAGTTCTTTAAATATATATATTTTTTAAATAACAAATAATTATTTTTACTTATTTTTATCACTTTAATATTTTTTTATAGTAAGATGTACTACTCTGTGTGCGCAACAGTATGTGTGAGCAATTCTTTTACATACAGAGTGAGTTTGTGTGCGTGTCAAGACATTAATTTCAACATTTTGAAAATAAAAGACAAAATTAGTATAGATAATTTTGTCATAAAACAAATGGTTGCTTAAAATTAATTTTGGTAAATATGTGTTTGTTGAACACATCACTCAGAGCTGCTACTAGAAAAATCAAAATATATTTTTTTTTAATTACTGCTCTCAACTAAAGTTATATATAAAATCCGACTCCATGTCAAAAAAATATTCTCCGTGAAGAATAAGACATTTGTGATAACGGCTGTACCCATGCAAATAATCAACAAAAGCAGTTGCTATTCGGGCGACGTATGAAGCGTCGCTAGCTCGAGTAGCTCGGTGACGTAGTGGACAAGTTCTGCGGCCCGCGATCGTTGTCGTTAAGCAACTTTCGCTAGGGTCGGTCGCGGGATGGGTGACCAAAAAATTATTATCTCGAGCTACTCCGTGCTTCGGAAGGCACGTTAAGCCGTTGGTCAGGGCCGCATTTGCAGTCGTTAATACCCTCCAATCCGCATTGGGCCAGCGTGGAGGGTCATGGCCCATCCTCCTTAACCATCCATAAGGAAGGCCTGAGCCCCTGCAGTGGGGACGTAAAAGGGCTGTTGATTGATTGATTGATGAAGCGTCACTGTCACACAAATGAAAGCCGTGTCATTACAAACTTACTAATGACTAGAACTATCTATACTTTTTTAATTGGGCTCACAAAACTGGTTTACTATAATCACATTACCACCATTAGTACACCGACCCAATCACATAAGAATGCGTAACATTTGTGGAATCTTGTCAGTTGCAAAGTATTTTGTTTCACTCTATTATTAGCTCGATGAAATAGCTGCGTCCTTGTCTGTACGATTTCGCAGTCGACTGCGAAAAAGGTCGTTACACAGACGCGCATATTTCGCATTCAGGGTTGCCACCCCACCCGGCTTCTGATGATTGTGCGAATATCACGAGTTTTGTTTCTCAAAAGGTGACCATGTCATTATTCGCTTCGTATTCGCAAGCGATTGCGTCGCCGTACTAACGGCGTAAAAGCTAACGCAAACGCTTAAACCATTAATGTAAAGTTGTATTCATTTTTGACCTTATATTATAATATGTTTGAGCGAGTGCTTAACGCTGTTCATCTTCTACCTCAAAAACGGTATTTATAATAACTAATGAGAATATGTGACCTTTGACCTTGAATAAATCAGGTCAAAGGTCACAATTTTTTTTTTGGTGCAATGCAGACACCTGAATTTATAAGACTCTTGGGACGATATTTGGAACTGTAAAATTAAATTGTATACGTGTTTCATTAGATTACATATTAAATTATGAACGAGAATGTAGAAGAAGGGTGCCCTACGAAATATCCGTATTCATTAAAGTATAAGTGTTTTTCGTTTTTAATTTTTACACCGATTATACCTGTGCAGTGGACGCCATGTTGGATTTACTTTCGTGTCGTGCATTAATTATGCTTGTTTTTTATAATTTTGAGCGCTATGATGATTTCACACTGTCCGTACGAAGTCGACTCGAGATTATGAGTGTTTTATTGGGTTTTGAAAATAAAATTATTTTATACACGAAAGAAAACCGGAAGGGTTGTCATGGAGAAATCAAGAAAGTACCGTAGCGACATCTAGTTTGATTTCGAGAACTAATTTTTTTTAAAATACTTCTTCATTATGGATGCTTTTATAATAGTATTTTTTCTGATAATTATCCAGAAAAATATAAATATCTTGTGAATTACGAACCCTGCAGTTAAAACAGTTGTTATCCCGCCTTCGGGTGTGCCCGCATGCGATATAACGACCAGTGAAATGAGCCTGAAGAGTATAGTTTATAATTTAGAGCATATAGTGTAAATATAAGTGATGTATACAAATTCATTTAAGGTCCATTATAGGAAAGTTTTTTTAAACAATGTACATTTTAATATTGTAGTAATAAAATTGTGTATCATTTATGTCTTTTTATTGTTCCCCTTTAAATTATTTAGGTGAAGCCGTAATGGTGAGCGCATTTTGCGTTCCCACTGCAGGGGCCTTTTTTCCACGCGGGCCCAATGCGGATTGGAGGCTATTAACGACTGCAAATGCAGCCGGGACCAACGCCTTCCGAAGCACGTAGCTCGAGATAATAATTTTTTGGTCACCCATCCCGTGACCGACCATTGCAAAAGTTGCTTAACGACTGCGATCGTCCGCGGTGCTTATGGGCTGCTTAAAAAATCAACTTTGCCCCTGGCACCTGATGGGAATCGAGCCCACGGCCTTACGCTATTCGGGCAACTGCTCTGTTCTGTTCTGATCAATTCTTAATTAATTAAAAATGACCGTCTTTATTTAAGCTATTTACTCCCCTCGACTTAGATACAAGGGCGGATCGTGAATTTGTCCAGCCCTGGGCTAATACTACTCAGAGGCCTATTAATTATTGAAGTACATACCTAATTGTAATTTTGTCAAATTCAAACTAATCTTTATTCAAATAGACTTCTTAAAAGTACTTTTGAATCGTTCAACATTTTTTTTTTCCCTACCACTCGTTCAGGACGTCTGTTGGCCGATAAGAAGAACGAGCAAGAAACTCACCAGCTCTAATAGGAGTAATGACATTCACAAAAACCATGTCATTCCAGATCAATACATTATAAATAAAGAGAGAGAAAAAAACTATGGTCTTATAATGATAACATAATCATTTAATAATTGTTAAGGAACTGTTAGTAAGTAGTTACCTAACGTTAAAGTACCGTACCGCATATTGTTTTTATTGGGTGTTGAGGGGCCTTTGTACCCACGGAGCCCTAGGCTTAAGCCAGGTTAGTGCTTGGGTAGTTCCACCCCTATCTAGATACGAGTGTAAGACTCCGTGACCCGTGACACAGACAGTTGAAATTATCACAGTTGATGTATTTAACGGATACTAAATAGAGAATAAGAAGGCTCTCATACAGTGGCGTAGCGTGCCTTGGCGGGGCCCCGTATATAAATTTGTTTGGGGCGGCCTCTGTAAAGGGTAAAAGGTTTTCACAAAAGAAAACAAAATGCTTTAATAAATTAATCATATTAATTTTAATCATATGTACATCGATTACTGTGGGATTATTCTGTCGAAATAAATGACATTTGTCATTTCTGAAATAAAAAGATTTTTAGGAAGTTTTCATAAATTTTTTGCTAACGTACGTATATAATTGATAAAGCGGTACCTACGCCCCTGCTCTCATACAGCAAAAAGAAAACTCCTGATAGTAAAATCATAGCAAACACACATCAAACCACAATCCGACAGGCGTTACACATTTGAATTTGATTTTATAACGTTATAATAGTATTTCGTCACAATATTTAAAAACTAAGATATTCGAGTGGAATATTGAAAACAGTAAAATACTAGAATTATTGCAAAATACTGGATTGCTACCATGTTCCGGTATTTTGGCGCTTCTTCAGAGTCTTGCTTTCTATACAGTGAACAGTACCACGGATATCGAAAGTAAAAGGAACCGAAAGGTGGTAAAACCTTTTAGACGGTCAGACTCATGCCGAAAAGGGTCGCCGAGCTTTGGAGAAAAGATAAATGTAATTTTTTTCACTCGAGTTCGAGTTTGAAAAACTCACTCGAGTGACTCGAGTAAAAAAAGGACTCAAGTCGCAACATTATTACAAGGTGTCGCCACCTCTGAGGTCGTATTCGCATTGTGTCAATCTAGAAATTAATTTTTCTCTCCCAGGTCTGGGTGTTGTGGTACTTTCGCTCGTTTGTGTGGCATTCGGGTACGGATCCCGATTTTGGTTTAGAGGAGGGAGGACTGTTTGCGGGACCCTATCCTCATGAAGGTACTTCGCAGTAGATTCATTTAACGCCATGCAGTTTTTGATCTTGCAGCTTGAATCTGATTCTAGTGGCTGGAGAGCCTGATTTAAGGCATAGAGTGCATTTTATTTGCGTTGACAAGTTGACGAAATCTTAAATCTTCTTCTAGAAAAATGGTAAATCAAGAAATATCAATCTCAATTAGTTGGAATTTATGT